TTCTGTCCATAATCATCAATATCATTACTGGTTTCAAAGACTAAAATATTGAATTGAAATTCATTCTCACAAACAAACATCATCATCATCATCATTGATTTCAAATGGAATTGCCATGGCAACGACATCAAATCGATTTCAAACTAATCACATTGCTCGATTCTTTTTGCCCATTTTAATAGTTTTTCATATGTGAAACAAAATCAAATGAAATATAAAAGTTTTAAAGTTTTATCGAACAGTCATTATAGAAAAAAAGGATTCGATCGGTCATTTTTAAAAATACAGAATCTCGTTATACGAGATTTTCGTTTTTTGTTTCATTTCCTAATCACTTAACTCCATCCATGATTCATTTTGTGCGTTTTTTTTTCTCCAATCAACTACAATCATTTAACTGATTTTTCTTCTGAATCAAAATCTAACAAAAAAAAATTTATTTTAATTTAAAAGAGCAACAAAAAAAATTAGAATTAAACTTTAAAGCTTTAATTCGATTGATTCATCAATGAATCACTCACTTGATGATGATGATGATGATGGCTGTTTGTGTGGATGAAATCGATTCATTACACTTTTTTTTTTTTAAAAACTCATCCCCAGCTATAGCAAAAAAAAAACTCGATTGACTCGCACGATTGAATCGTATATATTCCATTTAATTTGATTCAATTCATTGATTGTTTTTCGTTTTGTTTCTGTTTCTTTTCCCGAATGAATGTGTGTGTGTGTGTGTGTGTGTGTGTGTGTGTGTGTGTGTGTTCATTTAGAATTTCATACACACAAACGTTTTTATTACTTAATCTATTTCTTGATAGTTTTATTCATTGTGTGTGTGTGTGTCTGTGTGTGTTCACAAGTGATTATCCAACTCTTTTCAAACAAAGCGGTAGCATCAATCGAATTTCATTCCAATGAAAACTGTGAGAGTGTGTATGAGATACAAATCGCGCTGGTTTTAGTTGAATTTTTTTTCAATTTTTTTAACGAACAAAAAATTTTTTAAATCATCACCAAATTCAATTGATTGTTTTTTTCGTGTTGAAAAAAAATCAGCCAATTGATAAGGATGTAATTTTCGATTTTTTTTTTTTCGTTACTGCTCAGTTCACACTTCATCAACCCTAGAATGGATGAATGAAATCAAATCGATTACGAATTGTGCATCATCACCATCAATTGAATGAAACATTGGGCATTTTGCAAAAAAATGGCATTTGACATTTTACCCCAAAAGTGCGATGGAAATGATTCTTTGATTATCGATCCATTTCTAAATTCTTGTTTGATGATGAAAATTCATACCCATAATAATCATCATCATTATTATTGCCAAAAAATATTATGGAAAAAAATCATTTCAGATTTATTGATTGCTAGAAGCAAGATTTTTTTCTCATAAAGTGGAAAAAAATGAATTGAAATGAAATCATAATAACTATTTATCATTTGAATTCGAATCACGTACACAATCATAATCATCAATAACGTCCATCAGTAGTGTAGATTTCCAATTTCCTTATATATCGATTTATGTCAAATTCATAAATAGTGTGATGATGATGATGATCAATCATCAAATTGTTCATTGTCATTTGTAATTATTTATTTTTTTTTGTATTTATTTAAACACAAATAAATATCATGCACGTATTCACACAATTTTTTTTATATGAAAATGAAAAAAAAATCCACTGCAACTTGATTTGTTTGTGAATTTCCGTTTCCTCTAGTTAAACGTTATTATCATCATCACCATCATTTTGGTCATCATTGGATGGTCATTCATTTTTTTTTCTTTGCCATTTGTACTTTGATTACAATTATCATCATCATCATCATTGTTATTTATTGATTCATTTTCGATTTTTTTCTGAGTTCTGAGTTTTTTTTTTTTGGTTATAATTTATTTCCATCGTTTTTTTTTTTTTTTTTTCGCCCGAATCAAAAATTTTTTTTTCATATCCGATTGCCATTTCCAATACTACCGTTATTTGTTGATGATGATTTCGTATCATCACTCTAGAGATTCACGTAGACACAAATTTTCTGTCCATTTTCACAATTCAAAACATTTTTGTTTGTTTGTATGAAATATTGGTATTTGTCGGTATCGATTTTTTTTCATAGAGAGGTGTACAAGTGTTGAGTGTGCTGTTATAATTTACAACCATTTGGTCATTTGTTGTTAAATAAATGGCCACGAGTTTTTATTTATGCCATTTTTTTTGTATTTCAAATAGAAATGAAATGAAATGAATTTTTTTGCCGAGAACAGTGGTTTTCAACAACAGCAGAATATTTTCGACCTGGTTGATTGGATGGTTTGAAAACGGCTGTTTTTTTCACATTAGAAATATTTATATGGATAATTTGCCATTTTGAATGCGTTTTGCACTTTTTCTTCTTCTTCGTTGGATCTTTTTTTTGATGATTGATGTTAATGATGATCATCAATATGTACATCCTGATTTCTTTTTCTCTATTCCTTACGTGTGTGTGAATAAATCGTCATCGAATTCTGGACACTACACAATTTTCAAGTAAATCACTTTTTTCCGGTTATTTTTTCTTTCTCTTTCTTTCCATTTGGATTCAATGTTGAAGCTCGAGGATGCAAAAATTAGTGGATCCATTTCTAATCAATAATCGATAATATAGCTTTGTTGATGTTAAACACGAGTGAAAAATCCCTAAAGATTTAGTTTGTTTTGTTATTCATTTTGTTTCAAACGAATATAATTTCATAATCGATATGAAGCAAAACAAATGCACAATAATCATTATCATCAGGAAATCTATAGCTTTGATAGATTTTTTTTCTGGTAAAAAGAAAATAAATAAAAAATAATGATCAATGATGATGATGATGATGATGACTGTCGTTGTCGATGTATGTGTGTTTGTGTGTGTCCGGTTTTGATAAAATTTTACATTATTATTATGGAATGGAACAAACAAACAGCTAAACAAAAATGATGACAAGAATCTTGTCGTTATCCATATACATCCACAAACACACACACACATACATCATTCACATTTGTTCCAATGTGTAATGTATATCAAATTCCATATCGATATATTAATAATACATTACCATCATCATCATCATCGAAAGAGAAAGTTTATAAGTTTAATAATGGTTGCTTGCTTGCTTTGTTTATGTCGCTGTTTATGTAATATATTTATTTTTCAATTCAATTTTCACTCGCTCACTTTCTCTCTTTCCATACTACTATGGCTCATATAATTTCTATCTATGTAGTAGTATGTGAAAATCACAGTTCCGGGAACACCACATACACATACCAGGAGTGAACGAGTGAATTGTTATAAATGAATGAATCAAGAGAAAAAAAAACAACGCGTTATCACTAACTGACCACTCGTCTATCATTTGTTATCGTCAATAAAACAAGAACAACAACAACAACAACAATAACAACACACGAATTGAGAAAAACAAAAATTGTGATTTTTTTCTCTTCTCTTTCTCATTTTTTTTCTGGTTTGTTTTTAAGGCTACTTGATTCGTGTTTTTATAATAAAATAATGATGACGATGATAATGATAATAAATACTGGACATCATTTGATGATAATGATGATGAGCTAAATTGTTATTGTTACATGGTTACAAACATTTTGGTTTGGTGTTTATCAGTGGGGAATAACTAATAATAATAATAAAATTTTTCCCGTGTAAACGAGTTTTTGTTTTTGCTTTTTTTTGGATCGAGTGTTTGTAAATGTGTCTGAATGTGTGTGTGTGTGTGAATTTTGTATTCCCGGATTAGAATTGCTCCCAATGTGATTATGATAATAATGACGACGATGAAAAATAAACTAGGCCCGAGTAAAATAAAATTAGATGGTCATCATCATTATCATTATATGGGTGATAATTTTAAAAGTTTTTGAAATTTTTGTTTTGTTGAAATTTTTTAGTTTTTGATTATAAAAATTTTAATTTTCAGTTTTTTGTCATCTTATTAATGAAAAGCTCCAAAAATTAATGGCCACAAAAATATCAATAACGCTGATGATAATCGATTTTGCCACCACAATCATCAAAATCATAAACAATTTTATTCAACAAAATCAAAAAAGACCAGAAAAAAATGTTTGAAAGAAAAAATTCCTCAACAATGGCTACAGCTGTTTGTAGTTTTGATGGTGATCAATGTATTATCAATGCTGATAATTTGGATTCAAATGTCACAGTTCAAAATGACTCTAATGTCAACGAACCACAACAACATCAATCATCATCGTCATCAACGAAATCTAGGGTTCATATGAATGGCTTTAATGTCGATTTGACAAATAAAGATGATGTTATGACAATATCAGCTGATGATGATGATAATTTAAAAGAAATTAAACATGACATTCATGGTTTTCATGTGGTTAAAGAAAAAATTGTTGATAAAAATCAGGATGATAAGAAGAATAATGGCGATGAAATTATCGATAATGAACGATTATCATCTACAACAACAATAAAACCAATAATGGAAAAAAAGAATGGTACTTGGTTTGCAACGATATCATCGTCATCCGCGGATCAAAATCATCATTATCACCATCACCACCACCATCATCATCATCATCGTCATCGTAATCATGTTAAGGTACATTTTCATCGATCACAATCCTCATTGTCATCAACGACAACAACATCGACTTCATCATCATCATCATCGTCATCGCCACCACCAGCACAATCATTACCAGCACCCTCTTCATCATCATCATCATCATCGACGACGATGACATTACCACCGCCAAAATCAAATAATATTGGTCATTTAGTAACAAAAAAACGTAAAAATGGAATCATAATCCATCATCATCCTCATCATCATTCATTGCATCATCGTCATCATTATCATCATCATCATCATAATAATATTGCCAATAATCAACGTAGACGTCATACAAATGTCATTGATAGTGTAGGTGGTGGTGGTGGTGGTGGTCATCATCATACTCATCCTCATCACCATCATCATCATGGTCATCATAATGTCAATAATCAGGATCAATCCTTGTCATCGAAAACAAAGATGACAACGGTGAAACCGACAACACATACGACATTAACCTCTGATACAACAACCAATAGCTGCATTATATCATCATTCGGTATGTTGTCCATTTTTTTGTCTTAGTTTAATTTTCTTTTTTACTCTAAAAATCTTTCAAATTCCAATCTATCAAAATGTTGTTGTTGTCATTGTGAATGATCTTTTTACGTTTTTTTTCACAATCGATTTTTTCGTTTTTTCTAATGTGTTTGATCGATTGTTTTGGTCAATTTCATTGTTTAGCCTGTTGTTGTTTTTGTTTCAAAATCCATCTATCACACGCACACACACACTAATATTGATAGGATTCTTGTGCTCATTAGCCCAAAATCATTCGTGACATTTTTTTTTTGTCTTTTTTGGTCATTGTTTCACTAATCTATAAATGAATAAGAGATTCGAGTTAAGGAATTTTTTTTTTGTTTTTTGAATCAAGAAAATCGATTGGATAAATGACCCAAGAATCAGAGAACGAAAAAATAATCAATTGATTGACTATTGAATGATTGATGTATTCTCTGATTTGCTGGTGGTGTTGTTGTTGTTGTACAATTCTTTCCAGATGATCATTCATCATTCCATGATGATTCTAGAATATCAGATTTTTTTTTATTTTTTCTTTTCGATTTCCTCATTGTTAAAAAAGAAACAAAAACATTTATACATCGAGTACAAATGCAATTCTAGCTATTTCAGATCAATATTTGAATGAAAAAATAGCCAACCAAATTTTACATTTTAAGAGAAGGATAAATATTTTTCAATGGAAAAAAACAAAATGATTAAAATGGAAAGGAAATCCATTCTTATACTTGAAAAAAATACGTAAATAATTCAAATTCAATTTTGGGTTTGTAAAATGATAATCATTTTTCACGTTGATTGTTATTGTATGTGTAGTGGAGCACAAAACGAATTGGCCCAATTTCTGAAAAAGGAAACCTTTCTTTGTGGCTTTGCCATAGTTCTGATGATGGTGATGTTTTTTTTTTGGATAATCAACAAAAATGTACATTATTCTGATTGTGGTTTCCAACCATCCACTTGCCACCCCCTTACTTTCCTTTTTTCTCTAAATTTCATATCTGTTTGTTATCAATTTCATTGTCGTTTTGTTTTGTTTTTTCCCCAATTTTGTTTTTTGACCGAATTTTTTTTTTACATAATTCAAATTACATTTACACCAATATTTGAAAAACGTCAATCAATCAAACTCTAATCAATCGACAATCACACACACACACACACACAGTAGTCCAGTTTATTATATCACAAAATATGTTATTGCTGGGGAATTCAAACAAATGAAAAACAAAAAAAAAATTCTGGTTGTTTCGGTTGAATCGGTTTCATCTTGATAGAGAAACACACACAACAAAATGGGCAAACAAGAAAAAAAAACCAAATCATTTGATATATGTGTTTGTGTGTTGTGCGATTATCACCAAACTAAGCGAACAAAAAAAAATGTCGATATTGATATATTGAATTCACAACAACAACTACAACAACAACAAATAAAAAATAAATAAATCACATAGGAAATTGACAAAACAAATAAACAGAGTGAGAGGGAGAATTTTATTTCTTTTGTATAATATTCATATCAATTATTGATTGTCGGTTTATAGCCGATAATCAATATAATGGACACTGATTTTTTTTTTGATTTCCAAATACTGATTGTGTGTATGTGTGTTGTGCATGTCGAAATCCGATTGACATTTTGAATAATTTTGACAAAAAAATGGGTAAATTTTGAATAAAGAGAAGTAAAAAAATTTTTCTTTGGAATTTGATAATCCAGAAATTTTTTTTTTACATTTCACCCATTTTTTTCCAAATAGAATCCATGAATTTTATTATCAACAAACAGACAAAGTAACGATAATCAATTGTCGAATTTGTCGTTTTGTTTTCTGATTGCTGATTGGAAATTTTCATTTGTTTTTTTTTCATTTATATGAAAGTTCCTGTTTCATATCAATGATGATGATGATATCAATTTGTAATGAAATTATCAGTTTTTTTTGTTGTTTTCACTGCATTCAAGGATATTTTTTCGTGTTTGTCTGTGTGTTTTTTTTTTTGAAATTAATTTTGATCAAAAAAAACCAAATGACTTGAATAAATCTCAAATGCAATAAAATGAACAGAAATCATCTACGCTTTAGCTAATCGATCCCGATCATCACCGTTGATTCAATCGGATCTGATCGTTAGTTTTTTCCTCTTTTTCATTTTTCTTATCCATGTTTAATTTGATTTTTCTTCATGTCTTGTCTTTTATGGCAAAAATTTATTTTTATTATTTATTTCCATCTTTTCATCATCATCATCATCATCATCATGATCGTATATAGTTTTTTTGATCAAATTTTGGTTGTTTTTTTTTAATTTGACACACACACAGACTCGGTAGATTCATTTTTTTTCACTTGTCGATCATTTAGTGATTTTGTTGATTTTTTTTCTACCAATGATGTTTTCTGATGATCTAATATGTCATGTGTGTCCATCGGGGTCTAATCGATTGATCATCATCATCATCATCATCAAAAGCGAAAAAAAAAATTTGCTTCAAATAACAAACGAAGAAATCTAGTTGAAATAAGCATAAACACAAACAACAAAAAATTAGATTTAATAAAAAAAACAGGCAAAAAATGATGGTCGATAATGTAATGTCATCAAAAAAAAAAAAAAAAAAAAAATTCAAAAAAATGATGTCGATCGCCTGAAAAATTAACGCCATCGGTATATAATCATCAGAAAAAGAAAACAAGTAGATTCGAACACAAAAAAAAACATTTTTTGTTGTCGAAATAAAAAAAAAGAGAATCATTAGTTAAGATAAAAAAAAAAAAAAAAAAAAATTAAATGATTCGGGTTAAGCCGAATTTTGTTTTTTTTTTTTCTTCATATTTTTATCTATATTGCCTCCTACGATGGCCTATCAATGTTAATCTAGAAGAGAGAAAATCTTTTTTTTTGAAAATAACAACAAAAATTTTAATTGACATTGAATCATTGAATATGATCATTTGAATGATACAAAAATTGATAATTTTAGATCAACTTGTTGATTCATCCATTAGATCAGGTTTTTTCTATCCTTCCTTTCTTCTTTTTCCATCATCATCTTTATCATTTTTTTTCTGCTGTCACATTTCGTTACAATCAATGTGATTGAACATGATGTTGATGGTGGTGACAATAATTGAATAATTGTAATTTTGATCCAATTTATCAGCCTGAAAAAAACAAATGTTGACCATACTTGTATTTAATCTTATGTTTCGGAAAATTTTCCAAAAATAATAATCTACATCATCGTCATCAGTGTTTGTTTGTGAAGGAAAAAACAATGTGAAATCTATTCACCACATGTGATTATTTAAAATTGTTTTGATCAAGATTTTGTCCATATGTAACCGATGCGGTTCGAATGTATACGATGATAGTGGTTTTTTGTGTTTTAAAAATTTTTTCATTTTTCTCACTTCACCATATGTAGATTATCCCATCGATATAGAAATATGGTTTTTTCGCTCGCTCACTTGAGCTTAATATAATCTGATTGAGGAAAAAATTTAAACTTTTTTCTCCATTCTAATCTTGTGTGAATAATGAAAAAAAAAATTTAAATTGTTGACAAATGATAATTTCGATGATTTTTGTCTTAAAAAAACAACCATGATGATGATGATGATGATGAGGCCATCACACAATCGATTAGGTGCGATATCAAGTTGAAAATTTCGTTTCATTTCATATTTTATATCGATGAAATATTTTGAGATTCATCATTTTGATGATTGACATTTTTTTCTATACAATCGATAAACCATTTATTTTCTATTTGATGAATGTATTCGAATTTTATGCGCTATAAATCTTTTGAATCATCATCATTTGATCAGCGATCGACAATCACAATTTTTAATTGTTTTTTTCTTCACCGTGTATTTGGCCATTTCTTTCATTCACATACACACAGATACACACCTACCATATAATAAAGGTGCGTCCAGGATTTTCCATGAAATCTTTTTCATTGCATTTCACTAAATAATTGAATTTATAATCGATCAAAGATTAGCTTGTGATCAATTTTGCGGTGATAGTCGTAGGATCATGTGGTGGTTGTTTTTCGTTCAATATTTTTTGATTGAAAACAGTGGATTTGTTGTTGTACATAGAAAAACAATCCCGATATGGATCGATTCACAAAAAAAAAACCTGACGAATAGTCAAAATATCCGAAAAAACAAGAATTCCATAATGTCAATGGTGATAATTCAATTTTTTTTCTTCTGTTCTGATCGCGTAATTCCTTGATTATCTTCACTTGTTTACTCGATTTTTTCTCACATGAAATATGTAAAAAATGAATTTGAAAAAAAGAGAATGTTTGAATGAATGAAAACGAACAACAACAACAGCAGCAGCAGCTGAAGAAGCAGTAGCAAGCAGACGACCATTTTTTCTACAAAAAAAAAAAAAAAAAGATTCATATACATTCACCACACACATATACGAATTTATAGTTCGAGAGTCTACACTTTGTCGTCATCGTTATCGTCGTCAAACAAGACTATAGAGTTTCAGTTGCAATCTGGCTATTGGATAGTCAGCACACATACACACACACACACGGACACATGTGTTGTTTATATTTGCAGAATTTTTTTTTTTTTTTTTTTTTTTGAAATTTTATCTGTTCCAAATTGCCGTGTTTGGCGCGAATTTTTCTCTGTTTTATTTCGTTGATTTTTCTCATTATGTTTTTAAAACAAAAATAAATAGAAAAAACTTGTTTTTTTCTCTCTCTCTCTCTCTCTCTTGCAATACGATTACATTCATTTTCATGTGTTTGTTTGTGTTTACTTGATTTTTGAAAAATTTTCCAATTAAATTACTAATTTAATGAATGAACGAATCATCTTTTTAAATTGATTCGATGATCTCAACAAACCTCATAAATCTCTCTCTGTGTATGTGTTTTTATTCAACTTTGTTTCAAAAGTTTTTTGTTGTTTTCTTCAAATTTTTTTTCTTGCATTCAAAAAATCAATTTTGTAAGTATTGGAATATGAAATTTTAAAATTTTTTAAAATATATCATCTTTCTAACTATTATGAGCGAGGCGCCATCGTAAGATTGATATTGAAACTATTTTTACTAGACATTCAATTCATTTTATCATATGATAATTGATTGATAAATCAAATCAATCAATGATAGACCGAATAACAACAAAAATAATATCTAAAAATAAAGCAAAAAATCCATTCAATCAATCAATAATTATATCATATCAACAATATGACAGATTTTATTCACGAGACGAAAATCAAATTTGATGATGTTGATGATTATTTGTTACAAAATTAATATCTTTGCCGTTCATATCATCAATTTTTCTTCGTCTTTTTCCAAAAACACCATCATCAGGTTGTTGTAGAAGGTAGAACTAGCCAAACACACCAGGTCGTAGTTGATCAGTTGGTGATATTTCTATAGTGTACCCCATCAATTTAAGCAATTGACTGTTTTTCGGTTGATTTTGATTTTTCGATAAAAATCAATATGAAAAAAATTTATTGGTTAACAGAGTAGGGTGTTTGTGTTTGTGTATATTTATGTACTCTATGTACAATTGAATCGGTTCAATGATTATGATCGCATAATTTTTCTTTTTTTGATTATCAATCACAATCAATAAAAAATCAAGAAAAAAAAAAATTCGATATAATTTATAATAATAATAATGATGATGAATCCATTCGATCTAATCGATAAATGATTGATCAGGCATGTGATTCATGGATAGATTGGTTGATTTTTTGTTGTTGTTTAAATATAATAATTATATTTCACACACACTCACACACACACACAAACATCTATTTTGTATTTCGTTATAGCCGTGTGTTTTATATAATTTTTGTTGTTGTTGCATATATGCCAAGAATAGTATTTGGATCAATGGATATTGATAATAAAATAGGTGATAAACAATTATCGAATGATATACAGATATTTGAATTGTAATTATCATCATTAGTAATTGATTTTTAATTTTTGTTTATAATTCAATTGACAAAATATAGAATATTCACCGGCACTACCACCTATAGGCGGCAATAAAACAATTGAATCCCATAGTGTTGATAACCAACTGTCTGAACAAAAGCAGCAACAACGACAACAAACGGAACTAGAGAAAACAATGGCCGAATCGATGATTTTATCACAATCATCATCGGTTTCAATGGTTCCACCACCTGTTTCTTTTAATAAATTTCAAACAGTAGCAACGACAACAACAACAGCCACATCGCCATCATCAACCCCATCATCACCATCATCGTCATCGATTAGCGCGACGAATGATAAAATTGGTAGTGATTCTGGTGTTGTACTATCATCTTCTTCATCATCTTCTGATTCTGGTCTGAATACTTCAAGTAATCAACAAAAACAACAGCAAAGTTCTTCTATTTCAACGAACAAAACAAAATCCTCAACAACAACATTTCATCATCAAAATCGACAACATCGATCATCACAACATCTTCATTTTAAATCGGCAAAATATTCATCATCATCATCATCATTGAAAATCAATCACCATCACCACCACCATCATCATCATCATCCACATTCAACAAATTTAAATAAATCTCAGACACAATCTTCTTCGACGAAACCCTTGTTTGCATCATCATCTTCTTCATTATCATCATCAATGAATAATTCTTCAACAACACTATCATCATCAACATCAGCATCATCATTATCGTCTTCATCATCATCACCAGAGAATTTAGTCAATGTGAATGATAATCAGCCATCGATAATTACCGAACAACAACAACGATCTACAACAAAGACATCAATAATAAATAAAGAGAATAAAAATCAAAAAGATGCTGATAATAGACAAACGTTAATAGATGCTGATGAAACAACGGAAAACAAGGACAAAGATAATATTAGTGATTTAGATGTTGATGATAATGATAATGATTATAATGATGATGGTGATGTCGACGAAAACGACGATGATGATGATGGCGACAATGATGATGATGATGATAAGTTATTATTTAACAATAACAAAATGGCCACAACAACAACATCAAAAATGATGACAATGACCACCATCAATGATGATGATGTTAATTCAATTGTTGTTAATGAAGAAATCAGTGACAATCATCATAACCACAATAATAATAGTAAACAACATTCAAAACATTCCAAGACACAAAAAAAATCGGATCTTCATTTCAATCATCAGTCAAAGTCAACATTATTGATCGACGCTGATGATGATGATGATGATGAAAATAATGTGATGATGGATGAAAGTAAACATTTAACAATAAAACAATCGAAAACAAAAATTGATGATTCAAATTTAATCCGAAAAAAGATGATCTCATTGAATTCGAATAATAATGATGATAAGCGACGACAACCACAAACTACTACATCATCGTCATTGCATGTAAACCATCAATCTCATCGTCATAAAAATCGTAATTCTATCGATGATTCTTCTTGCGATAAAAATCAAAAACAACAACAAATTGAAGGACAACAAAAACATTCTAAAGACAAAGAAATTGACAACAACACTGAAATTGTTTATGGTGATGATAATGATAATAATGATGATGTTGATGATGGTGGTGGTGATAAAAGTAATAAAACCATTATTACAAAACAATCACAAATCAATCGAGTTCATGGATTGAATGATGAAGAATTATTATTATCATCGCAAACAATTATGGATGCTATTGTTCCTGCTACTGCTGCTGATACTGTCATTCTTGATGATGATAATAATAATCAACAAAATCAAAAAAATGTTAGATTATCATTGTCATCCATGATGGACAACAACAATAATGATGGTGATGAAAACATTGCTGTTCGTGGTGGTACCTTTGACGACGATAACGTTGATGATGATGAACTTATGAATAGTTTTGATCCATCTGAAATTCTTAAACGAATGAAAGTAGAATTAAAAGAAGAATTTGAAGATAATAATAATGGTGGTGGTGGTGGTGGTGGTGGTTGCGATGATGGTTCTATTTCAATGATCAACGATGATAACTGTGATAATCAATTACCGATTCGTAAACAATCCAAAAATAATCGAAATAATAAAATTATTGATGATTATTCTAATAAATCATCATTTATTGATGCTGGTGGTCAACAGAAAAACAACAACAATCCCATTGATCAATTATTGAATTATTTTGATAATGAAAATTTTCGTAAAATGTTTCAAAATTTTTCCATACTACAACAACAACAACAACAACAACACAATCAACAACCTAATCAGACATTGAATGATCTCATTGATGGAACAACAACAACAACAACAACGAAAGCATCAACATCCACATCCTCTTCAACAACAACGAAAACTGTACAACCACAACAGCAACAACAATCATCATCAATGTCCAATAATCAATCATTGAATGCATTAACAGTTGCTGCGGCTGCGGCTGCCGCCGCTGCTTGTTCAACAAATTTTCAAGAAACATTCTTTATGCTTAATGATGATGATAAACGACGGATTCTTCAATCATTTATCTATAAACAACTGAATGGTGGTGGTTGTTTCACTGAACTTATGTGCAATGATGATGATGATGACGATACAATTATAACTACCGATCTGAACGGTAGTAGTCAGATAATGAGCCATAATAATACAAATGATTCGTCTACTGTCCAACATGTTAGCAGTAAAAATAATAATTCTGATCAATTATCATCATCAACCAAATCACGATCATCATTTGATCATACAGGATCTAAAACCAATATGCCAGTGATTCATCGAAATCAATCAGATCTAATGCAAACACTATTTCAAACATTCATGTCATCAAAAGCATCATCGGTTTCATCAATGTCCGAAAGCAACAACAACAACAATAATAATACAATTACAACATCCACGGCTGATTTAGTAAAATCACAATATCATGGTGGTATTATCGATGATCCTGGACATCGATTTTGTTCTGCTTGTAATATACAATTTATGTCAAGTAAAACCTATAAGGTATGTCTCCTTGTGTCTATCTGTGAGTGTGTGTGTGTGTGTGAATGTAACGCCCTTTATGTTTAGTCACATGAATATTAATAATATAATGATGATTATGATCATTTTTTTATCCAATAATTGATTTGATAATTAGATAATCAAATCATTACGTACATTTGCTTGAATTAAGTTTTTTTTCAATAATTATCATTCGTTTTTTTTGCTCGTGATTGCAAGAAAGAGAAAAAAATCCAATTATCATTGATGATGATCAATGATAATTTTGTATATTGAAATGAAAATCATTGGATAGTCTGGACATTTCATCATCATTTCATTATCCAAATTAATCAATTGAGTCATTTCAAATGTTTGTGAGAGCGAGAGAATTTTGTCTTCATTTCACCAAAGAATTTGAAAATGAATTCATAAATTTTATTGTATCGATAGATATCAATATTCGATTCGATATTATAATCGATTGCTAAAATGTGATATGTGATAACAGAAAATCACATTAATCCTATCCGATCGAGCCGGATGCCGTTACAATCAATCAATCTTTCCTGATTAACTGATTGCATTATTACTTCCGGTTTCATATTGATAACAAATGAAATGAAAAAAAATTGATTCCATGAACAATATCATCAACGAAATCATGATGAAAAACGTTTTTTTCCTGTTCAAAAATTTGTCCGATCTGTTTTCATTATTTCAATTATTTGTTTTTTTTATCATCACTAAATCAGGCAGGATGTATCTCTCTATGGATTGTTGTTTAGATGATGTTCACGTAACCGCCATCAAAACTATCAATCAATACAATGTTTTAGCATTAAAAAAAAAATCTTGACAATCCAAAATCACTGTAAACGATGACACAATAACACAATGAATATAAACATCAATATGGCTTTCTTAATCCATTCTTGTATGCATTTGCGTTTCAAGTAGTTTGAATTGATCAATTGTTTGTATATAGAAGAGAAAAAAGATTTTTTTTCATTTAATCCATCTCCAAATCATCAGAATCAATCAAAAATCAAATCAAATGGTTATTTATCATTCATTGATGACAACAATAATAATCTATAGAGATTAGATTGATTAAATCAATCATCATATGATCGATTTAGATTTGTTAAATCATTTTTTTCCAGCTCAATATTTGTCCATTGATTTATTGATTGATTTTTTTTCGCCGTAATATTTTTGATATTTTAGTCATTATTTGCATATTTCAATACCATCATCATCATTATATGTAGCACGCGATATTATGTTTTTCGTGTGTGGTTTTGATACATTTACTCGTGGTCAACTTGACGATGATAATGATCGGATCGATGAAAGATAATTTTTTTTTCATTCTTTCGTTTGTTTTTTGATATTCATCATCATTTGGTTGTTTTTTCTCTCGTTTGACAATTTTCGGTCGATCATGTGGCCGCCAACGTTTGCATTCACAATATTAATATCATATCTCATCATTTTCATTCGATCGATAGGATCGATAAAGTCTAAAAAAATAATCAATCGATTCGATCAACCCCAAAACACACACACACACACATAAACACAACTCTCATAATCAGACCACAGCCATGATAATCATAATAAAAAAAAGCACAATCGATCCAGCCCTTTGGAATAATGATTTGATCCATTTTTCTAATTGAAATGATGATCCACACCATTATAATTATCCCCATCAGAAAAGAAAAATTATCGATTACAAATGAAAACGAAAAATCAGCCGTGATCAATCAATCAATCAATCAATCAAACAAACAAACAAACAGACAATTAATCAATGTTTTTATTTTTGGTTATAAACTCGCGCGCACACTAAAATACACATCTAGGGTTAATAATCTGTCTATGGTGTTTTTTTTGTATACGATATATCATCATTTTTATCAACAACAACAACGACAACATTGCAAGCAAAAAATTGTCTTTTTTTATTAAAAAAAAGTATTGAAGATGTTATCATCATCATCATCAAAATTTGATTGATCGATCAATTGATTGATTTGAATTTTGATGATAATGATAATGATAACCATAGTGAAAAAAAACCTAATTATATTTTTGTCGACAATTTTTTTTAATCCTATAGCGAGAAAAAAATACATTATGTCACATGACCACAATCATCTGACATATAAATATCAATCGTTCATTCATATTGAATGGCTGATGATTATTTATATATGTTTTGATCTTCGACCTTTTATTTTATATTATTAGATATTAGATATGATTTATTAATGATGATAATGAAGATTGATTGATTGATTTACATTGATAAATCACACCATTATTTAAAATAAATAATTGGCCAACACCTAACGCAAATCTTGCATTTTTGTTTCTCTAAATGATTGATCATTTGTTGTATTTGACCAAAAATGAAACTTTAAACATTTTGATTCAATCGAATGTGGTAAATATTTTGCTGAACCGGAATTTGAATATTTTTCTTTGTTTATAAATGATGATCAATTGAAAACTTGTTATTGTTATTGTGGATTGTGGTGACTGTTTTTATCCATTTTTTCACTCTATATCTGATACAATCATCTTTTATATTGATGGGATTTATCTTCTCTTTTTTTCATCCATTTATCCAAATAATTATAATAATGATGATTGATAAATTAATACACTCATGATGATGAATGTTGTTTTTTTCTCAATTTTCAATTAATAGACCAAATTTGGAATATTTATAAATATGGAAAATTTGATGATCCGATGATGATATTATCCCAAATGGCCATCATTTACAAATGATTTTTTTTCTCTTTTTCTTCTTTATTTGCCGATTATGTTTTTCAATATGATTTATCATCTTTGATGTACTTCTTTTCTTAGCCATGATGATGAGGATTATGGTGATAATAATTGCGCCAATGTCATTGTCATCATCATCAAATGATATACCCCTGTTGAAAAAATAATCATCAATCGTTAGATTATAAAAGCCAGATAATTAATAATAATTTCTTTCAATGAATTTTTTTTCAAAATAATGACGAAAATCGATAGCGATCATTGATATCGATCTCAGTGTATATATACAGTATAACATTGACAGACAAAATTTGATAGAAAATGAAAGGAAAAAAATCCCAATGATATAGACATACAGTTTTGTCGACAAATCATCAATTATCAATCCATTTTTAGGTATATAAAATTTAAATAATCTTCGCTGTCATCATCATTCAATTTATTTATCTTTTATGAATGAAAAAAAAATGTGCAACAAATGTGATTATTTGTGTTGTTTGTTTATTTGTTGTGTTGTTTTTTCTTTTTAAATTTCCTTTTGCGGACATATGAATTTGACATGATATGATGATGATGACGATGATGATGATGATTATATTTTTTTTTATTGTTTATATAAATCGATTAATTTCCAAATTTTTCATCCAGAAAAACAGAAAAATAATTTTTCAATTTTTTTTCGTCTTTCATTTTTACTTTGTCACTTTAGGTTCATAAAGAATTATATTGTTCAACAAGACACTTGACACATTCACAACAACAACAAATCAATTCATCGTCATCATCTTCATCATCACTATCATCGACCATTATAACAACAATATCACCATCGATTGTTAATCAATTAAACTCTAATAATAATAATAACAACAATCAGAATAATCAACAACAACAACAACAACAACAACAGAACAACATGACGTGTGGTAGTAATACTAGTAGTAAATCATCATCATTGGCCAATTCACAAACATCATCCGGTATTGGTTCATCACCACCACCATCATCATTTTCATCATCATCACCAAATTCATCATCGAATTCAATATCAACACGTAAACCACCACATATCTTGCCAAATGATTTACAAGATAATAATCGTAATGAATCCACGAATGATATTGTTATGGATGAATGTAATAAATATACGGACTTTCGTTCACTATTTCCTGGCCTATTGCCCGGTGGTACATCATCATCATCAACAATTGTACCGATAAATGGAATGGCTCAACAAATTAATGAATCCATTCATAATACAACACCAATTTATATTGTACTCTCAGCAAATCCTTTGGTTCTAATACCATTTTCTTTCAACAATGTTACCAATTCATTTGAACCATTACCAAGTTTAGCTGCCAATCTAGATGTTTCAATTGTGGAAAATCTTAAACTTTTGGCTCCATCATCCAGATCATCATTAATGTTTCCTGTTGGTCTTGATCCTTCATCATCATCATCATCAATGCAACCATTTATAACAACATTTGATGAAATGCGTAAATCTGTTAATCTAAAATCAACAAATTTTTCATCGCCAAAAAAATGCACTGCTACTGAAAAATCTCATCATCATCCCAATATCAGTAAGACAAACATTCTTTATTAATTCAAATTCTAATATGTTTTTTTTCTTGAAAAAAATTAGATAAACGTTCCCATTCAGAATCGAATCCTGATCAACCATTAGATCTGTCGTCTAGTGGTTCACCTGTAACAAAACGTTCGAAATCAGAATCGGATAATCAGGACAGTATGATGATTATAAACACTGATGATTCTCCAGTGAAAAAAGAAATGGAAAATGAAAATTGTGAAGAATCAATATCGTCGTTAACTAATAAGGATCAGCAACAGCAAACATTCCAAGAACACATGAACAATTTGTTACAGAAATTTGCAATGATGCAATCGATGAATTCTGTGGTTGGCGGTGCACCACATGCAAATGCAAATCTTGTACCTTCATCAGCATCAGATTCTTCACAATTGGCATCACAATTGTTCACCGGTGGCCATCAATCAAATCAATTAGCAGCTGCATTAACCTCCTGTGACAATCCAGCACTTGCTCAATATTTAGCTATGGCTATGGCTGCATTGACTGGTTCAAATGCCGGTTCGAATCAAAACGTTGCAAAAACATCGATTCCAAATCCGAATAATAATCCAACAATACAGCAATCGATCGATTTTTCATCACCACATGTTGATGTCGTTGTGAAACAAGGTAATTCACGTTGTAATGAATGTAATATTGTTTTCTACAAACACGAAAGTTATCTTGTACATAAAAAACTGTATTGTGCTTCAAGAAGAAATCACGATTCATCATCGATTAATCGATCTATTAGTCCGAATGATTCACGTAATTCCGGTGTCAACAGTATTATCCCGACAAACAATCGTCCATCGTCGGCTTTATCCAATTCTTCATCATTATCCTATACACCTTCTACGAAATTTGCATCGAATTTGCACGTGCCCACCGAACTGATTGGACCATCATCGCTGAAAACATCCAGTTTGAATCCTGATGAAACACTTTCATTATCAACATCACCATCGATGCTATCATCACGTGAAGCTGCTTCGGTTAGTCCGGCCGCTGCTGCTGCATTGCTTTCACCAAATAAACAATCGGCTGTCTTTCAATATTTTTGTGCTGCCTGTGGTATCAAATACACTTCATATGACAATCTTTATGCCCATCAAACTTATTATTGTTTGAAACGTAATAATAATGGATCAACAGCCGCAGCAGCAGTTCCAGCTTCTGCTGCTACGGCTGCTGTCATAAATGCGGCACCCATATCACCGGCAACCGTTGTAAGTCCATTGCCAACTTCACCAGTTCCATCTGTTTCTGTTCCAACACCACAATCATTATTAACTCCACAATTATTGGCTGCAGCCGCATCGCTTGGAGCTGCTGCAACACCAACTACTTCGGCAGCGGAAGCACTATTGGATTTTACCTCTCCAACATCCTTATCTCAACAATGGAATGCATTAGTTACTGCTGCGGCTGTTGTTGGAGCCAAAACCGGTGCTTCAATGACCAACAATGGTTTAATTGTTGGTGATTATAATTGTCATAAATGTAAAGCATCCTATGTTAGTCCCGAAACGTTGGCTGCACATGTTTGTAGTGCTGATTTGCGTTTGGAACAAAACCGGAAAAACCAGCCAATACAACACCATCGACATCTTCGTTGCAAACATATAAATGTACTATATGTGGCTACAAAGGACACACAATGCGTGGAATGCGTACTCATGTACGGGTCCATACGGAAGAATTAGCAACGACCGGTGCATTTGAAGAAGATTTTATTGTACAGAATACTGATCTACCTGAACCATCAGTTGGTCGCAGATCAAGTCATGGAAATTCTCTGACGAATCCTTCTCGGCAACGACGTCGTAGTAATAATATTGATGCACAATTATTATCATGTCATTCGAATGCATCACTTTCAAGCAATGAAACATTCGATAGTGTTATTCGTAGTACTGTTTCCAATTATCTTGAATCAGCAGCTCGAAGAACTAAAGAACAACAGCATCAACAACAAGCTATTGGTGAACAACAACATCAACCACAGCAAAAACAACAACAATCACAATTAAGGAAAACATCAAGCGTGTCACCATTGATTAGTGAAAATAGTCAAAATCAACCACCATCACAACAATCCTCATCACAATCAGCTTTACAACAACAGCAAATCCAGAATCATAATTGTCAATTCTGTCCATATACATCGAATTATAAAGGAAATGTTATTAGACATATTAAATTGGTACATAAAGAAATCAATGGTACATCGTTAGCTTCATCGATACAACAACAACAACATCAACAACAACTAGTAAAAGAAGCCATAGATGTATTAATGGGTGTTGATTTTATTGGTGGTGGTGATGGTGATTTATCATCAATTGGTACCGAACAAACAACCGATATGATTAACACCATACCAGGTAAATCATCCAAATCGCCTACACCAAATAAATTAATGAATGGTTGTATTGCTACATCGTCGGCAATTGATTATTCATCATCGTCATCGTCATCATCATCGCCACCACCATCATCTACATCGACCAATAATAATGTATCAATGAAAATAGATTCAAAACAAAAACTTAATCAATCATCATCATCCACTGCTGCTAAAAGTCCATTATCCAATGCAATTACAACAACAGGTAACACAGCAACAACGACTACTACGCTGACCAATAATAATAATAATGATATAGATAGTAAATATTGTAGTGCATGTAATATTTCATTTACATACCGTAATTCATATTTGGCACATAAACGATATTATTGTTCATCAAATCATAATGAAAATACATGATGATCATCATATGGAATAAATATTACCTATTTGGTTCTGATTCTGAAGACATGATATTTAGAAAATCATGAATCTTTATTCTGTAGAATTTATTCAAAAAATTTATTAGTAATTCTGGTCACACTTTTCGCATTCTGTCTCTCTTCTCATCATCATCATCATCATCATCATCTTCATAATTATTATTTAAATGATCATATAAATCGATTGTATTTATTGAATTTCAATTATTATTTATTTATCAATTTTATTTGTATGACAATGACACACATACACAGTTTTTTTGCAAACTGAAAAACATGAAAAAATCGCCGGTTAAAACTTAGCAATATGCAATAATCTTTCTCTGTTTATTTCGCTTTTATATATTCTGTCTGTTTGTTTGTTTTTTTTTTGATTTAAAATTCATTCTCTGAACATAATCCTTTCATTGTTTTATGATATCACCCTTGAACTGCACACACACACATCCAAACACACAGCCGAGTTTCTTTTGTCCATCACAAATTCGAATGTCCATTTTTTCAATCAGATTCTATTGATTTCTCAACATAACACACGGTAATTATATTTATCTGAATTACTTTGACAAGATTTATACAGTTTTGAAATTTGAAAAAGAAAAAATCATTTCTCCTAGTCTTTATTCATCCGATAAAAAAGAGAATAAGAAATTCAAATTAACAAATAAAAAAATGATTGAAAAAAAGATATTTTGCAAACTAGCAATCAATTGACTAAATCAATAATTTTTTATTAATTACAAATTTTTTTTAATAAATACAAAAAAAAGTAAATTTTATCTGGACATCTGTTTTAGAATTTGTTTTTTCGATTCACTAGATGGCGACGTGAGCTACATTTTTGACAATTTTTTCGTTGGCTTAGAAATTGAATAATTTATTCATTCCATTATTGGTTGGATTTTTAACGGCTGTAGGATGTCCAGGATCTTGAATTTGTCCATATCCTTGTAGATGCATGTATCTTGGATCCAATGGTCGATTATGATATGCTTTTATCATCTGATCTTTGATCAATATTTTTGGATGAATCTTGCCGATCATGCCCCAACCACTAATATCACGAACTTCATTCTGTGGTTGTGGTGCTGTGGATGGTTGTGTCTGATGATGATTCAACAACAATGATGCTGGTTTCCCAACATTTTCCGGCATTATTCCATCCATGCCAGCCACTTTGGGTGGATCAAGATTAAAATTTGGTTGAACATCAAATTCTGTTTCATCGATGGAAAAACTTCCAAAAATGGCAAGTGAAACAATCAATGTCAAGATCAATAATGAACAGCGATGATCAATGATGATTGTCATCTCTTTTATGTTTCACACACACTCGTACATACATTAAACGTATGTCACAACATTCAAAGAAATTTTGATAAAAAATGACTCAGACTTGTGAATTTCAAATTTGAAATCTCATTCTTTTTTTATTTTGGTTATCCAGGATCAAATCATACGAAAGAGAGAAAAAAGCGTAGGCGATCAAATTGTTTACTATAACGAAAGCGAAAATGAAAAATTGAATAACGAAGATATATTTACTCGGAAATGGGCCAATGTCAAAAACTGTCGTCGTTTTTTTTCGTTATTGTTATTGTTGTTTTTACGCTTGAATTACGCTTCATTTTTTTTCTTTCTCTCTCATTTTACATTCGAAGAAAATGGCCAAAAATATCTTTTCTATAGAGACAAAAAGAAAATATGTTTTTGGAACATTTCAACATTTCATTACCCTGACACATCCATCAAATGTAGAAATTTTTTTCTGGTTTTTCTCTCTCTCCCCCTTTCTCTTGTTTATGCAGCAGGATCTTGCATTTCCTTAGGAAAAGAGCGAATTTTATGTCACCCAAATATATATTTTGTTTAAAGTTTTATTCAGCTGATGATGATAGCGGTAGTGGTGGTGGCCACCAATTATGACAAAACTATGACAATAGTTATCATCATCATCATTATTCTCTAAAATTTTGAATGAATGAATGAATGAAGTAGACAAATGAGCAGTGTTGACCAATTGAAAATTTTCTATTACATTTCCGGTGTATCCTTTCTGGGTGTAGTGCGAAATTATCATGTGATTTTTGTTTAAATTTTTTTTCTCTCAAAAAAAAATTCAATATCCGTCCACAAGTAACAAAATTTTTTCATTCATTCAAACGAATTAAATCAAATTGAATTATATTTAAATTATAATAATAATTTTTAGTTTTGAGGATTGTAATTTTTAATTGATTTCAATTTTCATCATCAATGTCATTCTGTAGGCTTTTAGAGATTTTGACAAAAATAAATAACAGAATTATTTGATATAATTCGATCTTTGGGTTATTTTTAATTGCAAACTCAATCTTTGGTTGTTTTGTTTGTTTTTTTTGTTCGACGAAAGACTTGACTCGAATTTTCTGATTTATCTTAGAATTTTTTTGAAATCAAATAATGAATATTTAAATGATAAAAAAATTTGTGACAAAAAGATTATTATTATTATACAACAGAATTTGGATCAAGTTTTTTTTGTTTGTTTGTTTTTTCTCGTAAAAAATCTGTTATTATAATAAAAATGGAAATATTTGATTCACATCGGTAGAAGAGCCAAGATTACCAAGATCATTATTGTTATTATTATTCGTTGCAACGGTATTTGGCGTTCCAAATTGATCCAAAATATCATTCAAGTTTCCTGCACCACTATTTCGATTATTGTTTCCAGTTCCACTAGCACCACCACCCCTACCACCACCGGTACCAAATGCATTATTTAGATTGACAATTTCACTTGGTACTTGTTGCCCGCCGAAACCAAACCCAGCCAAACCATTTTGATTGTTATTGTTGTTGTTATTATTGCCACTGCCGCCCATATCCATATTGCCATCCAACATCAGACTTGGATCATCACCTAGATAAGTATCAAAGTTATTCAAATTTCCAGCGAAATCATCCAGTCTATTATAATCACTTTGATCTGCACCGGCCGTTCCCGGTCGGGCAAAATTAAAATTGCTCGTACTTGGTGGTGCAAAATCAAACATTCCTCCTCCGCCGCCATTGTTATTATTATTATTGTTGTTGTTGTTGTAACCATTATTGTTGTTGTTCGGATTATTATTACCAGAAAGAATATTGTTCAAATTAAAATCGGCAAAATCATTCGCATTGACCGGAACTTCAACGGGTGGCACGGGTACTGGAGGTTGTGGTGGTGGTGGTGGTGGTGGTAGTGGCCGTGCTTGTCGATTATTAAAATTTCCATTATTATTGCCATTTTGATTTTCATTCGTATTTTCCGGTATATGAATCTGATCCAAAATCGGAATTCCATTTTCATCAAGCGGTAAATTTTTATTCTCTATTACACGAACTGGTCCTAATTGTTTAGGATCGATACCGAAAAAATTTGGCAATTCAATTGGTAATTGTTGTTGATTGGTATTGTTTTCAACATTGCCACCATTACCATTATTATTACCATTTTTGCCATCATTTTGATTATTAACATGATCACCAAATGGTTGAAAATATGTATAGCCAGTTCTATATGGTTTAATACCGGTATTATATGAATAGCCTTGATTATAACCACGATTCACTGAACCAGGATTTTGTTCAGAATTTGGTTTTTGTTGTTGTTGTCCATTAGTACCGCCACCACCACTTTGATTTGTTGAACCACCATTATCCGCTCCATAAACATTACTGTTTGTTGTTTTGATTGTCGGTTCATTAGCTGATGTTTGTAATTTTGTTTGTTGTTGTTGATTTGAATTTGTGACTGGAACAGCTGACACATGATGATGATGAGGATTAAGATGATCAATATTGATGACGGCGACAGTGGCAATGATGATGACTATGATGTATCGAAACATTGATGACACACTCATTTTGAATGAATTAATTTATGTATGTTATATGTGGATGTGTGTGTGTGTGTGTGTCTGTCGATTTTTGTTTTCACGGTTATTTCAATTTGTTTTTTCCAAAAATGAATTGTCACGAACACACTCGCACATACACACACATTTGATTATCGTTTTAAATTCTCCAGAAAAAAAACATTTAGAAAAAAATTGCAAATAAAAAAAAACATGTATGATCGCCACAACGATCAAACACTTTCTTCGTCAATTTTGAATTTTTTTGAAAGCTTTTTGTCTGTGTAATCATCAAGACTACCAACCAGTTTCAAAAACTAACCGGAAAAAAATAATGAACAACAACTCATGACTCATTCATAGAATTTTTTTTTTCGTTAAATGAGACGCCCATTTTTATCATTGTTATATTATTGGCCAATAATTAGCACCTGAAAAATTTAGATAAAAACGACATTCAAATTTGAAATGTTTTTTTTTGTTTCTGCTGCCGATTTATTCATTTGAATCATTTAATTTATCTTTTTCAAGGTACGAAAAAAAAAAAACAACTTGACCCAGTTCATGATTGACATTTTCTATTCTTTTTATTATAAATGAAATCATAGTGTTATTATTATCACCACACACTTATATGTATTCTCAAATGAAGAAAAAATCATTGGTTTTCTAATCCAAAAAAAAATCCTTGACAACATCCTGTTCCGGTGGTTGAAATGTTTTTCAATCATAAGAAAATTTTTTTTCGAAATCTTTTTTCATGTTTTCAACAATATGATTACGTTATACATCCATGTATCAAATATTGTCCAGTTATGAGTCATAATTTGGAGCAATTTCTTCTTTTTGGCTACCTAGAATATAAACGAGAGAAAGAGAGAAAAAGAAAGAAAAAAGTGACAATTTCCATGCTACTAAGGTATCACCCAAGTGAATGATTGCAGGTGTACAACCAATATTATTCTACGTTTGAAACAAAGAAAAAACCCAAAAAATCAAAATTCAAATCGGACAAGAAAAAAAAGAGTATTAAACGATATAAATGACAATGATTTCATATTTCTTGTCAACCATTGTTAGTCAGTTGAGATTTTCATTTACGAACTACGACAAACGATCGACAACAAATTTTTTCCAACGACAACGACGACGACGACAAAGTTTTGACAGATTCAACTTTTAGTTCAACGATGTGAGTGTCCAAAGCAACGTCTTTTTGTTTGTTTTTTTTTTGATTTTAATACACATCAAACTGACCATTCTTTTATTTTTTTATTTCTTGTCTTGAATCGAACAAACATTTATTCTTTCTTCATTAATTCTCTCAACCTATACAAATTCTCATTCTCGTATTTCGGTCCGAATTGCCTGTTGAATCCTATGTTCACGCTCACCACCCATTTGCCATTCATTGCCTTGATTATATTCTTGAAGATATTTGATCATAAAAATTTTTGCTTGAAAAATCAAGTTACTGATTTGACCAGTTGACACATTTATCATCATAACAATGGTAAATTACACATAGAATTTCATTTGATTTCATTTTATTATCATTTTTTTCTCTTATATTCCAAATTCAGTTCTCTAGTCGACAAATAATTGGCATTATAGCCATTACGGCATTATGGATAAACGATTGTGGGGCACAAGGCAATCAAGGTGGCGGTGGTTTCTTGGGCGATCTTGGAAACCTAGGTAATCTAGGTAATCTAAATCTTGGCAATTTGGGACTGGGTAATTTGGGCATTGGAGATCTTTCATTTGATGATAATCTTGGAACGGGTTTAGGTGGTGGAGGTTCTGGTAATCCAGGTTTGGGCGGACAAAATCTTGCCAATTTCGGGGGTGGTGGTGGTGGTGGGGGAGGACGACAACCCGGATTGGGTGGTCTTGGTGGTTTACTTGGCGGTGGCTCACCCAATGGTTATAATCGTAATACAGGTGGTGGTGGTGGTGGTCTTGGTGGATTGGGGGGCCTGAATCCATTAGCCGGTCTCGGTCAAGCACTTGGTGGTTTAGCAAATGGTCTAACCGGTGGTAATCAACGTGGTGGTGGTCTACTTGGTGGTTTACCCGGGTTAGGTGGAGGTGGTGGTCAGCAAGGAGGTAAGTAGATTTAAAGTTTTTTGTTTTCGTTTAAAATTTATTCCAATATCTTCATAATCAAAAGGACAAGGACTTGGTCTTGGTGGTCTAGGAAATCTTGGTGGAAATCGTGGGGGTCAAAATGGTGGTGGCGGTTTTGGTGGTCTTGATGGTCTCAATTTAGGAGGTGGAAATTCTAATAGTGGATTTAATGGTCTTAATTTGGGTGGTGGTGGAGGTGGTGGCGGCAATGATATCGGTGGTCTTGGAGGTAAGTAATTTTTTAAAAAAAAACAGATAATAAATCATTTGATCATTGTCGTTAACGATGATGATTAATTCATTATTTATTCATTATGTGATTGAATTTAGGTCTAGGCGGTGGTAATGATTTCGGTGGACAAGATCTTGGTAATCTTGGCAATCTGGGCGGTGGAGCAGGTGGTGGTGATTATGATTCATTGGGTGATGCTGGTTTTAGTAAAAAATAAATCCCAATATATATGTCTGTCTATGTGTGTTTGCTTAATTCTCGGGAATTCAAAAAAAAATTCCCGAATCTATTTGTAGAAGTGGTAGTCCTGAATCTATTTAATCTTTGAATAATTATTTTTTTGCAATTCAGCTAAAACAATTTTGTAATCCATGATTTTTCCCGTTTGTTACATCATTTCACCATTTTCACATCCGTTTTTTTTAATTTCTGTTCTGTTTATTTGTTTCATTCAATCATTGATTTATTTGTCCATATCCTGTTGTAGTCTTGTCGTTTACTTTTACCATGTCCTTGTCTTTTTGTGTTTGTGTATGTTGCATCATGATCATATTTCATATCAATCATTTTGTGTTTTTTTTCAAATATTTTTATCCACACCATGAAAAAATATCATTATCACCATTTATATGTATGAATGTTGCCATTATAACACTGTCTCTTTCGAAAAAATTTTGTTCATTTCAATTAATTTAATACACGCATGCACACACACAAAAAATTCTAACCATGCATAGTCATAAGAAGAAATAAACATAAACAACTATAAAAATGAAACGGAAATTTTTCAGAAAATTCTCGTAAAAAACGTTCATATTACATAATAATTATTTGCGTGCCAGAATAATGAGGTTTTCTTCAATTTCTTCAACAAACTTTTTTTTGTCTTTGTGTTTTGTGTCTTTTGTTACAAATTGTTTCTCTCTCTCTCTTTTTGTCCTGAATTTTGTCTTGAATGTTGATGATTTCAAATGGTTAAATTGAATTTCATTTTCTTTTTTCTCTTCATGTTTTGGACCAATTTTACCAAATGATGTTGAATTTTTCTAGGAAATCGAATAACAAATTACCCATCCATGGTATGCAATTGAGATTTTTTTTCACTGTTTGTTGTTGTTGGAACAACAACAACATTATTTGGCCCACATTTATTACACTATGCATTGTACTTTGTTTATTTCGATTCTTTCGATTTTTATTTTATTTATTTCATTTCGATTTTTTATTTTCTTTTTCATGTTTTTTCTGCTATTCGTGTCGTCGTAACACATTCAAATATTCGTTGGTCGTTTTTATCGTTGTTGTTATTGTTGTTGTTGTTGTTGTTGGTATTCCATTCGTGTATATCATTCCATTCACTTTGATTCAATTCATTCATTCTATACGCGAATAAAGTTCATAATGATTCTGGTTTGAATTCTTTCTACGTCTATATTTCAATGTGACATATCAACATTGAAAAAATGCTTCGAATTCGAATCCTTCGTAATATCTTGGGAATTGCCGTATACACAAAATGCCAAAATAGAAAATTATAGAATGAATGGAAAAAGATCGAATTAAGCAAAACATAGACAAACACACGAATCGAAAAAAGAGAACGGAAAAGAGAAGAGAATGTGTGGGAATCAGAAGAGAAGATGAAATGAAAAAACGACCCACGAACATTAGATGAATTGCTTGCTTGTGTTGTTTTTTTCTTTGGTTGGGCTGGTTACTGGTTTTATTTTCACCATTTACCATTGTGTGTGTGTCTGTCTAGGCACATTATTCGTTCGGACAACTAGAAAAAAAAGTAAAAGAGAAAATGAATGTGAAAAACAAAAAATGAAGAAAATAAAGAACATAAATTCCAGAAAAACGCATGTGTCAAAGATTCTCATTTCATCTCACTATACTATGTTCTCTCAGTTACTTTCTTTCATTTCATCTGTGCGTTTGTTTGGTAATATATGGATTCTCTGTAAACGGCGGAAAACCCAGCTACCAGAATACTTTTTCATTGTATGTATGAGGAAGTTTTTTCTTCAGTGTATTCCAGGAGCCCATATTCGCCTAGCCGTTGTTTTTTTCATATTTTGACCGTTTTATTTTATTTTTTATTCATTCATTTATATGGTTGTTTGTCAGTTTTTGTGATCAAATCATAGTTCATCGATTTATTTATTGTTTGTATGTGTGTGTGTGTGTTGAAACCAATATTTTGAATTGATCATCATCATCCGGTGTCATTGTCATTCGATTTTTTTTTTATTTTTGTCACCCGATTGTCATTTATATTTTGTATATGACAAAACAATAACTTATACATGTGTGTGTGTGTGTGTGTGTGTGTGATATAAATTTACTGAACCAATCCCTACAAAACCTTCATCATCATCAACAGCTTTTTATTATTATTCTAGAACATCGTGTTTTTCTTCTTTATGGTTGGTTATATTAGATTACACACTACTATAGTAGTTGGTGTTTTGACAAGAATAAAATTGTCATCAACATTCCAAAAAAAAAAACTATGTTATGAACCAAACAACAACTGTAGAGAAAGAGAGAAAGAACAAATTTTGTTTATGCCGTTACATTACCAAATATATTGATTTGATATGGTTTTTTCTCGACTTTTTCGACTACATTCTCATTTTTCCAATAAAATAAACCAGAATAAAAAAATCGGGATCGTTGTGTCATCGATCATTCGTATCCGCATCATCATCTAGGTCTACCATCCTCAACATTATATTTGTCATGTTCATCACGATGTTATGGATCGATTATGGATCGTGTTAAATAGCAAAAATAATTTAGCAATCACGACAAACATTTTATAATATAGCAATGGATCGACATCCTCAATTTAGTAGCAATAATAATAATAATAATAGTGTCACGCTGACACATTCTTCACCTCCGGCTATTCATCGAACATTTGCCAATAATGATGATGATAGTAATGGTGGTAGTATTGAAAATAATAAAAAATTGAATCATCATCAACAACAATCTTATCTTGTCATGTCAAATGCAATGCGTTCATATATTGAATCATTACCTGAAAAATTGACCCTGACTAAAGAATTGACTGAATATCGTTTCTGGAAATCATTACGTACAGAATTTATAGCAACATTTTTATATGTGATTTTTACCTGTGGTATTTTGGCTGTTACAACTACAACAACTCAAACAACGATTTCGACAACGTTGACAAATGATATACAACCACCTCAACAACAGCAATTGAATAGTATTGAATTATTGAAAAATTCATTGGCCATCGGTCTAACAGTTGCAACATTAATACAATGTACTGGACATGTTTGTGGTTGTCATCTATCGATTGCTATTACAATTGGTCTTTATGTTACCGAGCGTGTAACAACATTACGATTGATATCATATTTATTCGTACAATTTCTAGCATCATTATTCGGTATAATGGTTGTTCAGAATCTTTTCGATACCATCATACCATTAATGCCTTCCACGCCAACGCTGTCATCAACGAAAATTTTTGGTTTCGAATTTTTATCAACATTTCTAATTGTGCTCACCTATCTAGCTAATTGTGACCCAAATCGTTTACAATTAACCAATAATAGCAATATCAACATCAATAATAATTATAATTGTATAATCGATTCATCAAAATCATTATCAATAGGATTTGCCTATACAGTCGGACATTTGTTTGCTGTAAGTTGTCGTTGCTGTTCATTCATTTTTTTTTCTTTTACTCATCAATCGATATATTAATATTTTTTTTTTTATTGATTTAGTTTGTTGCAACTGGTGCATCAATGAATCCCGCAAAAGCATTGGCCATATCGATTTTGACTGAACATTATTGTTTGCATTGGGTAATATTTTCTTGTTCTTTTTGATCTTAGTTTCAATTTTCTGCAAGTTGATTGACGAAAATGAGAAAATACAAAATTCCAATTTCAGATTCTTGTGTTCGTGTGTGTGTGTTGGTGTGCATGATTGCATATCCAAGTGTTTGATTAGAGAGAGAGAGAACATAACATAGAGAAAATATATTCTTTGTTTACTCAATCGATGATTGATCTCAATAATAATATTGTTGTTGGATAGTTGATATCGATGTTGCGAATTTTGAGTGGCCATTTTTTAGAATGAAAAAAAAGCAAAAAAACTAGAAATACTTTCCATTAGTTTACTCTATATTAACCATTTTCAAAGAAGAAAAATTTATGCTCGAGTTGAAATAAACGATGCACAAACATAGTCATAGTTCAAGTCTAAGTTGTTCAAACATGTATTATTGATCAATATACGATATATTGACATAATCAATTTATCATCCATCATCGTGTATATGTGCACCACACAGACAGTGAGTGAGTGAGAGAGATCATTGATTAATAATTGTGTATTTATCTCATTATTCAATTCAATTCACCTGAAAAAAAATATTTTCCACAGATCTATTGGATTTCTCCATTGCTTGCCGGACTATTTGGTGGACTTATCTATGATTATATTGGATCAATCAAACCAATTTCATCAACAGCAACAGCAACAACATTATCTCGTCCATCGTCATCATCATCATCATCGTCATCCTCGTCGATACATCAAATAGTACCATCACCAATTCTTTCATCAACATCATCATCATCATCATCGTGTTCTGGAACAATGATTGATCCAACAACAATAACAACAGCTGCATCAGCATCGATCCATTATAATAATACAGCTAATTTATCAATGCCACAACAACAACAACCAAAAAAAACAATTCCATCCTCGTCAACAACAATGATGATGATGATGGAAAAGCCGGACAATTCATCATCGTCATCATCAACATTGCTACCAACAACAACAACAACAACGACAACTATGACATCACCACCAGCAGCATCATTATCAACATTAAATCCGGTGGAAACAACAACTATTCGAATTCTTGATACACCGGAATTACCAATTTTTAGCCTACAAAAACAACAACGACAACAACAACAACAACAGCCAAAATTTGATAATGATGAAACACAATTTTTGATTGTTAATCATAAAAAAACATCACTTAATAATAGTGATGATTTCATAAATGAAACACAAAATAAGCCAAATTTGATTCGTACCCGATATTAATTTGATGTTTATGAAGAAAAAGTTTTTTGTTTTGATTTTTTGCATTGGAAACAAACTAAAACTTGAATAAATTACTGTTATTCCGCAACAAATTCTACATGTAATCCAATTCCAAAGTTATGAAAAAAACGACTATGATAATGATGATTGACAATTGAAGATTCAAAAGTTTTTTATTTTTGCTTTTTTTTGAATGAATGAATGAATGATGATGATCATTATTATTATCATCATTTATTCATTCTTGAAATATAGGCCCAATAAATATCGCTTGTTGGAAATTCTCTTTTCTCTCCAATGCTTTTTTATTCTCTGCTTTTTTACTCGTTTTCACCCACTTTTTTACCACCACCAAGAATTATTTCGGTAATCTCATTTACAAAGTTTTTTTCTTTTCTTATTTTTTTCTTTTTTCTTTGGCTCATTTGGTAGTCAATTTTTTTTCTTGCTGTATGAATGAACAAAAAAAAATAGGAGAAAACGGAAATACTGACGGAAAGCCTCTGAGAAAAATATTGTTATTCTTTTTTCGGGCGAATATAATGATAATAATGAGAATAATAAGACTGTGTAGAATAAAGATGAAAAATTGTGCCTGCTTGCATTGTGTGTGTGTGTGTGTGTGTGTTAGCTAAGGATGTTGATGATGATGATTCTGGGCAGAATTTTTCAGAATTTTCATTATTATTGTTTAATAATCGACAACAACAACAGACCGTTCATTCAAATAATGGAAATGTTTTGAGAAACTTTTTTTCCACCGTCTTCCTCTTTTCTTTCTTCTTTTTCTTCATTCATCTCCCTGTTTCGTTAGAATGGAATCGAATGAAAAATCTACATCACCATCATAATCATCAACCAACGAGTTAGAAAAAAGGAATATTTTAGTAATGGAACTGAAGCAAGCACAAAACCTTTTCATTTGTTTAGTATTTTGGGTTTTTTCTCTTTCTTTCTCGGGTGAAAACCATTTATTTAGCAAAGAATACCAACTTTTTTTTCACTGACTGAATCATTAAACTAGGGATGCTAACGGTTTTTTTTTTTATTTCTAGTTATGCTTTGCTTCTAGTCGCCGTCAGTGTTGTTGATGATGACGTTGCTTACAAATATCGATTTTGTAATTAAGCTAGGGTGCTCTCTCTCTCTCGTTTTTTTAGGCCCCATAATCTATTTGCTTTTGATGTTTAAAAACCAAAAAAAAACAGTGAAACCAAAGCGAAGGAAATTGGTGAAAAAGTTTGTCGGGAAATTCCCAGGATGATAATGATACGGCCCGAGGAATTTCCAATTTTGTCATTCGTGTGTTTGTGTGTGTATGTTTTTCATTTTTGTTTAGTAGGCTGCTGCTTTATGCATTTGCGTTTCAGATTTTTTTAGGCTTCTATTTTTTTTTATTTCTTCTCATATGTCTTCTATTTTATCATTAGACAATTATTTATCGGACAATTTTGTTTTCGAATATAATAATAAAACCGACCATGGCAAACATGTATTGCCGAATGACCAGAGATAAAAATTTGATTTTGCGCCCAATCGAATATCATTATCACACGATGATGATGATCCGGAATGAAGTTGGGGAAACAAACACATTTTCGATTCAAAAAAAACTTTGCATTGATATCGTGTGTGTTTGTTTGTGTGTTTGTGTGTGGGAGGTTAGTTGTTGTCGTTGTTGTTGTTGTTGTTGTTGTTGTTGGTTGTGTTATATTTTTTTTCTTTTACTACGTTATTGTTATTGCTTGTCTCGTATCTACCAGAAAAAAAGGATGCTACTGACAGCTGCAACATCAGCAGCAACATCAGGCGATGCAATTCAGCAAAACCATTTGGAGAATTTTTATTCTATTCACCACGTATCACATTTTTTTATATATATAGTGAATACACAATTCGATTGTAAACGATCCAGAACAAAAAACACAAAGCAAAAAATTCTTTTCTTTAATGTTCCAACGAAGCATAATAATAAATGGTTTGCTCGAACAAACATCATTTTGAAACAAACACACACACATACCCATTAGCTAGTAAAAATCTTGACATTGGAATCCAATGACAATCGTTTTCGGCTAATGTCACTGTATTAGATAGAACGATCATAAACTTGACTCTGAATGAATGTGAAAAAATACTAGAATTATAATGCGTTCAACGAAGCACAAATGGCCAAACTTGTTTCAATATCTTTTTTTTTTGTTTCAACAATTTTATTTGACTTTTGTCATTTTGCGTGCGTGTGTGTGAGACACAAGAAATTAGAAAAAAAATTCAAAATTAAAATCTAATTCAGTATCAAATGTGAAGCAGAAATAAATTGAAAAATTCTTTTGCATTTAATTAGAAAAAATTCAATTTTAAAATTTGTCAAAAGACGAAAAAAATTCCTTATGTGACACTGTCAAAAGTGTTAACGAAAATTTCCTATCATTTTTCGAGTGGAATTTGTGCGTTGAAGAGATCGAGAACAGAAAAAAATCTTTCTTTCTTCAGAAAAAATCAGGAATTCTTTTATTTCAAAAAAAAATTCCAAGATTTTCCAATTCACAAGACTCGATTTTTCTTCATTTATTTTTTTCCTATCTATTTGAATTATTTATTCTTCACCATGGCTACAGATTTTGTGAACGGTGTGATTGTGTGTGTGTGTGTTTGTAATAGCAAAATTGAAGCAAAAAAAAAAGAAAGAAATTCCATTGAATTTCGTTTCGATTCTGAATTATTTTTTTGTCGAAAAAAATAAAAAAGAATGTAAACGAATAAAATCGGACGAGAATGCATTTACATACGATACATACGTGTATGAGAAATATAAATAAACATTAAATAATTCTTTGTATGGAATATTCTTTCCAAAAATTTTTTTGCAAAGATGTGAAAATTTTTTGAGAATTATTTTATTACGAAATTTGATTCCCTTGAAAATTAATTAGAATTTCAGATTTATCTTTTTGAAAAAGAATTCTAGTTATCATCTTCATCATCATATGATCTGTAATTGTTCAAGTTTCAAAAGAAAATTGCCAATTCTATACACTAAGAATTCCGTAGCTTGAAGCTGAATAAATTCATAATTGAAATTACGAATTTTTCATACTTGATGTTGATCGGTGGTGAACAAATACAGAAATACAGAAATGAATGCAAAAACATTTTCCCTGAAGCTAAACGAACCATAATTGAATCAAAAAAAAAGAATTTCATTTTTTTCCGCAGACGTTATCTATACCTGAGAAAATTACCTTAGTTATTTTGATAATAGAGAATTCAATCGATTCGAAAATGAAAAGGAAAGACAAACCAACAGAAAAAAATCATTCAACTAAAACTAATAGGATCTCGTTTTTTTTCTTTTATTCCAGTTTTTTCTGTCCGTTCCGGATGTATAATTGTAATTACACGGACACAAATTAATTCTTGCGCACACAGAAATGAATCAATTCTACAGTTGAATGATTCAACATCATTTTATACGATTAAACACTATCCGATGATGATCATTCTATCCTCGATAATTTAATTATTTTGATTTTTTTCACGCAAACTAGCCTATCGTCGATGATGATGATTTGAATTTGAATTATATCCGCTTAAATATTTATATATAGGTCGAACTCTAAACCAAACAACAAAAACACAAGCCACATATCTCTCTCACACATCAAGATCAATTTTGCAGATCCTGATCGTTTAAAAAAAAACAAATTTGTTTTTCTCAAAAACAAATTCAAATTATCATGATTGTTGAAGACTAGAGAAAAAACACCATAAAAGTAATATGGCCCAGATTCACTTAAAACCCAAAAAAAGTCCTAAAGAAACTACGTTCAGTGCTCTTTGCTCGAAAATCTTTTTTCAATAAAAACTTTAAAAACCAAACCCAATTGATTATTATCCAAACATTCAGTTCTTTCAGTTTTTTTCGTGGTTAGTCTGTAAAATTGTTGTTTTTACTTTGTGTGTGTGTGTGTGTGGTGTAAAATACTGGGGCAGAAGAAGAAGAAAAAGAAGACGAAAAAGACGATGATGAATGAATGAAATGAATGAATTGAATTGAAAGAAAAAACCTCGCCCTCACCATAGTTTGTTGATATCGAAAAAACAGCAACTTGCAACTTGTATATTTTCATATCATCGACAAAGAGGCTCGCGATCGATGGTTGTTGTTGTTGTTGTTGTTGTCGTCGTCGACGTCGTATAAACATACAACATACACAAAATGATTTTAATGATGAGCCATAATTCTCTTCGTGTGTTTATTGTTTATGTGTGTGAAATGTAACACGAAGAAACGCGAATCATCATCACAACAAATCAACCAATTTTAATTCGTTATGGTTAAGAAGAACCAGAAAAAAAGACCACCAAAGTTTCGTAGATTAGATAAAAAACTTGTGGCCGAACATCGAACTTTTATTATTTGTTTGTGTTTGCGTGTCTGTGAGTTTGTGTATTTTACATTAGATTGTCTGTGTTGTTGATATCATCATTGTCATTGTATCCTTATTGTTGTTGTTGGTGATTTCTCCTCATATGTGTAATTTTTGGATTTTCACCAACTACCACGACGACGACGACGACAACAATACATAACCGATTTCGATTATAAGGATGATGTTGTATCAAAAAACAATCAAAATAGAAAAATGATCGATATAGTTGGACAATTGTCATGAGAGAAACACACAAAAGATACATTGCAATTTTGATTTGTATAAGAAAAAAAAAGTATTGCCAAATAACTGCAAATTTCCTGATTCTCACATGTAACAAAAATGAATGAATCACTTTTCTTCCATCTCTAATCCACGACGACATTTGAAAAGTCTATAATTTGAAACAATCTCAAGAACAAAATATGGACAATTTAAGCAATCAACAAATTGTACATGCCGGTTGGTTGATTAAATCACCACCAGAAAAACGAATCTGGAAAACAGTGAGTGAATTTTTTTTTGATTTTTTTCCTATTCTGACTAATCGATTGATTGATTGATTTTATTCATTTAGAAATGGAGACGTCGTTGGTTCGTATTGAAACCATCAGGACAAATACCTGGACAATATGTGCTTGAATATTATACGGATTCAACGTGTAAAAAACTTAAAGGACAAATTGATCTGGATCAATGTGAACAAGTGGATGCTGGATTACAATTAGAGATACGTAAACAAAATTATGATAATATGTTTGATTTACGTACATCGAAACGAACCTATTATCTAGTTGCTGGCAGTGAAGATGAAATGAATAAATGGGTTGAATGTATTTGTTCAGTATGTGGATTAAAAATGGAAGCCATTCAAAACGAATTGGCATTATTGCCAGCAATTGAAATGAATATCGACCATCATCATAATCATCATCAAAATAATAATGGAAGCCAAAGCAGTACAAACAATAGCCCAAATCATAATCATCAACATACTCAAAATACCAATCATAATTTGAATATTAATGAAGAACTTCGATATTCACCGCAACCAAGTCCAAATGAACAACAACAACAGCAGCAGCAACACCAATCGATAAGTGAATCATCATCATTGTCAACATTGAATTATATACCAATTTCAGAATGTTATACTGGAAAACCATTGTTTTTAAATAATGAAAATCGTAATCATAGTACACCACCACCACCTAGGCCACCAAAACCATCTACATTAACACAGCAACAACAACAACAAACATTACAAAATCATACTAATCATCTTTTTCCGTCCGTTTCAAAATCACAAAGTTCATTGGCATTATGGCCACAGCAAGATCAACAACCAATGCCAACAGCAGCAACAACGAAAGCAATCGGTAAAGTTCAATTATCATCATCATCATCATTGCATCAAGTACCTGGATCTGGATTATTATTGCAACAACAACAGCCTGCACCGCCAATACCATTACCGAAATCATTAACAACAACGGCGTTGCTTAACAATAACAACAACAACAACAACACAACCGGCAACAGGTCGTTCTACCTCAATTCATCATCAGCGAATAAACAATTAGGCAATAATCAATCCTATAATTTTTATGATACTTGGCATTCACGATCAAAAAGACCGGATTTTCTTCATCATCATCATCATCATCATCATCTTGCTTCTTCAACGCCTCCACCACCACCAACACAACCACAACCAACATCACAAAATTCTACATTGATACCACCACATGTTAATCGTGATCTTAAACCAAATCGTCATCGACCAGGAAATCAAAATATAACACAATTTTTCAATAATCAACAGACAAAAAGTGACAGTAATGTTGTGATGATGGAAATGATTAATAATAATAAACAACCATTCAAACGAATCAATATCAACAAGTAAGATTCAGCTTTTTTGGTGATAAATTTTGTTTAAAAAATTCAATTTCAATTTTTATTTGTTTGTTTATAGCTCACAACCAATCATGACAAGCCGTCATACATTACCAAGGCCATTGATTACAAGCTATACGTTGAGAAATCAAAATAATAAAAATAATGATAATTATTGCCATCTAGTTCATTGTGAACAACAGGTAAATTTTTTTTAGACAAAAATTAGTCCTTTCTAATTTGATTTGGTTTTGTTTTTTTTAAATTAGCCAAAAACAACTATTGAAGACTGTGAACGCCAATATTTAGATTTAGATCTGGATCTAGAATCCACCTCGACCACCACCACCACTAGTAATAACAATAATTCAAATAGCCCAAAAACAACAAACGATAATGGCATGGATCATGGTGGACAATTATCATCGATCCATCATCATTCCAGCCAACAACAACAACAACAATGGAACAATAATAATAACATTCCTGATAATCAATCATCGGATTTATTATTCAATAATAATAATAATTCTTGTGACCAAATAAGCACTAATCTGACGATGGCCGATTTTGCTGATAATCCTGGTACAGTTTATAAAGAAGTTGATTTTCTTAAAACAAAAGCTTTGAATGAAATGCGATTGAATATGAATATTTACCGTAAAGCCAACTAAATTGATCTGGATAGTTAATAATTAATTGTGCCAAAACATCATCAACAACAACAACAACAAAGAATTCAAGATGATTCTGTGATTTTTATTTTTATTTTTCGCTTTAAATTTTTTTCCATAATTTAATTTCAAGCCAAATTGTATCCCAATCTTAACAAAATCTGTTGTGATTGAATGATGATGATGATGATGATGATCACATCTAAATCATTATGACATGAATTTGTATTTAAAAAAAAAAATTCATCCACTTTTTTTGTCACAAGTACAAAATAAATGAAATCAAATTTAATTTAAAAAAATACGATAGATGGCGTTGATGAGTCCTGGTACATGTAAACCACATTGAGATGTGTGCGATTATCATGTTCTGATTGTGTATCATCGAAAATAATCTGGTTGCAGCATTTGGCGTTTTTTTTTCTTTTCTGGTTGATGTTGATGATTGTTCTCCTTTTAAGTCCTTGAGATTTTTGTGATAATATTCTTGTTGATGTGTCTGTGTCTGTGTTTTTGTTTGTATACTACATCGAAAATTTTTTCTCTGATATCATCACCACACTATCTTAGTTGTTGTAAACGGTTATTGTTCGTCATTTTTTTCAATATCATTTCTATACTGTTGCGTATGTTTTTTTTCTCACATCATCGCTACTGACTATTTTTCATTCTTAAATCGGCAACATTACTTCATTGATCATTGAGAAACTTACATACAGAAACATTGAATAAATAAATCTTAATTAATTTTGTAAAACAAGAACAATGTTTTCCTCACCAATTCGTTGTCTGATTCATCCATCAACCATATTATCACCATGTCATCAATTATCACCATCGACATTACATCTGTGTCGACGATCCAAGTATTATTATGATTCATTCATTCGAATTGTTTCTGGAACTAATTGAAATTTTTTAATTTTGTTGCATGTAAAGTTCATGGTGGTCACACGTTGAAATGGGTCCACCGGATGCTATTCTTGGCATTACTGAAGCATACAAACGTGATACAAATCCGAAAAAAGTTAATCTTGGTGTCGGTGCCTATCGTAATGATCTTGGTAAACCACATGTATTACCTAGTGTTATAAAAGCCGAAGAAAAATTGAGTGAATTGAATTTGGATAAAGAATATTTACCGATATCTGGTCTCCCAGATTTCACAGCATCAGCTGCCAAATTGGCATTCGGTGATAAAAGTCCTGTAATCACTGAGAAATTAGTAAGTGACATTATATTATTATACAATAATCGGTTAATTGAGAATCCAATTTGTGAAATTTCACAATTAGAATGCAACAGTTCAAGGAATATCCGGTACTGGGTCATTAACGATTGGCGCCTGTTTTCTTCGTGACTTTCATCAAGGTCCAAAAGATGTTTATATGCCAACACCTACATGGGGCAATCATATACCATTATTTAAACGTGCCAATTTCAATATTAAACAATATCGATATTATGATCCAAAAACGTGTGGATTTGATTTTCCAGGTGCACTACAAGATATTGCAAAGATACCGGAAAAATCAGTCATTTTATTACATGCATGTGCACATAATCCTACCGGTGTTGATCCAAAAGTATGTCAGACATGAATTTGATAATCATTCATTGATGTAATAATAATAATTGTTTTATTTAGCTTGACCAATGGAAAGAAATGTCCAATTTGATCAAACAACGAAACCTGTTTCCATTTTTCGATATGGCATATCAAGGTTTTGCTACTGGTGATATTGATCGTGATGCATCAGCATTACGTTTATTCATTCAGGATGGCCATCGTGTTTGTCTTTCACAATCGTTTGCTAAAAATATGGGTCTTTATGGGGAAAGAATCGGTGCATTCACCGTTGTTGGTTCATCACAAGAAGAGGCTAGTCGTATTATGTCACAAATCAAGATTATAATTCGTCCAATGTATTCGAATCCACCGTTGCACGGGGCACGTATTGCATCAATGATTCTTAATGATTCATCATTACGAACACAATGGTTAAAAGATGTTAAAGAGATGGCACAACGTATTATAATGATGCGTGCAAAGTTACGTAATGTAATCGAATCAGAAGGATCGACACGAAATTGGCAACATATAACCGAACAGATTGGAATGTTTTGTTTCACCGGTATGGATAAATCACAATGTGAACGTTTGACCAAAGAATTCAGTGTTTATCTAACAATGGATGGACGAATTAGCGTTGCGGGGTTATCATCATCGAATGTTGAATGGGTTGGTAAAGGAATTCATGCCGTTACTAAGTGAAAACTTACTGATCATCATCATCCATTATTATTATTATCATCGTCATCATCACCATAAACAGTAACACAATCATTCGAAAAAGAATAGATAGACAAAAGAAAGAGGAAAAGAATTCTTTTCATATTTTAAAAAATAATTTCCACATAACTGATAATTTTATTCGAGAAAGAAAGGAAGAAAAAAATAAAATCAATTTTTACAAATTCAATTGAATCGTCACTGTTTCATAGATGTTGTCTTGGTATTTATGTTAAAACTCTGATGTTGTTGTCATTCCATAATGTAATCATCGATTTTCTCTTTATACTACTACAACAAACAATAAATGCAAACATTTGTTTTCTTCATTCAATGAAATTTACATTTGGTCATCTTCTAATCATAATAAAGTTCAATCAATTCGAGTTTGGTTAATTTTGTGTCTCTATATTCGAGAGACAAAACATCAAAATGTTTCAACCAGACGACAATTCGAACAAATACGGTAATTTTTTTGCCAATTTATACGTTGTAATACAACATTATTATGTAAGCATCGTATTAACAGCAATCCAATCATTAATCGATCACGGTTGTCTCACATATAACATCTGCCAATTAATAAATAAAATAAAAAAAAAAAAAGAAATGATGATGTGATTGGATTCAAATCACATACACACATATATACATACTCCTACTACATTCATATATATAAAATGGTAGTAGCAGTGATAAAAGACAGATGAAATAAATTTTCTTTTCTCCCCCAAAACCACCACATCTAATTACTTGGATAAAGAGGGGAGTGACTATTATCATTTTTTTATCCCCCACACATTTTCTAACATCCATTTCATTCACCTCTATAACAAATTGTAAAAAAATGTGTAGTAGTGGTTCTATATTTAGATATATTTGATACCCTCATGTTTCAACTGGCATTCCTTTGTGTTATTTCATTCTGCATGCTTAGAATAGGTGGTACTATGGTGGTGGTGGTATCTAAAACTGTCTGTCTATGTCTTGAATGTGGATAATAATAATAATAATACTGTATAATACGATTTGCTCACGGATTTTTTTCGTTTTTTGTTTTTGTATTTTTTTTCTTCAATGATCCCAATATCTTTGATCCATCAATGGTGATGGTTTGAAAAAAAATTCGGCGTGCGCTTCTACTATCAACAAAAAAAATAACGTACAGTAAAATAGTCATTGAATAACCGGACCGATTTTCCCGACAAACATCACCACTACTACCTCATATTTCTTCATCACTTCTACCACTTTGTCTTATACAACAACAACCGCCATTGACAGTCATCGGTGATGATGAAAAAAAACCCAAAAAATATAGTTTACATCCAAAATTTAAATGTGATGATGATCATCATTAAAGACGTCTACAACTTGCCGTTTTGTTTCCTACCCTCCTCCGAATCATTCTCAACATCATCGATATCATATAGTGGGTAAGAATAATAAACAAAAGAATGTTGGAATCACAAATCCATGTGAGCAGCTCAAATATTGGTCCAACGGATTTTTTTTTTTTTTTGAAGGAAGAAGAATCAACCAGAAAATGAGACAAAAATTGTAGACATTATTGTGGTCTGTGGTTTTATATATGTGTGTGTTGACCACTATCTCCATGAACTTTTTCTCCACTTGATAATCATCATCTTCATGGACAGTTAGCTTTTGAATTGAATGTTTATGTTTGTATTATATCCACAAGAATCAAAAAATGAAATCTTTGGACACTTGCTATTTGATTATTGGATCGTCTCATGGAAATCCCAGACAACAACAACAACAACGGCAACAAAAGAGAGATTTTACGCTCAGTCTCGGTTCTTGATCTCTGTGTGTATGTGTGTTTTAATTGTGACGAAAATCTTTTTTTATCGGAATTTCCGTCTACATAATTGATTGTGTCATTTGTCGAATGTTTAAGTTTTGTGTGTGGGTCAAATGAGAGCGAATTTCGAATCAGTTGTTTTCTTCGATATTCAGCAAATCCAGCCACACACATACTAAGTACAAATATTTATTGGTCGATTGATTGAAACCCTTCTTTATCAATGAAAATTTCATGAAATTGTTTACAGAAAAAAATTATTAAAATTATCACCAATCACCAACAAAGAAGGAAGTAAAGAATCCTTGAATTTTTTTTCCACCACCACCATGATCATCATTATCATTGAAATTATAAACACCAGCCAGTAAGAGCCAAAACCGAAGAAACAGAAAAAAACCTGAAAAAACCCAAAATCAATCAATCATAAAATTGAAGCCAAAAATATTAAAATGATAAAATGAATTGAATTTAATTTGATAATTATGAAAATGTTTCGAATACGGAAACGTCGAAAAATTTTTTTGCTGAAAAAATAATTTATCGAATCAATTCACATTTTTTTGTTATCATCATTTCTCTTTCATTAACATTGCCATTTTTGTGATTCTATATCTCAATGTCGACACATCGATATGGAACAGCAAACAAAATTATTGGATAAAACTTTGATCATCTGAATTATTATTATAACAATAAAGATGAATATTCTTCCTAGTTCATTATCATCGACATCATCATCAGCTGCTACGGCATTCATTACAACCATTGCAACAAATAATAATGACACATGCACATCATCTATCGATAATCGATCATCAATAATGATTAATAGTAAATGTTCTGTTTGTGATGAACAATTACAATTATCTCAACAACAGAATCATGAACAACAACAACAACAACAGGAATTATCATCGATTCCATATCGAATGTTAGCTGTTCGTCCTTCGATTGGTTCGAAAGATCCATTTTTTCCAATATTAGAAACATTAACACAAACATCCGCTATAACGGTACCTTGTTGTTTACGTTGTTCAGATTTATTATTAGAACAATGGAACGAATTTGAATTGAAAAATATCCCAATCAAAAATCGTTTATATAATGTACCAAAGATGAAAATTATTAAATCAAACTTGATGATTATGGCTGATAATAATAATCATCACCAACAACAACAACAACAAAACATTCGAATAAATCATCGATTGTATCGATCGCAGGTGTAACAACACCAACTGCAACAAGGATATTAGCTCATCAAATTAGTCTTTCGACAAACGATAATAATAATAATGGTAATTTAATCAATGTACAACAACAAAAATCAGCTGCAAAAGATACTTCAACAAGAACACCGTGTTTACAGGATGAAGTACTTGATCTTAGTATGACCGGTGTGAATTCAAATTCATCATCATCGACAACAATGAAAATTGATTCGAATAACATCAATCCATCAATGTTGACAATGGCTGTTGATACAACAACAATGTCTGGAACATTGAATAAATCGACAGTATTGACTGGCCATCGACCACGTACAAGTTCATCATCAAGCAGTGGTGGCGGTATAGGTGATAACATCATTGCAATTAGTCCATATTCATTAAATTCATCAATGACTAATCTGATTAAAGTATCTGCCAATCCTGTTGTTTCAACATTAAATTTATCATCGAATAATAATCATTCATCAACGTTAATGATGGCCAAAAAACCTTTATATAGCTGTACACTTTGTCATGAACAATGTACTGAATTATATTCAATTCTATTACGTCCAATGGGTAATTGTCCATATTTTCCATCATTGACTCAAGATATTAAAATACCTACTATAATTGATTCAAATGGAAAAATTGGTAATTTTTTGTTGTCTATTTAATTTAATTAAATATAATTAATTAATGATGGAATTTTTTCTATCACTAGGTGTTTGTGAATCTTGTCATCACCAATTAATAGTACAATGGGATTCTTATCAAAAATCCAACAAACCAATATTGGAACGAAAATATCAATTAATTCGTAATAAACAGCACAATCTATCAGAAGTTGTTTTAAGTACCAGAAATTCAACAAATATTAATCATCATCCTCATAATCAACAACATAATCATTTGATTACAACATCAACACCAACACCACCGATATCTCAGTCATTTGTTTCATTAGTTGCTGCCAATAAAACATTTTTTTGTGTTATGTGCGGTAAAGATCTAATTGCATCGAACAATCCACCTACTTCCCAATCATCATCATTATCATCAGGTTCTTCCATCAACAATAATAACACCATTTCATCATCATCACAAGCACATATAGCCTTTTCAATTTTAACCGAAAACGATACCTCTGGCAATGTGATCCAAAAGAAATTGATTGTCCAAAGTGCTCAAGAAATCAATCTCTTGCCTTTTATACCATCATCATCATCATCATCATCTTCACCATTACATTCAACGAATACAACAACGTCTTCGTCGGCAAATTCTTTAAAACAATTGCAATTGTTGCATGATAATGGTCGTGTATTGCTCTGTCATTCTTGTTTTTCATCGATCAATTCTTCAACGCCGTCATTATTGAATCTTAATAACTGTAGCAGCAGTAGTAGTAGTGGTATTCATTCTTCTTTGGAACAGCCGCAACAACAACATACGAGCAAAGCAACGACGAATCGATCATCATCATCTATGCATCATTCATCGAATGATTCATTGAATGGTTTGGATTCTTTTCATTAGTTTTTTTATTCATTTTTTTAATCATAAATTTTTTATATGAATTACAGCAATGACAAAAACGATTCTGATACAGCCAACATCCACGACATCAACAACAACAACATCGATGGCGACTGCAACTACGACAACAACAACAACAACGATGATGAAGGTTCCAGATGGAAATGAACTAGGCAATCAAATATGTGTTGCTTGTAAACAACATAAATCTGAATATTGGGTTGAAACGAAAGAAAATTCTGAAAAGAAACCATTCTATCCATTTTTACAACATGATGCAAATGAATTGGTCAATAGTCGTGTTCGTGTTTGTGCGCAATGTCATTTAATTCTGGAAATTCAATGGGACGGCTTTGAGAATGGTTATGTGCCGTATAATCAACGTGTATATCAATTGTCTTCATCGGCAAAACGTCCACCATCATCATCGACTCAGTTTTCGTCAGTTGTTGCAGCCGTAACAACAACAACAACAGCAGCAGCAGTAGCAACAAGCTCATCTTCATCACCGGCCATAATTACACAGGTAGTTAATGGGCAACCGGCTTGTCCATTAAAGATTCAGATTGCTGTATCAAATTCGTCATCATCATCATCATCATCTCAACCATCGACACTAGTCCTTGGTTCTGTTAATCATATTCAGAATAATAATCCTTCCGAACATCTTTTGTTGACCACCGTGAGTACAACACCAAATCATTCAATCATCTCAACGATAAATAGCCAAGATCAGCGTTACAATAAACTATTGAATGAATTATTGGCCAGTATTGGTGGTCCACACCTACATCTATCAGGCACTTGTTTGATTTGTTCACAACATAGTGCTACAGGTCAAACATATCAGATATTCTCAACTTCACGTAACGTAATCCTATCGGCCGAATTAGGAATCTATCCATATTTTCCAATGTTGAAAAGTTTAATACATACCACCAGCAAAAAATCATTATCGTCTAAAAATCATAATATTGATAATAATAATAATAATTCACATTTAGCTTGCACTTATTGCTATCATTCATTAATGGCTCAATGGATTGCATATCATTTGTATAGTAAACCAGAAGATCGTGATCTTTCTGCTAGACATTATGATTGTCGAAATTTTGTCTGCTATGTTTGCGGTGTTACCACCTATCGACAATTTGTGCGATCAATTACAGTGAAAGATTTTCCTTTCTTACGCGATCATAAACGTCCTCCTGGTTAGTCTTGTATTAATAATTTTATTCGATTCTGATTTTTTAATTTAATTTTCTAATTTGTTGCTGATAAAGGTTCATTGAAATTAAATAAAGGTGAAAGTGTAGTCACTTGTTTAACCTGCTATCAAACATTAACACATCAATGGATCGAAAATGAACGTATGAAAGTACCGTTAGAGATGCGAAAATATAATTGGATGGCTGTACCACCACCACCACCACCACCGCCGATAACGACAGCTATTAAAAATGAGTCAATTAATGAGCCAAATAGCAAGGTTTGTGATTTACAATTTTTAATCATTGATTTTTATAATGATGAATTTCCTATATGTTTTGTTGCAGAGACCAACACATTCCGATCGAACGATTATTCCGATTCTAGCGCAAACCACTTCACTTTCATATCAAATTAACAATGCCAATCCACTTAATCACAATGGTGAGTAGTACAGTTGTATTGAATTTTTTTTTGATGATTCTATTCCTGTTGTGTAAATTATATAGGAATTATTTCGGTTCCTGTTTCAAATGAAATGATACCTAAAGCAGCAATAATTGTCAATGCCGGTAATTTCGGTAACAACAATATCGTTAGCCAACAACAACAACAATCGAACAACAACAATTTGAATGTAACGGCACCGACATCATTTAATCCATCACATACATTGGCACCATTAGTAGCGGCTGCAATGGCCGCTACACCTGTTACAATCAAACAAGAAATGATAAATGAAACATCTACAAGTGAACCAATTACAACAACCAATAATAATGGCAGTAGTAGTTCACAATCATCACAAATGAATGTTACAACAACAACCGCAACGACAGTATTGAGACATCTGGCACGTCAACAATATGTCCAAATTCAATATCCACAGCAATTGTAAGTATTCATTGTTGTTGTGGTTTTGATTAAATCTGAATTTTTATCTTTTACTGATTATCAGACTTCAGCAGCAACCACCTGATTCTAGATCGAATCCATCTAATTCAATAAATTTGACAACATTAGCTTCTGTTGCTGCATTGGCTGGTAATAATCGTAATTCAACGCCGGCTATTAGCAACAATAATAATAGTATGGCATCTCATCATCATTCCAATCATCATCATCATCACCAACAACAATCATCAATCGATAGTCAACATTCAATTCATTCACATTCAAATCATCATCATCATCATCAGGCTTATGAGCTTCCAAAAGCTGTAATAAATTCAAACAGTTTTGCATTACATTTCAATGCATTAAACAATAATAATAGTAATAATAATGATAGCAATAATAATCAACAAAAACATCAGCAAGCAAAAGCATTGAAACCAAAAATTGAACCGAATGAAACAGAAGATATTCAACAACAGGCGATGGCAAATTGTTTGGCTATGAAAAAGAATCACTTGAATGATAATAATATTCAACATCAATTACATTGTCAACGACGTATTGATCGAACACAAGCACAGATAAAAGAATTGGAAGAATCAATTCAACAAGAAGATTCAAATGTGCAAGATTTTGATCATAATAATTTATCAAAAGTTAACTTAGAAGTGATACAATTGCGTAAAAAACGTTTAGCACAACTAAATCGATTGAAAGAAAAAATTCAACAACTTGAACAACAAATCAATCAGCAACAGCAATCACCAGAGAATATGATGATGGAGACAGATGAAAATTCTCTATCCGATGCTGAATTGACTGAAATTGATGAAAATCGTTCGCTAGACAGTGATTTAATTGACGTTTTCGATGAAGATCATGAATCAATAGTTGAATTTATGGATCAAGTTTTGCCACCATTACCTTTGAAAGAAAATGATGACGAAGATTTGGGCAAAATGGAGTTTCTCTCATTGCTCGGTTTGACCACTCATCGTATGAAACGTGAAGATGATCTCGATAATTATATTCAAACAAAAATGAATAGACGTTTAACCCATGCTTCATTCAAAGTTGATTGGCTTTATGAACAAGAAAATGATATATTGGAAGTTGATCCAAAATATGAAACATTTAAACGTTGGCCATATTTTCGTGAAAGTAGAATAAATCCTAATTCGGATCGATTGCATACAAAAGGTGTTCGAAAAAGTAATAGAAATAAAATGCAATTTTTCGAAACACTTGGGTTGAAGCCACCAACCATGGAAAATAGATTAAAAACTGAAATTAATTGGCTAGCCGTTATTCGTAATCGTCAGATGCGAAGAAAACGTCGACTTATTTGTGTGGGTAAACAATATCAAAATCTTGATGAAAAGATTCTTCAGACTTGGATCCCATCTTTGATATCATCGTCCATATCAAATGACAATAATTCGAAGCTTATTGAACGAATCAATACAAAAGTCATTCCAAATCTTGATGATTATATCAATTATAAAGAAGAATCTACGACCGAATCTAATGATAATCTAGATCAACAACAACATGATGAGACTCAAATTATGACATTTGATTGTAATCCCGCCGAAGTAATAAGGCCGCCATCTTCGTCTTCATCATCAATGCAAAGGACAATCATAACACAACAACAACAACAACAACAATCTAGCTCAACATTTCAACAATCGAAAATGTTATCAACCAAAAATGATCAAAATACAATTGTTGTGATCAATGACAATCATCATCAACAACAACAACCATCAGCTCAAACAACAACTATAATACCAGCGGCAACAAATAAAATGTTGGATCCCAAACAATTTGCACAAAAATTTCATGAATCAGTATTGTTAGAAACACAAAAACAAATGAATGGCAAACAACAACAACAGCTTCAAACTAATGGATCAATTGTAAATATTATCAATTCTGATTCCATGCATCACTATCCATTAATGTTGACAACAACAACAGCAGCAACAACATCGAACGCACAACATGCCGCCATTATCTATAGTGATCAACATCATTTAAGGCCTGTCATGAACAACAGTACATCCAATCCACAACAACAACCACAATTATTGATTGATCGTAATGGATTAATATCGACTATCACGGCAACGCCTGCAACTGTCATCACTTCGATCAAAGGTAAAAATTGACTGTTTTTTGTTGAAATTCAAACCAAATTCTAATTAACATCATTTTTAAATAGTTCCTGCAACATCTGCAGCAACGACAACAATAACGCCTCCAGATAAGCTAAATATTCGTGATCAAATTCTGAACTTACAACATCGCATTGATGATATTAATCGAGAATATTCAGGTTTAAATGAAAAACGAAATGTAAGTTTTAAATTCAATTGTGATGGTGCAATCATCTAATGAGTTGTATTTCGATATTTTTTTCAAGGAAATCGTGATGACAATGCAAAAATTAGAAAGAGAAAAAACATTATTTCAATTGGAAATTGATCGCCTATCTAAATGTTTGGATTGAAAAAAAATTGGAAACATTTGATACATTTTCTTCATTGCCGCCATCTATGCTTGTCGTTTCTGTAATAATTTTTTTTAGATTTTTCCTATTTACACAGCTGATAGCTTTTTGATATATTTAGAATTGAATGAGTAATACTCAGTAATCTAATCTCTCTATCATCATCATCGATACAATCATCATCATTTTCATTAATCATGATCATCGATCGCTTCCACGTTATATACTCACCACACACACATACACCCACCGATCTATTGGTGGACAAATGATAATGTTACAGAATAAGTTTTTTTTTGTTTGCAACCTTCTCCTCTTCATTTTTGAAGTTATTTGGATCAGATGAAGATGGATGAGATGAGTTGGAGATGAATCAAATTTTTTTTCTGTCTAAATGTAAATATTTTTTTTGTAATGAATGGTGGCCAGACAGCGAATGTTTTTTTTCTTTTTTCTGATTGTTTATTATTATTGAATTGAATAATTATTGGTTTACTATTTTTTTCAATTTTGAATTTAATTTCATTTTTTTTTTCGAAAAATTATTTGGCATGAATGCTGGCACAAACACACACACATAACACAAAAAAATTGATTTTTTCTCAAAAAAACTAATTATTGTATTTGTGGTCTAGTTTTTATTTTCCAATTAATTAATTGATTGATTGATTTTTTTCGAATAAAAATGTTAAAAGTACAAGAATTCTGAATGTAGTTCTATTTAAATCACACGGAAATCGTAATTCTGAATCAATATTTTTTTTGTATTTGTTTTGTTCTGATTTTTGTGGTGAAATTTTTTCTTTTTTGATTGTCAACCCACAAACACACACGAAAGCAGAAACATTCCTGTCATTGAATTCGAATTTTTTTGATTTGTTTGGTTTTTATAAGTGAAAAAATTATGTCGGAAAAAAGTGAATCAGAAAAAGAAAAATCCCTCCAAGATACTGATGATACAAAAGGTGGATCAGCCGCTGTCGTTGCTGATACAACTTCTGAATCGAAAGTTGATGAAACAAATGCTGCAAGTGCTACTACGGCTGCTACATCATCACAATCACCTACAGGTCAACCGGAAGAATCGCCTTCTTCAGTGGAACAACCACAAAGTGATGTTGAATCTGAAAAAGCTGATCAAGTTGAAACTCAACAGTCAGAAAAATCTATTGATGGCAATGAAAGTCAAAGAGATGATGGTGAAGAATCGGATCAAAGATCACAAACAGAAGAAACTTCATCGAAAACATCAACTGAACAAAAAACCACTGCAAGTCGTGGTCCAGTTATGCGTCGTCGTCGTAAAGGAGAAAAGGTTACAGAGAAAAATGTACGAATTGGATTTATTGGTGCCGGTAAAATGACTGAAGTTATTGTCAAAGGTTTACTTGAAGTGGCACCCGCTGATGGTAGCGAACGTATTAATCCGAAGCAAATTTTTGTGGCATCAAAAAGTGGTAAAAATCATGACAATTACAAACGGCTAGGATGTTATGTTACGAAAAGATCGTATGATATATTTGGACGCATGGATTGTGATATTGTATTTCTTGCTGTACATGGTTATGTAATACGACAATGTTACAAAAGTGGTGGCATTCGCCCGTTAGCATTGACAACGAATTTCATACCGAATCAACGACATCCGTTGTACATATTGTCGTTGGTTGGTGGCATTCCATTGAACGATATTAAACGAACATTGTTGAATCCGGATCATCCGGAAAAATATCGTGTTGAAATGCATCGAATAATGTTGAATCATGGCGTAGCATATGGCCTGGGCATTGGTGCCATCGATGTTGAACCTGATTCAAAACATTGTGCCGGAATTATTCGTAATATTCTTTGTCGAATCAGTCGCTTGGAAACGATCGGAGAAAATCATATGGATATTGCCTGTGCAGCTGGTGGTTATGGATCAACATTTTGTTATTATTTTATGGCTGCCGTCGCTGATGGTGCATTCAAAAAAGGATTGCCCAAACATTTGGCTACAAAAATTGCTGCACGAACATTACAATCGGCTGCTGCATCGATAATTGAATCGGGAAAAAATCCCAATGATCTTCGTGATGCTTGTACATCGCCAAGTGGACCGGCTATTTATGGTCTTCATGTATTGGACAAAGCTGATTGTGCATCCGGATTCGCAGCTGCCGTTGAAGCAGCTTATCAACGAATCAAAGAACTAGCTGAAAATCCACCAGCATAAATATTTTCTCTTTTTGCCCTTTGTTTTGTGTTGTGTTGTTGGCTTGAAAGAAATTGAAATTGAGAATTACAAAAAAAAACACACTGAGTTGCATTTATTAAAAAAAATTCAAAAAATTGCTTTAATACAGCATGGTTAAACCTTTGACAAGGCCATAACTTGCGCGCGCAACAGGTGGTCGTCCAATTTCAATTGTCATTTGTGTCCTGTCAAAATTTATGGACCATAATGGTGTCGTGTGTGACATATAGTTTACGTGTTAATAGTTTATATATTACCAAGCTCAAAGTTTTTGTGTTTACACTCAGCAAAGTGTATTTATCATTTACCTGTTGACCTATGACCACCATATCGATTCACAATGAATCTTAAATTCTTGACCGTTTCATTGTTTTTTTGGTTTCAAAAATTATCACAAGCTGACGATTCTTACAGAAATAGTGATTTAGATAATGCCAAATGTGATTCAGTAGTTTGTGCATCGATAGTATCGAAATGTATACTGAGATCTGATTGTAAATGCGATAATATTCACTCGAATCGAACTTGTTCAGAAAATTGTTCAAAATGTTTAGATTATTTTTATCAGGATTGTTGTCTTTGTTTCGGTATGTTATTTCTGTTTGATCAATAATTTCAATGATATTTACCTTTGTTTTAATACTCGTTTCAAGATCTTTGTGAATCAAAAACGAATGAATCGGAAAATATTCAACAACGTTCAAACGTTGGCCATATACAAGATCCACAACCGGATTTTTTTAATTTACTAACCGAATCTCCTGATCCATTGGAACGTTGGAAAACAATTTCCTATTCGTTGATTTTGCCTATTGAAGAAAAAGATCTTTCAAAAGAGGATGAGAATTCATCGGAACTCGAAATGAAATGTATAGTTGCTTATATGGCTCAATGTCTTTCGATGAATAAATGCCGTTCATCATGTGCTTCAATGGGATCCACGACCTTCCGCTGGTTTCATGATGGATGCTGTGAATGTGTTGGACAATATTGTAATGAATTTGGTCTGGATAAATCCAATTGTACTGCATGTCCATTCATTATAACTGGAGATCACGAAGATTTATAGGGATCCGAAGCAACTTTTAAAATTTCAAATAAATTCCCATAACAATCTCTATGAATGGATTCGTGGCTATATATCAATGTCATATGATTTGTTTGTTTAAAAATTCGATTCGTTCATTTTTATAAATTCTTGCATATATATGCCATGAATAGCTAGAATTTTTTCCCTTTATTTTTCGTTAAGATCCAAAAATTTATTTTTAAATTTCATTTTCTTATACATTATGTCCATTATATACAATGTGATCATACGATCAACACCGATAACAGCTAATAAAGCATCTTCAATTCATTTGTCAAGATTATTTGTCGATACTTTTCCTTCATATACTAAACGCTTATCTACGACAGCAACAAAATTCACGACCATTCAAGAATGTTGCTCGCGTCATAATGTTGGTAAAAATGTGATAAATAATTGTGGACGAAATCGTCAATTTTTATTGCCATTTCGAAACCAAAGAAATTTTCTCGGCACACAAAGATTTAAAAATAAGGTAGAAATAAACAATACATCATCACAACCGAAAAATGAATGGGCCGAATTGAAGAAATTACCGTTGGTTAAACGATTACATGTAATGTTTAAAAAATATTGGTACATTGCCATTCCGTTTCATTGTGTCAATTGTGCCGTTTGGTTTGCATCGTTTTTTCTGCTTGCTCAATTGTAAATGACTGAATAATATTTTATTGTTCAATGATTTTAACTCTTGTTGTTTTTTTTCAGTGGAATGAATGGTGCTGCTGTAATCAATTGGGTGAAACCATATATTGAAGATTCATCATTTTGTCCACAATTTATGAAAAATTTATTCGAAAAAGATGCCGATAAATTGGGTAGCGTTGCCATTGCTTTATTGTTGTATAAATTGGCTACACCTGGAAGATATGCAACGACAGTTTTTGGAACCGTATATTTACTTCGATATATGCTTCAAAAAGGTGTTCTAGTCAAAACAGCAAATGAACAATTGATTAGTGTACGACAGTCTTATATCAGCCATGCTGTCAATCGTAATATATTGAAACAAAAAGAACGTTTTATGAAACAAATGAAAAATCAAACTAGTAAAATGCGATCAAAACATAGATGATTGTATCGATATTCCAAAATAGAATTAACAAAAGGCAATTGATTAATTGATTTTATTTCAATGATTATTATTATTAAATTAATCGTATCGAATTCATGAAAGCTGCATTATTTATGCAAATTTTCAATCTAAAAATCATCATCTCCTTTATCAAGATTAGATGCAGAAATTTTTATCTCAGAATTGGTGGCAATTTTTGTCGTTTCATTCGATTTAGTAAAATCCACTTCAGTTGAATTTATCGAATCTTCATCATCATCTTCGCTATCGATTGCATCCAAATCAATTTCCGAATCAGACATTTTCGCATTCGTTTCTGAACGTTCTGAATCATCATCATCGTCGTCGTCATCGTCATCATCATTTTCTAACAATGATCCATATGAAAAAATTCGAGCTGTTTTGGCGCTTCGATTATTCGATGTATCCAATGTATTATCATTCGATATACTGACAGGTGAACGTTGGCTTTTGACAACAGTGTTTGCCATTAATAATCTATCTTTTTTATCATTCGTCCGACTCAATTTGTTGGCTTTTTGACGTCCATTCCGTCGAGATTTATGATTATCATTTTTAGGTATTTCATTGATATCTCTGTCACTGAAATCACTTCCGTCCGATACACGTCCCATAGCATCTTCATCCACGTCGACAATTGCAGCCAATTCATCGGCAGAACGTTCATCCGTGCCAATATTTTGTTGGTTCCATGAATTTATACGCATATCTTTATTGGTTTTTAAAAAATCATCGATTTTAATCTGTTCAAGCATTTGTTTAATTTCCTTGTTTCTTTCTTCAATTTTTAGCCGTTCAAGTTCTTCGAATTCTTCAAGTTTCTGTTCCAGGAAATACAAACATCTACTACTTGTGACATAATCATCATATAATCCAACGATTTCTTGTTCAATTTTTTCCAATTCATCCTGATATCCTGGCCTTTGTGCATGTAATGTTTGTAACCGTTTCTTATTACGATTCAATTCGCTTTGTTTCTTTTCAATTTTTCCATTGATATCATCATTATCTCGATCGACATTTTGTTTTCTTTGTTGCATATCGACAATATCTTGTTGCAATTGTCGAATACTTTGCCGTATTTGGGATTCAATTTGATCGATAACCAATTGTTTGCCAAGCGTTTTCTGTAGTTGATCCTAGAGAATTTTAAGAAAAAGAGTCATTACCCTGTTTGATGGATTTAAAAAGTTTACTTTACTTTATTCTGATCATGTTCAGCGATTGTATCGTAAAGTTTGGTTGCCACTTGATATATTTCCGATGTTATCTGGCTGGTTTTGAAGCTGTTATACTTTTTTGTTTGAAAAAGAGAACAAATCTTTCAGATCTAATAATATCTAATAATTTAAAAGATTTATTTACTTGTGAAAGTTTTGTCCGATCAAATTCTTCACCATTACGAACGATCAATGATTGTTTCGATTCATCAGAATCATTCTCATCCTCTTCATTGATTACATCTTTTCGGCCTTGTTTTCGATAATCTTGATCAAGTGTAATCCATGCTTCTTGAATCAATTTGGCCAATTTTATCATCTCCTGAACGGAATTCACATCGGCCATATACAATTTTTTGACATTGATATCCAAATTTGCTTTGTTTACCATCAAATGTGATGCTGTCATTACGAATTTTAACCGTCCTTCCTCCGTTTCGACGTTCGTTTCGATTTCAGTTTTCGGATCAAAACGTTTCAGAAGATAAACGAGAACATCTGCCATTAATGGAAAATTTGGATTTCGAAAATTTTCAATTGACATTTGTCGAGGATAACCGAGAGATCTCATTACTGAAATAAAATCTAAAAGTGAAATTGTTATTGTCTAAAATTTTAATTTTAAAAAAATTTAAAAATTACTTCGCATCAAATGATAGTTTGAAGATGCCATCTTTGAATCAATAATTTTCCTTTTAATGGGTACATAATCATATAACCGAATTTATTTTGAGCAAAAATTCGGAAATTCTACCAAGTTTGGTTTCCATGGAAACTTTAAATTTTTCCTAATGAGGTTCTCTATAAAGTCACTAGATGGCGATAGTCATTGTTTGCGGACAGCATTGTGATTTGCGCGCCACTTTGACGACGAGTCATTTGTTTTATTGTTTGTTTTTGTGATTCGACAATTGAATTTGATTTTTATTTTATAAAAAAAAATGGAAATCGATAATAAATCTGATTCCAGTGATGATTCAGATTATGATCCAGATAAATCCGTCGGATCAGATGAACAATGTGATGAAGATGATGATGAAGAAAGCTCGATGAACGAGAGCGATGATTATGAAGATGACGACGACTATGATGATAATTGTGATGGCGATGATGAATCCGATGACGACCAAGACGAAGATTGTGATAATTCTGAATTGAAATCATCATATATGCCCGATGTAATTGATCAAATTGTCGATGGTCGTGTTAAAATCGAAGTAAAAGATGAGAATAATCCCGAAAATGAACAAGATGACGATGTGCTGCCAATGATTGATGAATTTGATCTCGAACGTTATCGTATTTGGAAAAAGAATTGCCAATTTTTATATGATTTAATCATTACAAATCGTTTGGAATGGCCGTCGATTACCGTTCAATGGTGTCATTCGAAACAAACGAAAACCAATCCATACAATAATCGCGAATACTCAACAGATAAATTATTGTTCGGTACTCATGTGGATGAAAATAATCAAAATCATTTGATTGTCGCTACACAACACACACCGATTATTGATCGTAATCAAATTGCTGCTTGTGAAGGTGGTGTTTCACATACTAAATATGCTAAACTTGAAAATTATGTCCGTATCATTCATGATGGTGATATCAATCGAGCTCGTTATAATCCGCAAAATTCATTCATTATTGCTACATCATCTTCTTCGGCCAAAAATTATATTTTCGATTATTCTAAACATCCATCTGAACCTGCTAGTAAAGAATTTAAACCAGAATTAATTTTAGATCATCATCAACAAGAAGGTTATGGTCTGTGTTGGAACACCAGGAAAAGTAATATTCTGGCTACTGGATCACAAGATGAAAAAATCTGTATCTGGGATATTAATTCGAATCCATCGAAATCGAAAACTTTGACACCGGTTCACTCATTTAAAGCACATGGAAGTGTTAATGATGTTAAATGGCATTATTATCATGAATCATATCTAGGATCGGTCGGCAATGATAAAATGTTGAAATTTTGGGATTCTCGTATGAATGGCGAAATCAAAGCAGCTTTTTGTAGCCGTGTCCATAATGAAGGTGTGAATTCTTTGTCATTCAATCAATTTTGTGAATATGTCATACTAACCGGATCAGATGATCATACTGTTGGTTTATTCGATATTCGAAATCTGAAACACCGTTTACATTCATTTGATGCACATCGTGATGAAGTACTTGATGTTAATTGGTCACCATATGGTGAAACAGTATTTGCATCAAGTAGCCGTGATAAACGGTTGATAATATGGGATATGACCAAAATCAATGCACCACAATCGATTCAAGCTGCCCAGGAAGGTCCGCCTGAAATGATATTTATTCATGGTGGACATACGGATATTATACAGGATTTTAGTTGGCATCCACATAATCAATTGATAGCATCGGTATCGGCAAACAATGAATTACATGTATTCAAACCATCCATTGATATCAAATTATCAATATGATGACCTTGAAATATTTGATCATTTTTTATGATGAACTAATCTTTCTAAAATTATCGTTTCATTTTTTTTTCTTTAATAAAAATCAAAAATTGATTTGATTGAATTCATCAATTTTTTCAAATTTAAAAATGATAATCAACTTTATTGCCTGCCAGATGGCATGTGATTGCTGTTGATCAATCACATATTTATCACTCGGAATTGAAATAAAACACTTCAAAAACTGGTTATATTGGTATTCGGTAAGGACATAAATAACAAGCATTTGAACCATCCTTTTTTGATTTTGATCATAAGATTCATCATCGTGCGCATGTATATTTTCTATATTTACTCGAATGTTTGTTTGTTTTGTATTTATTATTGTGTGCATGGATTTTTTTGCTTTTTCAATTTATAAAACATTGATGATGATATGATATAATGGATTGAATTCCAGATTGAAATTTTCCACCAATTTTTTTGTATGGTATGTACCCATGTATTAATGAATAGAAATCTTTATTTATTTTTTTTTGTTTTGTAGAAATTTTGATTACAAATCAAAATTCGTTTCGATCTCGCGTATGAACGTAGAGAGATTTATCATTACAAATTTCAAGTCCTTTAGAACTTGAATCTACATCACAAGTGATTAATTAATTTTATTTTAATGACAGCCTTGATGATTACCATAATTATTATTGACATTTCCAATCAATTATTCTTGGCACCATTCTTTTTAGTTTGTCAATTCCGAAAAACAACGTCATTCTCATTTTGAAATCACATTGAATACACGTTGTTTATTGTCTATCGAGTGTTTTGGCCTAAATTTTTCCATCATCATCATTATCGTTTTGTTCCTTACTTAAAAAATGATAAAAATAAACTAATCTCTGTCATCAACGAAAAGAAATCGACTTGTTCTCAATAAACAACATCAACAACAATTTTCTTGTTTATTGTCGTATATCGGATATACTTAAAAACGAAGAGTTCATCGTAACTTCAAGACAAAAAGAAATCAAATTCATATCAACAACAAGATATTCAATAATAACTGAAAAACATAATTGATAAGTGATTGTTGGATTTTTCCTTTTCATCGATGATAACATATAATCAATTCAATGTAATCAATCAATTAATTTTGGTCCAATTTTTTTTCCTGCAAAACAAAAATCAATCATTTAAAATGAATCATAGTTGTGTGTGAGATTATGTGATTGATTTTGATTTTTATTTTATTATTACGAGTCACATGACTTTTTTTCGATGCTAATTGTATTCTTAATTTTTCCTTTTAATGATTAGATAATTTTTTTATTGATTGATCGAATTTATTGATTTATTTTTGATTTTATTTACAGATTTCTGGTTTTCTTGGAAAAAATTGTTTAAAAACTGCCACGAATATCGAATTATTGTCAATTTCGTCTTGTTTACAACCAGCTTGAACTGAAAAAATTTTTCACGCCATCATTGTTTGCCGTTACTCGTTCGATTTTACACATAATGAATCCAGTTTTACGACAAAACATTTTTTCATCGATTCCACGAATCATTCAACAAATGGCCACGCGAACAATTAGCTCACAACCCAGAGTTGATCGTAGACCGCCACCACCACCAATGGATCCCATACAAACAGATTCAAATTCGACAGACAAATATATCGAAGATCGTGTCAACAATTTATTCAATATAATCTTGGCCGATATTAGTTCATGGCAACAATACAATCAAATGCAGAATAAACCAAATGCCATACTATATCAAGATCCATATGATTCTAAAGATCAAATCTTACAAGATCTAGTACGTAATAATCAACAAATTAATTATCGTAATTATAATATTCAAGATCTGATTGAAGATGAATTTCAATTGGAAATTTCTGATAAAGAATTTGAACAATTTAAAACATTAAAAGATATTACACAATACGTAAGCCGAAGATGGGAAATACGACAACAATTATTGGCAGCACATTCAGCTGATTATGCTTATCCATCATATTGGTATTAGATTACATTGATGATGATGATTTATGAACAAAATATCGATTTGATCATCATCATATGATACTTAATTATTTGAATTTTTTTTTCGTTATATTATAATTTGTTTGTTATTGATTATTTGTAATTTGTAATTGTATTTAATTTGAAATATATGTAACATTGCTCAATATCATCATTTCGCAAAATTTTCTCTTGTTCATCGTTGTATATATATTGATAGTTGTGAAAGATGGCTGTGAATGTTTCATAGATTTTAATCTTTTTTTTGTCGTTTAATTGAAGAATTTTTTCTTTTACAATGAAAATTTTCAAAGATTTTGATCAATGTGAAATTGTAAGAATTTGATGGTACAAACGCGATAAATTTATTTATTTGATTGAAAATTTAGAATAAATTTGAAAAACAACTTTTTTCAATCATTTTGTTTATTCAATAAAATTGAACTATAGACTATGTGGACTTGTGAGTATATGTAAACTTTGATGTGTGATTTCTACATAATAATGAACTTGATCTCATTTTTTTTTTTTTTAAATATTTCAATTTCAATTTCAATAATCAACATCGTCATCGATGGTGGACATCATCGTTATAAAAATGAAAAACAGACCAAGTGAATTAACAATATGTGTGTGTACTACATTCATACATCTTCAACGATTTTCAAATTCATATAAATAATAAATAAATAAATAAAATAAATATAAAATTCAAAATTTAAACTGATTTCTCTCATTCATTACATTGGAAACTTTCTTCTTCCCTTTTGAGAATCGCAAGTTATCAGCACTTTTGATCAACATCAAACAAGGGGCGAGAAAAACTGACGACGACGAAGAAGAAATATTTTAATTCTAATGTCTTCATCATAATCATTATCGAAAAAACATCATTATCATGGAACTTTGAAGATTACAGATGCATCAACAGCAAATAAAAAAGATGAGATTTATCCATCAAGTAATAATCATCACTGTTTTTGGATCACAAACAAACAAAGTGAACAAGCAAATTGAAACTCTTTTTTTTCTCCATTTCCATTTTATTAATTACAAGGCAGCGATCCTTGAGTAGTTGGATTCATGGCCATCCATTCATGATTTGGTTTGATTTTCATCAAAATCTTACGTCAGATTTTTTTATTATTTATAAACGATATGAATGATGAATATGTAAAGCAGCAACAAAAAAAAATGTTGATCATCTTTGTCGACATTTAAAAAAAACTTGAATAAATGAGAGATGAATACAATGATGATAATTCTGATGGCAATGTTTGTTTGTTTGTATTATTTGAAATCCAAAAGGAAAATTTCAAGAACAATCTTGTTGAAAAAAAATCCTTGATTGGAATATTTTCAGATTGAAATATATGACAATCAGTTACGTCTTCTATGAACGGTTCTCACTAAATTTTTTTTTTTTTTTTGGAGGGCAAATCGTGATTGGTAACAACAACAAAAAAAAAAAAAAAAAAAAAGGATTAGTGAAAATTTTTGTTTTTTAATCGAATCAAATCAAATTAATCGATAAAATTGACGTTCATGATCAATACATTCAATGTTTTTGTTGTTGTTTTTGTGTTCCGTTTTTCAATATTCATAAACTAGAGGTTATAATCGTGATATACATCATTTTTGTTGTTTTTGTTGTTATTGTTCCATCACCATCAACAACAAATATATGATCTTGATCATCAACCATTAGGGCATCATCATCGTCAACGATAAAATTTTCAAAATTTTTTTTAATCCATGAAAGGTATTTGAAACACGTTGAATGAATGTCACCCTTATTTTGAATTCATCATTTTCCCTCATTTAAAATTTTTTTTTTGTTCCATTTTAATATATGATGATTGACAAGAATTATTTGAGATCATTTTTTTCTGAGATCACTGATAACGATTAGCGATGGCTTCATTCGGTTGTTATCGAGAGTAAGCTGTTTGTTTGAAAATGAAATTTTTTCTCTTACTAATTTTTGTTATAAACAACTTGTAAAATTTCCAATTATCTCCCCTAATCCACACTGTTGGATGATCCAAACCAAACTCTAACTTTGAATGAATTTTTTCCGTTTGAAAAAAACAAACAAAAAAATCGACAATTTATTCTTCGAAAATTGATTGAATTAATTTGATTGAAAAAACATGACGATGATGATTTTCTTTTAAAATGCACCTGGAACAAACAGTCAATGTTTTACGATATTCCTACGATTGGCCTCGAACAAAAAATAAACAAAAAAAAACTAATTTTTTTTTGTTTCACGAAAAATTAAATCTGACCAATACCACCACCATCACCACCGCTATTGAGTTTTTTAAATTCCAGACATTTTTTTTATTTATTGATACGATTTCCAGCTAAATCATCATTTGTAAAAGTGATTTTTTTCTCTTTTTTTCCCAAAACTTCAATGTCATTTTATTTTCATCATGGGACTAATGTTTCATGAAATGCGTCATATCATAGTCATTGAAATTTATTCATTTTTAAAAATTTTCTGAAATTCTTAAAATTCGTGGGACAGGACTTGAATCACCACAATTTATATACAGATGCCATTTCCGCCATTATCAAACATTTCACATTTGGTGGTATTTCTTTTGGTTGGCGTTTGTGTGTCTGTTTGATGTGTGGGATGATGAATGATGGCGCGGTGTTCAACATGAAGATCATCATCATCATCATCATCACCTGGCCATCTTGTTTTATTCATACACTTTCACTGTGTTATATTCAGCATGCTGGCCATGGTATTTTAATGCAGGCAGACAGACAGACAGGCAGTGTTGAAAAAAATGTCATCATTAAATTCCAATTTAAATTAATTTGATAAAAAACTACGTTTTTTGTTCAAAATCAATATCGATTGATTTGCTTGAAGCAATTTAAATTATTTCGAGTGTTTATGATCAAGGATTTTAATCTATTTCGAAAAATTCCAAGCGAAACAACGAAAATGATTCCACAGGTGTGTGTGTGTGTGTGTACATGGTAATTTTTTGAATTTGAAAAAGTGTCATTTTTTATTTTGTTTGAGAAAAAAAAACATTCATTACTTCAACTCTTGTGTTTATTGACATTTTATCCTCGCATTTTTAGTAGATTAATAGTGATTATCAAATTATCTATATGATCAATGTAGAAAAACAAAATAAACAACTTACTCATAAATACTACTGATCACTTTTTCTTAGTTCCTGGTTCGATATCGATTGCATAAAATAATTGCGGAATTGATACTTCTCTACAAAAAATGATGATGATCTGATTTTATATGTTGATTATCGACTTGACTTTTTTTTAAAATAATATAGACAGGAAAATAACAACTTTCAACATTGTCACCTTTCTTTTTATATCTCTCCCTTGTTAAATTTGAAATTACGTTGATGATTTTGATCATGTTTTTTTCACTTTTCAAAATCAAAACAAAACAAAGTTTCATGCACGATAATATAAATCATCATTTGACGAAAAATTGATTTTGCGAATCCATAAATATACAAAAAGGGAATTTGATACATATTGGATACAGTCTGGACCAATGTCATTGTGTTTGTTTCCTATTGTTTTCATTCAGTTTGTTTGTTTGTTTGTATGAGAGTGCATGTCTAAATATTTGAAACGAATGTACATGCTGAATAATTGTGAAGAACAAAAAGAGAGACATGTAATGTAAGTAGTGAGTGGAGAGATTTGAATTTCGAAAGAATGAATTTGTTTTATGATCTTGAGATATATTGAATAATTTCATTTCATTCTTTTTTTTGATTGAATCAATCGATAAAAATACTTTTTCAATTTCAATCTTTGAGATCATCTTTGAAATCATGATATAATTATAATTAATAACCAGGCTAATTAATAGTTATGAAGTATTGATTTTTTTTCTGCTTCAGATCGACCTTATTCAAAGGTTTTCATTTTCATAGTTTGTCCATGCATCGTAATTGTTTGCCATAGTTTTCACGCTCAATTATCTCGTAGTTTTTTCATTCACAATGACGATAAACAACAACAACAACAACATTCAAAAACAGGTGACATTACAGTTTTATCCATCTTTTTGATTTTTAAAATCATTGAAATCACTTGATGATGAATTTGCAGAGTGGATAATAAATAAATGAATAAATGAATATAATCGTAATCGGCCATCATTATTTTGTTGTTTTGGATCACCAATTCATATTATTGTCGTTGCAGATTTTTTTTATGAAAATGAAAAATTCTTAAATTTTCTTTTTCCTTTCCATCAATAAATATGTGATTGCCCGCCGTATGTGTATGGTTTATTTTTTCCAAGAAGAGAGGGAAAAAATTCCACATTCCTCATTATTCAAAGATTTAATCTATGAATGATGATTATTCACGCCGTTTTTTCTTTTAAATCATGCTAATTCCTCGAATTTTTTTTTATTTCTCACTTTACCATCATCAATATACAACAACAACAGATTCAATCGGATTTTTGATTGCACGATTAATTTGTTGTTGTTGTTTTTTTGTATTGGTGGCCATAAAATTCCATCTCGATTGTTTTTTGTTTTCTTTTTTTCTTCATTACTTTCGTTTGAAAGTGCAATCACAAATTTATTGAATTTCGATTGAATGGATGATGAATTTGTTAAACTTGTATCAGATTTCCAAATGATTCCAGAATTATTTAAACTAATTTCATTCATCACTACCAAAAGGCAATTATGAATTACCATTGTCAATCATTAATCATCTAAAAAAAATTCAGAGGATGATTTTGTCTGTCTGTCTTTGTACGTATTTCATTCATTCCAAAGACATCAATGGCGTCCTTGTTCTGCATCATCTTCTTTTCAGTTTGCCATCACTCAAGAAACTTAATCCAAAATTTAAAAAATGGATGATCATCGATGATGATGATGAGAATTCTGTTTGTCTTTCCTCCCCTGAAATGATTGATTGATGACACACACACACACACGCACTGGGCGACACATGGATATTGTCACCTTTATGGTAATTTTTTTTTGGATCAACATTTTTTAATCTTTTTTTGAAAATCTTTTTAAATTTAATTTCAATGTGTGTTGGCTATCAATGATGATGTTTATGACCATTTTGATCATTGGATTATCATTGGATCATCATCATTATTTTTTTGGATTTTGTTTTTTACTTTTCTTTTTTTCTTAAAAATGATGAGCTTATTGATATCATCATCATTGGATTGAAACTTTTTTTCTTTTTTTTTCTCGAACAACATATTCAAGACAAGAAGCATTCGAATTCACCTAGTTTCAAAATTATTATTGAAAGAAAGTGACTCTTTAATTCAATGTTGTTCGATGTTTGTGTTGAGAAAAAAAAATGAAGAAGAGTCTCTTCAGATGCACATCCTTCCTCTTTGTTCCATATTTATCACATCAAGTTCATCATTTGTTTCAATTCGTTGGAAATATGAAATGAACCGCCCCCATCACATTGCTTGTTTGATTAATAATTTAAAATCATCATTGATCATGAATTGAATTTTGAAAGAAAAACAAATTAAGGAGGATGTGTTGGATCGAATATCGTATCTGTATGACCATATGTTCACTTTAAAACTGTAGCATCAACAACAAAATTTGAATCATTTATTGTCTAGCCATCATCAAGTGATTTTATTTCGTTTGTTTGTTCGTGTGGAAAGTCATCATTTCATTTCATTCATCCATCATAATTGTGCGTAATTGTGTTTGTGTGTTTTGTTGTTGTCTGATTGATTTTATTTCTATTTGAATTAATGGATTTTTGTGGTTCTTTTTCGATCAATTTTCATTAGATTTTTCATTTTTTTTCGTTTGTTATTTTTTCAGTGAATTTTATCAATATATAGTCATCATGCATCTCAAGGTATTCTTCGAATTTTTCTTTCTCGATATTTTTTTTTGGTTGATTTTCCAGTTTCACAATTTGGATTTTCATTTTTTTACATTTTTCCATTTTGTTTGTCGTTATCGAATGATATAGCTTGCATTATTCGTTATTGTTGCCGCTTTGGAATTGGCTTCATCACAGCCTGTTTCACAACAATTATCACCAGCATTACAATTTAAACAAAATCAATTACCAGCTGGCCAATTTTTACCTGCACGTAAACCAGCGATTCGTTCGCCAACTAAATCACAACAAGCCGCTGCTCGTGCTTTGGCTCCAGTAATCAGTGCTGTTATTACACGTCATACACAAGAAGTTGTCGATGTTCCAGTCGATGATGTTAGCCAGGCAGCACCACAAATCGTTATCGTTGAACCACATCTCCAACCAGTGACGATTGAATTCCGATCACGATCAAGTCCAGTGAAAATTAATACCGTCCATCAACCTGGTGAAAAAGGACAAGTTCAACAAACAAGAAGTGAAGAAGAACCAGATCGCATTATTCATGAAGTTGTTAAACCAGTTATCCAAGAAATTCGTGAAATTATTCAACCATTCCGTAAAATCACTCAACAGATTCTTCCAGTACAAGAAGAAGTCCATAGTATCTTATCGAAAGGCGAAAAACGATCGGAAATTGAACAAGTTACCGATGATGCTGCATTGGCTGGTGCCACACCGGAAGAACCAGTCGAACAAGCTGCTATTCAAAGTGGTGGGCGTTCTGCTGCTCCAGCTCCATCAGCTGTTCCAACTATTTCAACATTTCAATTTCAACCGCAAGCACAACCAGCATTCATTAGTGCACCATTAGTACCGCAACCACCACAAAATACCGTTGTACAAGCTGGATTAGTCGGGGGTACACGAATCTTACCAGCCAGTGAAGCTGTTTATGAACAACAACGTGAAGTTGTATCAGCCATTGCTGCACCAGGTGGTTTGAAAAAGAAACGTTCGGCTAACATTTTCCGATTTGATCTTCCATAGAAACAACCAAAACGACGACGATGATAATTGAAAACAAACGAAACCCTAAAAAACTTATTATCCTCACCCATTTTCGAATCAAACCAATTTTTATTATGCCAAATGAAATTTAGTTCCCGGTTTCCGATTGAAAAAGGTGATAAAATTATCGGTTTTTAATTGAATGTTATCAAACACACAAACAAATACACACATACACTGCCATCATTATGTAATGATTTATCGTCCAAAGACCTTTTTATTATTTTTATTAGAGAATCTAGATGATTGATTGATATGGAAACAAACACATGCACACGTACATTTTGAAATATTGATCCAATGAAAAATCTACAAATCAATACCTTGAAAATGCTCTATACGTTTTTTTATTATTGAAAAAATTGAAAAATTTTATTTTGTTTTCTGTTTTTATTATAAATTTTTCAAGAAAAAAAATCATCTCAACATATTTGTTTGTGTCGGTGTGTGTGTGTGTGTGTGTGTGTGTGGATGGATTTTTGATTCAAATCTGAATTTCATGTGCTTATCAGCAGCATTTAATGAGTACATTTTATTTCGTAATAAATCATTTGGGTCATTTTGTTTTCGTTGTTGTTGTTTTTGTGCTCCATATAATAATTTTATTTATCACTAATTTATGTTGTCCAGATGTATCGATGTCAAAATGTCATCATCATTATCATATGTTTGTTTTTTATTTATCGAAAAAATTGTCACTTGATATATTTGTTGATGAATGAAAAAAATTTAAAATTTAAAAAATGAAATTCATTCAGTTTATTCGATAGCACTAGATGTCGCAGCAATTTTCAGAATCCACATTTAGACAATTCTTTTCATTATAGTCACAAAGGTTTTTTTTCTTGAAAAATCCATTTTGAATTTGGATCATACGATTCTTTTGACCTTTATCGTCGAAAATCATTTAGATTTTCACCATTGAAAATAAAGCCATCAAATCTTTGAAAAATTGAAATTTTTTAAATTTAATTTTCATTTTTAATCACACACGATGTTGTTTTGGCCATCAAAAAATAATTTTTTTAATCATATGTCATCATCAGTTAATGAACTACAGACCTTGTTAAAATATTTGTTCGTTTCTCAATTTTACAAACACGCCAAAATTTTTCATTTGAATTATTCACACAATTCAATTGGCACATACATACCGAAAAACGAAAAATTTCCTTTCAAAAATATTTTTCATCATTCATCGTATGACGAGAATTAAAAAGATGGATATTTTCTCCTTAGAGAATTTTTCTCCGGAATCATTTTCATCAATGGTATTTTTTCATCTGATAATCTTTGCTTCTGTGTCCTAGCTGTGTGTGAGTGTGTGTGTGTGTGTGTGTAAATCAAGAAGCCAAATAAAAAATAAGAATTTTTTCGGCCATATAAATCTTGTTTTCTTTGTCTATTTATTTTTGGTGCGTGCAAATTTTTTTTCGATTCACTGATTTTGAATTGACGAAAGAAAGAAAAAGTAAATAAATAAGTCCATTGATCCATTAAGATCCAGTGAGATTATTATTATTTTTGTTGTTATTGTTGTCGTCCAACTTTTTTTTATTTGGTCAACCAAACAACAACAACAACAAAAATATAAAATGGTGACAATGAAACCCAATGGTGAAAACAATGGCAAAGTGTCATCATCATCATCATCTTGATTATTGCGTGCCACATAGATATATCTATGTGGTCATTGTTTGTTTGTTTGTTTGTTTACCCTAGCTATTGTTTTATGTGATATACTCAATGTTTGTTTATTATGGAAGAGTTCCTGTGTTTGTGTGTGTGTGAAAAAAAAAAACAACAACAAAATAGACACTTGAAAAAAATACTTTTGATGTGTATGTATGTGTTTTGGAACTTTGTTTCCGTTATGAATTTCTGTTTTTTTTTCTTTTATTCAATTGCCATAGTTGTTGTTGGTTTTATGAATGAAACTTTCTGGTGTTGACAAATTTCATCGTCATTTTATTTTTGTGGTCATTTAACGATAACATGTTTGTCCTTGACCATTCATTCATGGTTTCAATAATAGTGGGTGGTGAAAAAAAACTACTCAAGATTTGTTGTAATGTGGCCACCACATTATATGAATATCTGAAAGAGAATTGATGACCATCAACACAACGATGATTTCAGCTATTTTTTTCACTATCTAGTTCTGGTATCTGGTTTCCAAGTTTTATTCAATTTCTGTTTTTGTTGTTGTTCTAAGTTTAGGAATAGTGAAAACAACAAGAACGACAACCATAATGGCCATAAATATAAAAATTGAATCAATAATAAAAGCCGGGCCTAGAAACTAACCCAAATAAATGACATTATTATGCAATTCAAGTTCTTCTGAAACTGTCAATTTTTTTTTTTTTGGTCGATCTCAGCATCAGATACACTATAGAGTATAAACTGTAGTTGAATCGAAACCCAAAAGTGGAAATCTACAACATTGAAACCGGCTTTATTTATATCTCCCTAATGTGTTTGCTTTTTGTTGTTTTTCATTTTCTAAAAAAAATTCAATTTGTTTTTTCTTCGATTGATGAACGAGAGAAAAATCGATTATAAATTTACTCTGTGTGTTTTTAGAATTCTTAAGAATTACAACTCGGTTTTCAAGAATCGTTTTCAGAATATTCCTGAAACTACTGTCATCTATTCGTGATGAATGAAAAACAAAGCCAAATTAATAAATGCGAATGAATAAATGATAGTTTGTCATGTGTCATTTTGATACAATCAGAAAAATTACCGATATCCTTTGGTCTATAATCAAAGCCAAAAAAAATTGAATAAAAAAGACAGATTTCTATTTCCATTCCGTTTGCCTCAAGAGAGTCATAGATTTGCAACGAGACGCATACACACACACACACACAGAAAGGAAGAAAAAGAGATGAAATAAGTAAATCTCAGATTCAAGACGAATGAAAGTTAGTAACATGGTAACACAATGATACCAAGATGGACATTATTTCTCCAGTTGGCTATAAATAGTTTTTTGTTTGTGTGATGTTTCCAATGTCATGTCTTGGTGAAAACAGAATAAATAACAGAATCCAATATAACCGAATAACTAGAATAAATTTTTAAAATGATGATGATGACGACGATTAGTCACGAACATTAATATTCAACTCGCGAATTTCTCTCTTTCTTGAAGCATCTTTTAATTTTTTTTTTTTTTTTGGTCAAGTTTCAATTGATGGTCATCATTATTATTCTTGTGTTTGCTAGTGGATCGGTGAAATGAATGATATGACGAGCTTTAAAGTTGATTTTTCTTTTCACTTTCACTTTTTATCTAAAGTTTGTTTTTGAGATTATGATTATTTCTTGTTGGTTATTGGTAGATTGAATTATGGTTTGCGGTTTTTATTTTTTTTTTTTTCATTGAAAAAAAGCTAATGAACATTGTGTTGTCGTCATTCTACATATAGTAATAGTAATACTAAGTGGCTATTTGAATTTCAGTTGTTCCACCAGGACGAAAATGAAATGCGAAAAAAAACGAAATCGAATCGATTGTTGTTTGTTCAAACGATTGATGAACAACAACGATGAACGTTGATCCTATATATATCGATTGCATCCATTCTCTGATTACTTCTGGGGATTAATCATCATCATCATCAAATCCATTGCAATGAATTTGAATCGTAATCTATTCTATCAAATTCTATATCGTTTTTTCTCTTTTTTTTAATATCTTTTTATTATTCTTGTATTACTTTTCAATACCAAGTATTTGATTCTGAGAAAGAGAGAAGGATTGAGATTGAATCGTTCAAATATTATTATTTCGAATAAATGGATCGATGTTAGGTTATATGTGGGTGTATGTGTGTTCACAATTTACAGAACCGTAAGATTAAATTGAGCACAAAAGATTTTTTTCTTTGCTATTTCTATTTTTACTATTTTATGATGATTGTAACTAAACAAAGTAATGAAATGAATTTTTTTTCGAAAATTTTTTTTTCATTTTCGTTAACGAGAAATCCATCCGTTTTGATGATTGGACATGTGTCCATCGAAAATTATTCTCTGTTATTGATGTTGAACTAAGTTTCTGAATTTTTGCATGTAATTAGGGCGTCTGTATTTATATTTATATTTATATAAATGATTATGATTGTCAGATAGAGAAAGAAAAAAAACCAGAAGTCAATTCATATTTTATAACCACACCAAATATTGTTTGATAATTCAAATTTCCTCGTGAGAAAAAAAAACTAACATAATTCTGAAACAAAAATAAATATTTAGGTCACATATCCGGCTTCCGGTTTTCTGTTCATGTTGTAGGTGGTGGTGGTGGTTCAATTCAAGTTATAAAGTTTGTCTCGATGTTTGTGTTTTTCCATGTGTGATTCTCACATTTTTTTTCTAAAGCAGTGGTTTTCACTTTATATCTAAAACTTAGAATTCTTTGAATTAATAATTCTTGGGAATTTCCAGAAAATCGTTCCTTTTCTATGTATAGTTTTCATCATCATCATCAACAACAACAGCAGCAGCAGCAGCGAATATACATTTGATGAGCTGGAACCCAAAGAAAAAAATTCAGGGGCTGGCTAACTGAATGACTGTCTGGATGGATGAATTGATGGCGCCTTCACACACTTATCTACCATTCACCAAAAACAACGACCAACCAAACAAAACAAGACTCCCTGGAACACAAGAATCATCGTAACCATAGTATATGTATGTGTGTGGGGTAGTTGTGTTATGTTGTCAAAAAAAAAAAAAAAAAAAATAAAAAAAATAAAGAAGGCAAGAAGATTTTCTTCATTGATTTTGCCCATTTTGCTAATACTTCTACATTTTTCCATGGCCAAGACCTTCTCGCTTATGTTTTTGTTCAATCGTTCTATGTCTGGTGTTTTTTTCCTTTTCATTCAAATAAAAATACTTTGGTCGTCTGGTTTGATCAATGGTCTGAAGTGTTGGTGGTGGTGATGGTTGGGGAAAGATGATGATGATAATGTTTTTTGTGTCTCTGAAAAGATATTGCTTTTCTGGATTCTTCGATAACAACAACAATTCTTGAAGCTCATAGATGTTACATTTCATTAAAACATGCTTCTATGTCTTGTGAAACATACAAATCATACAAAACCATAAAGCTACCCAAAATAGAAAAAACTGTTCCACTACTCATGGGATCCAATTTTCTGGACTATATAACGCGAATAAACGACGAATTTGATTCGGGAAAAACCCAAACAACCAGCCAACCAATCCAAGGCTATGGACATTGAATTTTTTTTCTTCTCTACCCCATTACCATGGTGGAGGGGAATGAAATGAAGAAAAAAATTTCTCTCTCGCTCTCTGGTTGCCAATGCTGTTGGTTTCAATTCTGGATCATTTTTAGCGCTGCTGCTACTGGTGCTGCCGTTTTTGCTATTATTTTTGCATGTGCCCGTCCTTTTTATATTGGCAATATATAAAAATATTCTCATATTTCATATCTCTTTGTCTGTATTTTGTCTATATTACGATTTCAATATATAATTTATCGGGTTTTTTATGAATGTATGTGTGTGTATGTGTGTGTGTGATAGTCGAAACAAAAATAAAAAATAAATGTGTCCACGTAGAATTTTTCCCTTTCATTTTTTTCGTGTTTTAAAAATGAATAGAAATCTATTTTTTTCCCTACTAGTTTGCCTTCAAATTTTAAAGTCGAATGAAATTTCTATGCAAAGAAAGAAATTTTGAATTTTGTTTTCTAAATGTTTGATTCATATCCGTTTCAAATAAACGAACAAACAAACAAACAGTGAATAATGTTGTCGGTGTGAAGAATTTATTTCAATGATTTGGAATATTTTTCAAAAATCCACGAATATTTCTTATTCAACGCAGCCGTAATTTGTATCGTTTGTTGTATACACATGTGCAATATATACCCTATACATCTGCTGTCATTATTATTATTTGAAGAATTTGCCAGAATCCAAAAGAAAAAAATTAAAGTGGAATGAACTGCGCTTGAGCTTTTTTGTTTTCTCGTATTCAAACTCATGTACACACACATTCTTTTCATTCATCCATTTGTTCGTCGTCGTCATCAGTTTAAAGTTCTTTTTTTTTGCTTCATTCAAGTTTTGCCATGTGTGTGTTTGTATCTGTGTTTTGGAAATGAATTCTATCGACACAAACGTTTTGGATAGATTTCCAATCATTGTATTCAACTGATCATCAACAAATCGACATTTAGAATGCAATAAAGTCATCTTGCGATTTCATTTAAATTCAGAAAAAAGGTTATCTTGAAATTTTTTATTTCATCCGGTTGTTTCATTCATTGTTTTTTAGGCTGTCATTCAGTCTGTGTAAATGTTTAGCATCTTGAGTATAAAATCTTTTTTTTCTTCTCCATTTTCTTGTTCTTCATTATCATCATAATCATGGTTTCTTCTTTGGTTATGATGGTGGTGGGTGTATAGAAATGCATGTTCAAAACGTAAGCGAATTTTTTTTCTTGCTTTCTCTATCGATTCTAGATGTGTGACATTTTGTTCTTGTTTATTTTCTCTGTTTTTTTTGTTCCTGATTCGTTTCTTGAATAAATTAATTTGACACCATAATGAATGGATGAATCAATCATTTTGCCATCACACACACAAAAGCTGTAGCTTTTCCAGTGTGTTTCCTTTCAAAAAATAAATCCATTCATTTCTTTTTGTTCTGCATTCGTCGTTTTACATTACGCCGAAAAAATGCTGATCGATTAGATTTTGATTAATTTTCAAATTTTGATTCATTCAATTGTTGTTTGTTTGTTTCATTCATTTATTCGCTGTTTTCATATGTTGAATGTATTTTGTATCTTGATTGTGTTGATGATGTGCAAAAAAAATTGCCGATATTTTCATTTGAATGATTCTTTTTTCCATGGCAATTCTGGGCGTGAATCATCATCATTATTTTTACCGTGCCATTGTTATTTTTCTTCATTTTTCCATTTAAATTGTTCGGTTGATTTTGAATTTTGAATTTTCATTTTTTTTCATTCGCTCCATTTTAGATTCTAAATGATATGTGATTCCGGTGAATTGAGTTGTTGTGAATGAAAAAGAAAAAAGCGTAGGAGAACAAAAATTTGAATTTCAAATTGACTGGTTAATCAGTCATCATTATCATCATTATCAAAATAAAGAAAATTTCAAACATTATCGAAATCCTTATTATTTTTTCCATATACAAATATTATCGTTATTCCACCGAGAGTGAGAGACCTAACCTGTGGAACTCTAATTTTTTCTGTTTGTTTTATTTTAATGAAAAAGAAAGAAAGGGGTGAAGAAGAATGTTTCATTGGAATAATTCATGAATATTTCGTTTTGTTCGAATATCTATATATATCAAATACACCCACATGTTTTATCATAATGAAACTTTTTTTCAATGTGGATAGAGCCAAATTTTTTAATAATGAATCATTCTCACGCTTTGGCTGGTTGGTTGATTCAAGTATGTGTTGTGTGTGTGTGTGTGTGGATCTGTATTGTTCGCCCTCAACATCAATGACCATTTTTAATCGTTTTTTAATGTTGATGAAATAATTGTTTTGTTTGCCAACACACTCGGGCAATAATAAAAAACAGGAACATTCACATATACAATGTTTTTCTTTCTTTTTTTTCTGGATCGTTCCAAAACATGAGCTCCACACACTTTTGTGGTTAATCTTTGAATCTGAAATTTGGAATGGAATTTTGCATTTGTTATGTGTAAATAGCATATATTCCAATGAGGAAGAATTTTTGAAAACTTTACAGATTTCTCTTTCTTTCTTTTTTTTCATTGTTTCATTTCATGTTTGTTTCTGATGATGTTTTGTTCAAATATCAGATTCTTTTCGTTGATTTTCTCCTACAACCATGTGTGACTTATTTTCATTGTTGTTGTTTTTTTTCATGTTCAACATTTAATTCTTTCTCTTGTTCTTTGTAGATAACAAATCAACGAACGATTTAGAAGAATCAGCAATTTTTTTCACTGCTTTTGTTTCGCTGTCATTTTTTGGGCGAAATGAAGAAAATGATTCAGGAAAAATCATCTAACAACTTGTAAATGATAGATTAATCAATTTCAACAATCGATTATCAATCATCGATTTTTTGCTTTTTTTTTTTTTATTTTTGGAATGTGTGTTTATAACAATGATCTCATAACGAATCAATCATCATCATCATCATCATCATTGAAAATTTGTAATTTTTCAGCTGAATCACGGTGATTTTAATTATTATAATCATTGAACAAATGAAAAAAATTGAATCATCATCATCATTATCGTTTACACGTCTGTGACATGTCCACAACCACATTCGAAACGAAGTAATACGAATGGAAAAAAAGTTTTCCATCGTTTATGATTATTTTCTTTTCACAATTTCAATATGTATTTCATTTTGTTGGTGGGCATGTATTTTAACGACAATCATTTTTCTATAATTCAATCATAATAATAGTGTCTGTGTGTGTGTTTGATGATCTTATTTTTCTGGTAGTTTGTAGTCAATTTTTACATTTATCAATTATCATCAACGCCAACATGCAATAATGATGATTTCTGATGAAACGAATCCAAAATTGTTGGATCAAAGTGATCCAAATAATAATAATAATAATAACGATCAATCATCAATAATACCAACAACAATACAGGAAATACAATTGGCATTACAATTATCATTATCACCATCTTCGACAACAACAACAAACGTAGAAATGGTTGCCACAAATAACACATCACCAATGTCATGTCAGTCAACATCATCATTATCACCGATGATGATGATGATCAATAATAATAACAAAACATCTGTAGCAACAACAACAACAATGGTTAATCAATTTGATGATAACAATAATAATAATAATAATAGCATTCCATTAACTATCAATCAAATTGTTAATCAACAGAATATCAATGATAATTCCAATGTTTCAACAAAAATAACAACAACAGCTTCCGCTACTACTACTACTGCTACTACAACAAGTACATATAAAACAACAACATTGGCAAATAATATATTGAAACCAGAAATTCTTGAATCATTACATAAATCAGAATATTTTCCTAAAACAAGACATCGCTGGAATACGAATGAAGAGATTGCCGCATTATTAATATCGATTGATCAACATGAAAAATGGCTTTCCGAAGAAGTTAAATTAAGGTATGCATTGACTATTTTTTGTTATGATGAGATTGTTGTGTTGAAATCAAAATCCTATATCCTATAGATAAATATAGTTTGCCCCTACCATCGCAAACAAGCAAACAAACAAACAAAATGAAAAACTAAAACTTTTAACTACTCGATCAATTTGATCAATAAAGTTGTGGTGATGATATTGAAAAGTATTTGCAATCGTTTCTAATATTTTGAAAGCTAAACTTTTTTTTCTTCTTTCACTTCTTCAGATGACTTTCTCATGTAAATATCTTGCAAAAAAAAAATTCAAAACCTGTTCCATTTCTTTATTCTTCTGGTGAACTTCATTTTTTTGATTTTTTTCTCTACTAGATGGAAAATTGAAATTCTCTGTGAATATGTGTGAATGAAAAAAAATCACTGCGACAACGTTATTACTACCCATTAGGCTTCTTATTATAATATCATCATCATCATTATTAAAATAGCTTAAGTATCAAGATCAAGACTCGAAAAGAAGAAAATTGTCATTTCTTCTAGTATTCAGTCAGTCTGATGGCATTTCATTCATTCATTCATTCAATCACGCGGTTAGTTACATTGAAGTGTAGCATGTATAAAAGGGATTGAAAATTGGGTTGAAAATTCACACATTTTATGAACGATAAATTGAATATTATGATGATCACAAAGACACACACATTAATTATTATGCACATCATGAATTTGTTTTGCTGACATGTTTTTCTCTTCTTAAATATTCATTTTAGGTTTTTATGAGAGAGAAAAAAATTGCTTTTCCTTTTGCAAAAAAGCACGTGACATTGAATTTATTTAAAAATCAAGACATCATCTTTGATAATTAGATATCAATGAATTTTGGTTTTTTTTCACATTTTATTCATTTTCTGTTTGTTGTCGTTGTTGTTGTTTTTTTGATTGAAATTTTAATGAATTATTCATTTCATTGTTCAAAATCGAAATCTGAGACAGGCTCTATCATTTTTTTTCAATCCATTCATTCAAAGTATTTCACAATTTTTTTCTCGATATAAAATTTGGTTTGTTTTTGGGGTATCAAGTTTCTTTTTCTTCCACATAATAAACAGAATCAGAATAAAGAAAACGAAAAAAAAATCTATGACAATCCGTTTATCGTCGTTTTTGGCGCTTAGATTCTTGCATTTTGTTGTTGTTTTTTTTTCTTGCACCAAACTTTGAGAATTATTTTACCATCCTTTTATTATTCCGTGATTCATCTCATGAATGAATGATAATAGTTGAAGAAAAACTTTAGAAAAATTAGATTAAAACTCAAATCAGAGCTTAGCTTTTACAAGCAGATTTTCTCAAGAATAATTGTGAGAATAAAACCAGACTTCTTAAAGAACTTGACGTTTCAATTTTTTTTTTGCTCCAACTCTTTTTTCTTTGGTTGCTTTCATCGGAAAAAAATATCGATCATGTATTGATACTGTATTCAATTATGTTTCCGGATTTTAATTGAACTTTTTACTTTATATTTATATTCCACCAAAAGTGAAACATTGTTGTTCTGATATAAAATTTTATTCTTTGTGTTTAAAGTCGTGACAGTTTTATTATTGAAAAATAAATTCAAATAAACTTGAGATACTTTTATAGTCTAAAATATTTCTTTTTTTTCTCGTTTCTTTCATTTTGTTAACCACCATCAATGAATGAATTATTCATCTGTATTTCACATCGTTATATTTTTTCGTTAGCCAAATATTTAGATTTTATGATACGTTGTTATTTGTGTGCCTGTGTCTCATCATCATATTCTTCATGGAATTCCAATTCGAATACAATTTTCAAGTTTCAATTTGAATTCTCACTCTATCTGTCTCAATGTGGTCAAATTCATACATATAACCGGGCCGTTTTGTTTTGGATTTTTTTTTATCGTTTTCTCGGTATATAATAAATAAAAATGTTGTTTTTTCGAGCTCATCCATTCATGAATATTTTACAACATAACTTTGTTGTAAAATATTCACACACACACACATTACTTTTTCTAGTTTACCCTAGTTCAGCGACATGATTACTTTGGAAAATAAATTCCAGTAAAAAATAGCTTCTGGTCAAACTATATCGATCATAATGATTTATTATAATAATGTGGGCCAAATGTATTTGATTCGATTTTCTCCAAATTTGTTACAAATGTTCATCATCAAGAAACATCACTATATTTGTGTCACACATATTTGTTTTCATAATTTAATTTAGATATACACACGCAGAATATTATGGTTTCAAAGAATGAATATTTTTATTTCGAAATCCAACACTTGTGAACATGATTTGACAATCTTGCAAATGAAAAAAAATGATAATGATGATTTTGCCAACCCTATAGAATAATCACCATTGTATTATTGTTAACATGTTGTGTAACTGCCCGTTTATTAATATTTTCGGCATTTTTCATTTTCGTTTCCATTTCCATTATCGTTTTTATTATCCATTCGTATTATTGGCCAAATAAGAAGAGAATGTCTTTATTATAGTCATTTGCTGTGTGCGCTGTAATTAGAAACTATTTTCCAAGAATAAGTCTTTAGTTGTGTGTTGGATTTAACATATAAATAGAAATATATGGCAATCCAGATCAGAAAAAACGTTGGTTTCTGGTGAAACATTTTTTCTAAGCCATCGATTACAAAAGTTACGCAAAAAAAAGAATGTTATTCGGCTTGTTCCTAATAATAATCTACCCTACTAAAAATACTGCTGTCATGTTGTCATAATAAAAACGAAACAATTTCAAGTTTTTTTCACAGAAAAAATGAAATTTCAAAATAAATTAAAGCCGACATCTTTTACCGCCCAAAATGAAGCTACAAATTGGTGGAAAAAAGTTGCATTAATCAATTTAGCCATCATGGAACGAAAAAATTTTTTTTTTTTTTTTGTAAATGAAAAACCGAAAAAATAAATTCACAATAAAAATCACATCATTTTATTATTCACTTGATTCGTTAATTTTTTTTTCTTTTCAATTTTAAATTGGTTGAAAAAAAATATTAAATTAATCGTGATTATGATGATGATGGCAATCAAATGATGTGTATCCAGATGAATTCTTCATTTGAATATTTTTCTTCGTATGTGTTATGTTTATGATGATATCCAAAAATTTCTAGGAAATTTCTCATTATATTTTTATTTATTCAACAGAAAAAATTATCTTAAATTGATATTCTTATCATCATGATCATTACGTTTGACGGGCACAAATTATGGATAAAAATAATTTGATATGAAAATAATGACTTTAAATGGACACAAACATATATATGCAAATGCTAATAATTGATTTTGTTTTTCTTGTGCAACCCAAGAGAGAATTGAATCTAAATTTTGCCATTTTTTTGCGTTGTCGTTGTTGTTTGAATGGGAAAAAAATTCCAATGAATATTAGGCACTTGTTCAATGATAATGATAGATGAATAACGGAAATTATTTATTTTATTTTTTCTTGTTTAGATCCTCTCTCTGTCTCTATATATAGTTTAATTTAGTTTTTTTGTATCCGGAAGTTTGACGTTTGACATATTCCAATTTTAGAAGTGTGTGTTTGTGTTTGTGTTTGTTTGTTTGTTTTGTTAACAACGACAACAATGATGATGATGATGCTTCATGTGTCTGTCAATATGAATATTTTTTTCCAAGATAATCTTTCTTTTTTCTTTCACTTTCACGTCGTCGTCGTCGTTTGTTTATTTTTATCGGTTTTTCCATTTATTCGTTGATTATTCATTGGCCACCATGTGAATATCAGAAACAATCTGACAGTATAGGCTTATTTTATATTATTTTCATCACACGAATATTTATCCTATAGATTTGAAAGAATTTTATTTCTCTTTTCTTCAGAGCAATATGAAATCGAAAAAAACCGGGAAAAAACAACAAAAAAAGTAAAACCGTTCTGATAAATGATATCTGGTTATGATCATATTTCTTTTGATTTTTTTTTATCTTCACCCAATTTTTTTTTTTTGGTTTTATATTTTTTATTTTTCGGTTTCCACTATCACACCCAAAATCTGTTTTGTTTCGAGAATTTTTTTTGTTGCTTTTGCTAGAATTTCTCCTCAAATTCTGGGTCCATTTTTTCTTCGTTTTTGAATTGAATCGAGAAAAAAATAGAAAAAAAAACAAAATCAAATGATAAATGATCGTAATGGCCAATGCTGGATAATTTCTTTAGTATCGTTTTTGCTGTCGTTATGGATGGCTACCGAAAACTAGGCTTTCAAACATTCTGATCCCGGTAATGAACCATTTCGAGGACAATTAAAATAATGGCAATCATTTTTGGATAGTGAGGGGTGTGGAAATTATTCTAATTCATTGATTTGTATTTACCGAATGAATATTTCGAAATTAAGAAGAAACAACAACAACATTGTAACATTTTATTTCATTTCCAGGATAGTTTCATGTTAAATGATTTGTAAATCTTTCTTCATGCATTCATAATTCAGAAACATTCCCATTTGGATTCAATAACAACAGCAAAAATATTGTCGTCGCTTATCGTCTTATGTAAATATACATTTTTTTCATTGATTTGCTAACGATTATTTATTCGCTATTCATGTTTTGTTAGCTGCATCGATTTCGATACGAAAAAAGAAAAATCTTTTATTTTTTCTGTTTATCTCTATATACAGAAAAGTAAATGATAAAAAAACAGAAATGTAAACTAAAATCATTACAGTCTGTACTGTTTTCACAAAGTTTTATGCTTGCCCACCAGGCCGGTCATCGTGATTATCACTTTTTTCACTGATTCTCGTAATGTAAGACTTTGATTTGGATTTTAGCCACGGCCAAATTGGCTCATGCTTCTCAAAACAACAAATTTTTGATGAGAACACAATAATCAGAATGAATTTGCATAAATTGATTGCAGCTTAGGGTTTTTTCTCAACTTTTTCATGATTGCTGAATAGATAAAAAAAAGTTTCATTCCAAATCTGTGCACATTCTTTGAGTGAAGATTTGCTCAGAAATCTCATTGTACCATATTGATAATAACAATAATCATTCTGGTTGGTTGTTGTTGTTGTTATCTAGTTTTAGTTTGGTTTGGTTTTGTTGTTTTTCTTCTAGATTCGCTTGTCAGCTATATATATACTTACATATGTACATGACATTCATGTTGTAACAATAATCATAATGTATGTGCGTGGTATAGTTAGAAAAAATGCACTATTAAAATACTTCCGAAACATCGAAAAAAAAGTTTAATAGTACACACACATAGTATTCAGTCAGATGAAAATTCTTCTTGTCATCTGACTCGACTATGACCAAAATTTATTACATTGTGTAAACATTCTGGACAAATCTTTTTTTTCCCAAAATTCAATGTGTGTGTCTACAATGTTGTCATTTCATATATGGTCGTGGTAATAATAATCGTCGTTGTCGTTCCAGAAATTCAATTCAAAATTTTGTCTCTGATTTCTTTTATTTATTTTTTTTTTGTTTGGATTTTTTTCTCTTGTGACATTTTAGCCATTTTATTCTGTGTTTTTTTGTTTGTCATTTGTAAATTATTTCATTGTCGTCGTTATCGTGACGATGATTTTCTCATTGACTATTTTGTTTGTTTGCATTTTCAGTTTTTATATTCATTTTCATTGAAAAAGTAGTGTGTAAGGTTATTCTAAAAATTGGAACTGAGAACAAATTGTGTTTTTATTTCATTATTCAATAATGGGAAAACATCTTGTATTCGTTATAGATTCGTATTTTTCAAGTTCATTGAATCAATCGTGTTATTAAAGAGTGAGAGCCGAAACGGAAACCAAAATCCCGTTTCCGTTTTGTGTTCAATAATTTGTAATTATTATAAGGAATTTTTTTTTTTTTTCTCATCAAATTGCAATGTCATTCGATGGTAATCATTGTTAGAATGAAGAATCCGTTTTTTTCACATTGTTATCATCACAAACCATTAAAAAAAATGACAAAATTTTAATTCTGTTAAATGAAGTGTGTGCTTCTTCTTTTTTAAGGGTTAAGGAATATTGCTGTATCAGCTGTAAATCATCAACAATATCAATATTGAACTGAAAATAATTTGCCAGCCATTTAGCAATTGAATTTGAATTCAATTCAATTTCAGCTGGGTAATTGCAATTGGTGAGGGGATTTCAACCATTTTGAGGGCGAATTGCGATTTTTTTTTTGAATTTCTCGTGTTTGAAAATCTACGATGATGATGGCAATAAGAGAGAGAGAGAAAAAAAAATTCAAATTGTTATCAAAATAAATTGAATGGAAAAACTAGAATATTCTCAGCGAACAAATCATTTTGATCATTGTGGAAATTGAGAACGAAAGATGTGTGACACACAAGCTGCTGGTTTTTTTTTGCTTCGCCTGTTGTTCAGCGAAAGAAAAAAAGAGAAAAACATTCATCACGCAAAAGAGTTTTCAATGTCTTTTTTTTATTCCATTCCATTTGGGGTAGAATATCCAGTTTTTTTTTTTTTTTTTTTTTATTTTGGTAAATAGAGGAAAAAATTGAATAAATTTTTATATTCTCAGACGAAAAAAAATTTGTTTGCTCATTTTTTCTATCTCTTTTCTTGAATCGATTGAACTGTATTGATGATTAATCCAATGTGTTTTTTCTTTTGCTTTCATTATGAAAAATGATAATAAATGGTAAATGGTAAAAAAGGTAATGAATATTTTATCGTGTAGTTATGTAGTTTGTGTTTGTGTTTTGGATATATATATTTAATTGACACTTTTATCATCTTGGTGATGAAAAAATAATCGATTCTTATTGTTGAGTTCTTTTTTCATTCATTCATGTAATCATAATCATAATGGGTAATAATGATGATGATGGGATATCGTCATTTTAATGATGTTACACACTATCATTATCATGATGATGATCCATTTATTTTATGGCCATTATTATTGAACCTGAGTTTTTTCGATGATGTGTTCGATGGATAAATTTTATTGAATTTTTTTTTTCTTTCTCAATCTATTTATGATGATACATCGTTTTCGTTTGTTTGTTATTTATTATATGGTGATGGGATTACAAATTTTAATATTTCATTCATTCATTTTTTTTTCTTTCTAGACCTAAAAGTGGATCAATGCTACTTTATTCACGTAAACATGTACGTTATCGTCGTGATGGTTATTGTTGGAAAAAACGAAAAGATGGCAAAACAACACGTGAAGATCATATGAAATTAAAAGTGCAAGGTATCGAATGTATTTATGGTTGTTATGTACATTCAGCTATATTGCCTACATTTCATCGTCGGTGTTATTGGTTATTACAGGTAATTACTTTATTTATATATTCGCAGAGTGAAATGAATACCTTTCATCATCCCCGACATACCCATATAGTATGAATATGAATTCGCATCACTTATTTATTTTTCGGTGCAATCATCAATATTAAATGCAAATTTTTTTTTCTTTAGTTTACCTTTTCAGTCAGTCATAGAAAATTGAAGAGAATCGTATGTTGACCACCACTACCATAACGATTAGTCAGAATTTATTGCTATTTACATAGAACTTCAAGATTGATGATTATTCTAAATTCATTTTTGTCTATGGATGATCCTAGTGTATATGTAATGAATTTTTTTTTTTTTTTTTGATCCTTCATAATATGGTGCACCTCCAAAAAATGATAAATGAATCAATGAACGTAGATTTTTGCTAGAGAAAAAATTTCCTATTCAAGTGATGAGTATGGCATTCATTCATTCCCGGTTTTCGGTATTTATGATATGAAATTGGGAATGAATTTATTGTAAAAACCAAACTACTGCACCCACATGTGTATGATGGAAAAAATGGAAAAATTTTTAATCATTTTTCTCTGTTTGTTTGTTTGTTTTTTTTCGTAACAGAATCCAGATATCGTACTTGTCCACTATTTAAACGTACCATTTAATGATGATAATAAAATCATTTCCCCATCGCTAAATTCATTGATTGATACACGTAAAGAATGGACACGTGAAGATCTTGTAATGGAATTGAAGCCAATGTGTAAGTGTAAAATTCTAAATTTTTTTATTATTTTTTTTGAAAATTATTCATCATATATCTCACATTATCCATCATCATCATGCATATTTCATATGAAACACTCAACCCTTTTCTTCTTTTGTTTTTGTTGTGGTCATTTTTGATCACAATCATCATATAAATGATTAATTTGAATATATAGTGAGCAGTGGGGACGTGAAATGAATTCTGTTTTTTTCAATGACATTCTCTTCTCCCTTTTCTTTAGAATTTCATAAAAAAAATCTGTATCAGTTGTTTGTTTGTTTGTTGTTTTTATTCCAGATCATACTTGTCGTATACAAAATTTTTGAATTTAACAGTGTGTGGTTTGAAAGAGAAGTGGTCTATAGAGATAGAGAAAGAGAGAGAGAGAGAGATGGAAGAAAAAAATTAAATTGCTAGAGCAATCATATGCGTCACTGAAAAACTTATCGGTTAGTGGTGGTTGTATGCATGCAATAATAATAAAATGTTCGCTTTTGTTTTTCTTTTTTTTTCGTTTCAAACGTTAATTATGATTGATGATGGAATCAAGATCTCTACACACACACATATGGAGCTTGTACAATATTTTGTTGTTTTTATTTGACATTTTTCTTCAATTCTATGATGAAATGAACCAAAAAGAGAGAGAGAGAGAGTGGGAGAGATCCATAAATACTTTGTACACATATACTTGAAAGAAGCGATTCACGAATTCCCGGGTCCCCCGATTATTCTTGATTTCTGAAATTAGAATTGAATAGAGAAGGTTTTTGAGAAATAATGTTAAACAAAACATGTTAAAAATATAACCAATTTAACATTCATTCAACGTATGAGTTAAAGGTTTTTTTCTTATGAATAGAATTTCATGATTTTTTTCTCGATCTAACCGGATTTTCGTGATGAGACAGATTTTACCGCTGAAACAATCACAATTCGGAAATGACAATAATAATAACGGGGACGAAAAAAAATGTCATGTTGTTATGAATGTGTGTGTGTGTGTGTTTAGAAATTGATATTTTTATCGATTAGTTTTATATATCAAAAATGTTTCTATTTTTATAAACATACACATTTCAAGTTTTCCCATTTTTTTCGGCAATAATAATAATCGATCGATATCGATAAATTTTTGTCGTTGTTTTCTACATCAATTCTGTTCGATGAAGTTTATTGCCACCACCATCATCATCAACATCATCAGTTGCACACATCTTCATCTGGCCATCAATTGATGAAAATATTATTTCCTAAGGATAAAATATGATTTCTCTCCGAGTTTGAATCGAAATCATAAAAAATCTCGATTGAAACTGGTGGACACACACACACACACAGACCTTTGATATATGAAATTTTTTTTGTCAACTTTCATTTTGATAATCTATCAATTTTCATTATTAAAGATTTTGTAATCAATTTTTTTTCTCTATCCCTTTTTGGATCATTCGTTCATCTATCTATGTTTATGTTGTTTGAGTTTCAAGTTTCCGGTTATCAACATCATTAACATCATCAGGATTCTTTCTCTATCTAACTGTGTGTGTGTGTGTTTGTGAGATGGAAAGTCAATACAATTATTGTTGTTCCCTTTTAGATGATGATGATGACAATCATTCCATAATGAAAAACAACAACGACGATTGTGATTATGAAATACACAAAAAAAGTCATGGTTGCATTGGCATTAACCGGAAAATGAAATAATTTTTTTTTTTTTCATTAGAATATAAACCATGTCATCATCATCATTGACATTGACAGAAACAAACGAAGCACACAAACACCAAACAACAAGACAAACTTGTCGAATCAATTTTTTCTCTTGTTTCGATTTATTTGAATGGTTTTTGTTTGTTTGTACTTGAATCATTTATGTTGTTGTCGTTGTTATCCAAACAACAAGATGATGATCTTTGGTTGCAAACAAATAACCTTTATGATGATGATGATGACAGTTGAATTTTTATTATGGCTTTGCGAATGATGTGGGTATAAACATTTCGTTTTTCAGGAATTTTTATTATTTTTTCCAACTGAATTTTTAGCTGCTAGAAACGAAAATTAGTACTAATAACCAATGTTGTTTTGTAATAATGAGAATTTTTTATCGTTTTTTTTTCTACAAACGAAATTGTTAAACAGTTTTCACTGTAAATGAAAAAGAAAATGGTGAAATTGGCGATGAACTAGAAAGATCAACGATGGATACAATAGAAACAATTGTACAGCAATTACTGATGAAACAACGTGTACGATTAAAAACATTGGAAGAGTCAAATTTAACAACAACAGCGACTACAGCGACTGCCACAGCAACAACGACACCTACAATCGCTAAATCATCGATACCAAATGATTTATTTTCGATGCGTACGATATCATCAACATCAAATGTTAATAAAAATTTAAATTTAAATAATGATTCAACACTAATCAAACGGCAACAACAACAAATCAAAACACATCAAATATTTACTAGTCTTTCATCTGGACAAATTATGGATGCACAAACATTGACTAAAAAATCCACATCATCATCATCATCATCACCATCAGCAGCAATGTTGAATCAATCAGATACGAATAACGAATTGATTGATATCAATGGAAATTCCGGTGGCTTACAAATGGGCAATGTTTCGAATTCTTTAACGGTATGTTTGCTGTTATAATCATCAAAAATTCTCTTCTCAATTAGAATAATTTCAGTTAATTAATGAATGACTCATTTACAATGACCGAATATTTGAATGTGAATAATTTTGTATTTGAATACGAAATTTTTTTTCTTTTTATGATCTTGAAAATGGTCATTGCATCGAATTGTCGTTGTCGTTGTCGTAGTGTAGTAAAGTTTTATGATTCTTTTTCTCTATTCATTCATTTTATGGTCATCATCGTAGCTGTCCTTCGATTTTTGTCAATTCAATACATACAATTATAGACAACTGTCAAATTAATAGTGTGACTAGTTATGGAAAAACCAACGCGAGTGAAAAAAAAAGAGAATTTCACTTGCGTTGTCAAGAAAAGAATCGGACAAAATGTGAAATGAAATGAATACGATGACGACAAAGACAGGATGAAATTAGATATTTTATGATGATGAAAATTTGTCACAAAGACCATTTTCTTCTGTGAATGAAATGAAAATTCTTCTTTTCCGCCCAATCATTTATGACTTGAAGAATTTTTTCTAGTTTTTTTACTGTGCGTGTCAATGAATTGAATTGAATTGCAAAATTGAAAAGATTCTTTTGTGCATACGTTATTGATTTCAATGATAGAAAATGGTTAGCATCAAATTCAATTGAATTTTTTTTTGAAAAAAGAAACGAAAAAAAACTTGACTTTAAAGATTATAATAATGATTGAAATTGAAATGATTCTATTGAAAAAAATTCATTTTAAATGAAAAATTTAGAAAATTTTTTTCAATATTTTGTTGTTGAAAATTTTCCATTATTATTATCGGGTTTTTATTTTCCGATTTTTATTTATATGACTTGTTTATCGTTTCAATTCAAAATAACGATGACCGATGAGGCCATTGACAGCGTTTGTTTTGTTATCCGAACTATCGTTTTATGTCCAATGATGATCATTATTGGACCCATTTTTTTCATTTTTCGATTGATTGTGAATACAGCTCATTTCTTCAAAAATCATTCATCTTTGAAATTGGCCATAAATAGATATAGAATGGATGAGCCATTGTTTTGTAACAAATCCCATTGAATTATTCCAAGCAAATCGATTGGATAATTAATTTTTTTTCTGGTTCTTATTGACGGACAAATGATTGTTTTCATTTTCGTTGATGGTCCATGAAAAAAATGAACAACAAAAATATGGACATTTACAATAAATTCGATGGAATCGATTTAATAAATAATGATGATGATGATTTATTTTCATGATAATGATCGGACGAATTTGATTTTCTTTTCTTTTACTAAATTCAAACAAAATTAGGATATTTATAAAGCTAATCAGAGATAGATTTGGATTTTGGTTTATCTTTTCAATTTTTTGTTAAAATGAAAATTTTTAAAATTGAAAAACTTTTTCATATGAAGAATTTATTTAAATAATCAACTGAGATTCGCCTACAACTTTTGGTAATTCTCTTGATATTTTCAAGAGAACAATGCAATAATAACCAGACAAAAATTACCGAAACTGTTTTATTCCTGTTGCGATGGGAAAAAAAAACTATACTAAACTAAACTAATGTCCAGACTAAAATGAGTGATCCGTATATATATGTAGTGTGTTTAGTGTGTGCGTTTTCTTTGTAAATTTAATTATGTTTGCACTGTGTGTTTGTTTGTTTGTTTGTGTGTGTGACAACCACTTTGTCTTTATTATGTCACACACACATGCACACTGTTATCATTGTTGTCTCCAGAAACAAAAAATAATGGTTATTCAAACTCATTTTGAATAATCAGTTTGCTTATCGCTTTGTCGTATTCAATAAATGTTTTTTTCATCGAAAATTCGTGATCGTTTTTTTTTTTTTTGCAGAAATTGAGCTGATAATTCTAACCTTTCGAAATAATGTTTTTTGTTGTTTGACAACAATTTTTTTTATTTTTCAAGTTTCGAGAAATTTCCTTGTCTCGAGATTGACGAGAATTGATAATTGCCGCTGCGGTTATTGATGATACACACTTGGTTCTGGTCATGATGATGATGATGACATTCTCTGGATCACCAACCAACCAACCAGCCATTCATGAACCTTGGAACCAGAACCTTTTTTATTTTTCTTCTTGGTTTCATTTTTTCCTATTTTCTATTTTCCCTTTTAATGATTTATGTGTGTTTGGGTGTGGTTGACGACGACGACGACGACGACGATGGCTAAAAATAATAAATTCAACATTGTTCAACCAGACAGATAGACTAATGAATGGATAAATGAGTAGGAGACAAAAACTGATCCACATGGATGATGAAACGACCAGAAAAGAAAATAAAACAGAGAATCGAAAATTGTCATTGATGATTTTATATGACTATTTCAAATGTATGTTTACGGTTAATGTTTTGGTGGTTTTGGATGAAAGAAAAAAATCCATCCAGACCTAACTACTATCATTTGCCTATCTATAGATGGATATCTATTCACATTTTCTTTCAAAAAAACATGTTACAAAACAAAACAAACTGTCAAATAGACATCAATCGAAAGGAATTTGCGTTATGTGCATGTTGATGATGATGAAAACGCCCAAAGGAATCTGAATCACTGCCAACGAGAGGGGCTGGTGGTAGTAAAATTCATTAATTTTAAGATACATTTTTTCGCTTCTACCCACTCACTACTAAAAAAGTGACTCACGTTTTTTTCATCGTTTTATGTTTTTTGTTTTTTTTTTTGAAAAAATTGTCAAATCAAATAATAATAAAAACAACAACAAAAATGATGATGACAACGCGTAGCATGTAAATGAGAATGAGAATGATAATTTTTTCAAATGGGGTGCGGCATTAAAAAACCCCGTCATTATCATCAACAAACCATTAGAAGAAAAAAAATGTTGATATTTAAAAAAAACGAAACAAAACAAAATTCTAGAGGCCAATAAAAAGTGGTGAGGGAAAAATTATATTTCATAATAATGATTATATATCTATAGATGGCCAAATGAAACAATGGAACAAGGACAAGGAAGATTCCATTAGATGAATTTTTGAGCCAATTTTCACGATAATTCTCTGGAAATAGCTGAATGTTTTTCTCTATTTCAATAAACATTTCCAACATTTTGATTTTTACTTAAATCTTAAAATATAAAGTTTATCATGTGTGTTTGTCTTGTCCAAAAATCTTTTTTTGAAGTGAAGAAGAGATTTTTTTTCACTTTTTTTTTTCGTCTTCGTTTTTGAATCACGAATTTTAATCGAAAAAAAATTTCTATTATAGAATACAGTTCAGCTAGTGCAATTGACATCTGCAAATACAGCAATGTGCCAATTAACTAGTGCTGTTGCTACAGCTTCTCATGGCGCTGATCATCATCATGGTCTACATCATCATCATTCACAGCATCATCATCATTTTCAACGACAAAAACAACAACCAAATTTGGTCACATTTGAACGAGCTTCATCAATAAATCAACCATCAACATTACTATCACAACAACAACAACAACAACAATCACAATTGATATTGAACATGTCACAGATACAATCTAGTTTTATAATACTCAATCAGAATAATTCCAATAATGATAATTCAAATTTACAACAACCACAACAACAACATCATCAACAAATTAATTTATCTACCAATGGACAACAACAACAACAACAACAACAATCGAATAATTCTGGTCCAATAACGTTTGTTGCATATCGTCATCGTACAGGTTCTATGAATTCAACAATGATGTTGACACCAACAACAAATGAAACATCTAAATTATCAAAACAGCAGCAGCAATCAATTTGTACATTTAAAGTGCCCATTAATGTTGGAATTCAACAACAACAACAACAACAACAACAACGAAAACAACCAGATAATAATCAAATGTTTTGTGCGTTGACAAATACCAAAAATTCTGTGATGACGCCAATTTTTACAAATACTACTATTAATGGATCGAATGACAATAATAAAAACACATCGGCATCAAATACAACAACAACGACGACGACGATGCAAACATTATCCAATGATAATGATGATGATGACATTACAATGGCTGAAATTGAAATGGATACATTGAACGAATTGGGTGGAGGTACTTTTCATCATTTAGGTTCGTTTTACATGGAAAAATCATAAATTTTTTTTTTTGAAATGAATTGAAATTCTTTTCAGATGATGAAGAATCAATGTTAATCTGTGCGAGTAACGCATCGACACCTGAACATCATTTATTGGGGCATAATACTACTCATAAAAATCTCAATCATTTAATCATCACTGGTAATGGCAATTATCTAAATCATCAACATCCACATCATCATCGTCATCATTGTTTAGATTCAAAATTATCATTTCCGGATTCATTATCAATGAATACTACTGCACATCGAACGAATGATGATGATGAGAATAATTTTGATTCATTTGATACATTATTCGATATTGACAATGACAATAGTTTGATGAATTGTTTGCAAATGGTGGATACAAATAATCATCATTCATCTTCATCAACATCGATAAATTCTGTAACAAATACATCAAATGTAATGAATGATCATTTGATGTCTAAACAACAACAGCAACAATCTAGTCATCATCATCATCATCATCCACATATAATTGGTCGTGATAGTTTGATCAATTCAGTAAATTATAACAACAACAATAATAATAATAATAGTAGTAATCGATTAGCCTTGTTACATGATGATCATCACAATTCATTCATAATTTCAGATACTCAAAATCAACATTTAAATCTTAATCTATTGAATCAGACTACTAGACCGTCAGAATATCATGATGATTCAACATTGAAACAACATGGTCATTTGACCAAAAATGATTTGATGAATATTTCTTCACATTGTGATGATGAGCATCCATTTAATGGCTCAAATAATAATAACCGTACCGTTGACAGTCATGATCATGAAAGTAATGATAATGAAAATGGAAACAACAAAAACAACAACAACAATAATACATGTACAACAGCAACAACAATCGATTTTATGGATCATGAAGATATAGCAACATCGGATGAGATTTTATTCAATCTAGAAACATTTGATATGTTTGGCGAATTTGATGATCATTTAGTTGATCATCATCCTCATGATGATGATGATGATGATGATGATGGAACAACAACAGTAAATGACCTTAACCATATAACAACAACAACAACTAACCATAATAATAATAGCAATGACAACAGCAATAATGTTATGCATACAAATCAGTCTAATCAAGTTAATGAAACAATCGCTTCCAATGACAATAACGATAACAATAACAATAAAACTGATGAAGATAGACGACGAGATGAAAAAAATCTCAATTCTTCAACGTGTATTGTACGTCCATCATCTGAAACTATTATTATGAATCGAAAATCTAGTCAATCCCCTAATTTCATCATCAAACGAACAGAATCTATCGAATCCAAGAATCGTGAATGTTTTCTGTTGAATTCATCATCTAATAATAATGTAGGAGCCAAACAATTGGATAATGAATTGATTACAACGGATGAGAATGAAATACCGACTTGTGTACAGGAATTTTGGACAACGAATAATTTAACTAAATCAAAATTATTTATTAAAAATGGTGGGGGTGGTAGTGGTGTTCGATCGACAGCAACAACGGATTCATTGTCATACAATGAAATCAGTTCCGGTAAGTTAGCCATAACCATCTAATTATAATACGACAATAATTTATTGATTGATTGCATAGTTATATCATCAAATGAGCCAAATAATGGTGCTAGTACTAGTAGTAATACAACACCCATTGACGTAACCGTTGATGAGAATGGAAATTTTTCCATTACAAAAACAAGAAAGGCGTCTACTGGTATTGTTATGAATGTAATAAATAATCCACCACCCACAACATCAACAACAATAACAACAACAACAACAATAACGACGACTGCGACGGCAAAAACAATGTCACAAAATTATCCATTATTGAAACGACAATTAAGCACTGCCAATTTATTAATGATAAAAACTAATAATGATTCATTGAATGATGAAGAATTTCAATCACAACCACAACAACGACAATCAGCATCATCATCATCCGATAATCAACAACAACAACATCGTAGAATCGTTATTGATTCAGATACAATGTTAAATAATAAAAACAACAGTAATATTGCCGCCACCATGAACCATATCACCGATTATTCACCTGAGTGGTGCTATACAGAAGGTATGTTTCCAAAAATATATATCAATATCAAGTGACCACCCTATTTCTATCATTATGAAATGACAAATCTTTTTTTTCATCTACCATCATTCATTTAAACATGTCAAAAAATTTTTGTTGTCGTTGTCTGCTCTTTTTATTGGAATTTAATGAACAATTCAACATTCATTACTTGAGTGTGTGTGTGTGTACCGATTATTGCTAGTTTCAAGTGCAATACTTTTATCTTTTTCATTTTTCACTCCCACTGAAAAATAGTGCCGACATAAATGAAATGCACAAAAAATTTCCATTTGGATCGGTTAGAGCTACTGTTATTGTTGTTATTGTTAAAGAGAAAAACTTTTTTCGGTTCACTGACTTAATTCTGGATAAATTCTTAACGATTATTAACATAGAGATGAGAAAAGAAAAAAATATTCGTGATCGTTAACCTTTGTCATCTGTGTGGAATCTGAAATGTTTTTTTTTTTCATCCTCATCATCATCATCAACCGAAGTAATCATTATTATTATCCTCGTATAATTGGATGGTAACTCTGCCGTATGTTGTGCATATGTATTATATTGCGTGTCATCAGACCATTTCGAATAAAGCGAAAAAAAATAAAAATTGAACGGCTACGGAAACAATACTCTCCCGTCTTTGGTAAAAAAAGTTTCCGAGTCAAAAAAAATTGGAAAAAAATTTCATTTCAGCCCCTAGTCGTCTGGATAGCAAAAAGAAAAAAAAAAACTTTTATCATCTATCACTGTGTGTGTGTGGACAGATTCAGAACTGACGGATCAAAAAAATTGCATTTGACGTGAAATTCTCTGGCACCATATTTATCTATATGAATAAAAAGATCCATTAAGGATTTTTTCCGCTCTGCCCCATATATACTCTGTTTATTCTCATCATCATGATCATCTGTGATATCTTGTCTGTTGATTTTGACCTTTGTTTATTCAATATTTCGATCGTATTATTGTATCCTCTGAATTCAATCAATTTTCATTTTTCTTCTCTATATGTGCGAACCGGGAACATAATACAACCAACTATACCAATATTTAGTGACAAGGATCAATCAAAAATAGAGAAAAACTCTATATTTTATATATACTCTAAACTCTATATTCGGTTTTAGATCCCGAATCATCCTTACAATGATGAAGATGGATAAAGCCACATGGTCATTACAATCATCCAATCCAATAATCTAATGAATTGAATTAGAATATTTGAGAATTGATATGGTGATATTTTTTGGTTCATTTATTCAACCGACCAGAAAAATACTACTACTGCTATTGTCCCCAATGGCCATATTTTGTGTGTGTGTGTGTGTGTAAATCATAATCATCGACTCGATGATAATGATTCGCCATGATGATAATGATGATATAACAGGATAACGAGAAAAAAGTACGACAAAGACAACGAAAATAGACTTATCGTCCAATGGCAATAAAAATTAATTGAATTTGGGCACCCATTTGCCATCTCTTTCTCTCTCTCTCTTTTTGTTTGTGTGTGTATGATAAAAAAGTACTCGAAAAAAACAAGAATAAACTAGTAAAGAGAAAAAAATTAAAACATTATACTGAAAAAATGAAAAGCAGATTCTAGTATCTGGATTCTATATAAAATGTGTGTGTGTGTGTGTGTTTGTTTTTTACAGCATTATGTTGTTCACAACATGTAGGTATCACCTGATCAAATCATTTTTTCGGTTTTTTCTCTCAAAATCCTAGAGGGTCCCATTGAAGGAGAAAAAACCAGGAATCAAATTAAGCACCTCAAGATGAGATATATAGAAGCGAAAAAAAAAACTCATAGCTAACAAACTAAACCAGAATATTACAGAAAAAAATTTTCCTCCAAAACAACGCTTCGGGTTTCTCCACTATATTTGGCTCTCTTTCTCTCTTTTTTTCAGAATAACATATATGGTTTCGATTTGAATGGTTTTAATATTGTCCTTCGTTTTTGTTTTGTTTTGTTTTGTTTCGTTGATTATCTCTCTATGTGTGTGTGTATCTGGTAGTCTGGTTTTTTTTGGTTGTAATAATTTTTATATTTTATAGAACCTAACCTGAAGCAACGACGACGGCGACAATAATAATAACTACCTACTCCCACATGCACACACATGCACATGCACATTAAGACTTAATGAATCGAGATAATTGGTTCATTTTGATCATTATTTTAGGCATTCAAGGTATTCAACTTGTTATTGTAGAATTTGACTTGTGAATCGCCATAATTTTTTTTTTTTGCTCATCTCAATAATATGTTATATTATGCACAACGTGTGTAGGTGTTGAGGAAAACAAAAAGAAATAGATTTCGAAATCTTCGTTTTTTGTATAATGATCTGATCTGATCATGATACCAATGAAAACAAAAATCAAACAATTCTGTTGGGAATTTTGTTGAAGTTCTGATTCCAGCTACAGCGTTCATTGACGACACTCTTTGAGAACCAATCATTATTACGTGTAATGAAATGAAGTTGATACATAATTCATTAGCGATATATTCATATTTCAAGGTAATCGTCAAGCTAAAATCAGTGATTGTAGTTGTACAGATACGTCTGTGGAATATTCGATCTAGTCTGGTTTTCCTCTTATCAACAAATTTTGGTTTTGTTCTGGATTTTTTTTGTATTTCATTATCTGATTTTTTTATGTTTGTAATGTGATCTTCATAGTAATCACCATGATGATTATTATTGGCTCAAATGATTATTTGCCTTAAATTCAGAATCGTTTTTTTCAGTTTTGAATTTTTGTCGATTGATGAATTGAAAAGATGGATGATGGAAATTTTGTTTGAAATCTTGAAATGCATGTTGTTTCCTTTATTTTCTTCACAGTTGCTGCTTGCTTCATTGTCGTTTCATTTGTTATTTTTTTCCAAATTACAAAAGTAATTTGTTATTGTAATCACTGGAAATACACAAACACAGAGACTGAATGACAAAAGCAAACAGAATAAAATGGTGAGAAAAAACTTTCGATCCAAAATAATCTTATGTTGTATTTTTCTATTTAGAAATCTAAATTTTTTCATTCTCGCCTCGCCAACAATATTGTTGGTTAGTCTGTGTTTGTTTTTTTTTAAATTGATTGCTACATTCACACTATTTGCTCGCTGAATCACCATCTATTAGTTGTTCTTTAATTCTCTTTGATTTCAGACATATACACAGAGCTGAAAATGTATCGTTTCCTAGGAATCTAATCAAAATCTAAATCAAATGTTATGAACTCGGTTTTTTTTCGTTGCCTCATTTCTTTTTCAGTGTCCCACAAGGGAATTTTTTTCTTTCTCGTTTTTTCATTCCATTTTTTTTTTTGGTTTTCATTCACAATTCTGCATATCATAGCTATTCTTTCAATGATTATTATTAACCTTTATTCACTTATAATATATCGCGGTTATCTGAATTCACATTTTATATCTTGAGGCTTAATTTCTAGTGGCTATCATTATTTGTAAGATTTTGGCTTTCTATTATGAAAATTTCCAGAAAGAAATTCATACCGATTTGTATTTTGAAAAAGTTTTCTTTTTCTCTCACTTTTTTTGATTTTCACTTGAAAAATTTTTTTATATTTTCTTTGATTTCAATCAAAGAAAATATTTCAATATTTCAATATTAATGTTTAAATTCAATGGTTGTAAGTAGTAGCAGTGGTGTAAGTTATTGAAAAATTTTAACTAATTCAAGTGGCTTCAACTCTTGATACTTATTTTTCTCAGTATCATCCTTGGCTATTTGAACCACATCGTCAGCTGGTCTGTTTTTCAAAGTTTTCTTTATTTTTCATTTTTATTTTGGAAAAACGTTTTTTAATTTTTCTCCTGTTTTGATTGTAGGTGGCATCAAAGTTCTTGTCGCCGGTCCTTGGTACAATGATTTAAATTCAAATAATCATTATCGAATTCTATTTGACAATATTCCAGTTGCAACGGAATTGGTTCAAAATGGTCTACTCAGGTGTTTTAGTCCAAAACATGACCCTGGTCTTATAACATTACAAGTTTCATGTAATGATGTTATCATTTCTAATTCAGTAATTTTTGAATATCGCCATTCAACCAACAACCACAACAACAACATGATTAAAACTACTCAACAATTGGACAACAGCATCACTTATTTCAACCATAATGATGAAATATTGAATCATCAAATGGATTTATTGAATCAAAATTCATTACAATTCAATTCCACCGCATCGTCATTGAATACAACAGCGGCCATCAAGATCAAACAACAACAACAACAATCTTTAGTAATGGTAAATTTGTATCTTTGAAATTTTCTTATTTATTTATTTATTGTTTTTTCAAAAAAAAAAAAAAAAAATAGGAACCAATAAAACCAGAATAATGACAACTGGCAAAATTTTTCAAGTTTCGGTTGAATGAAAAAAACTTGTAAGTTTATTTTATAGAATTGTATGATATGAAAAAAATGTCATCATCATGAACAACAACAACAACATGACCTTAACGACGAATGCGATTATTATTGTAAAAGTTTCAAGTTGTCGATGGAATTGCGTTTATTATTAGTATTGACTACTTGGATTCTATGTCGATTGGAATTGATTTTTCTTTTTCTTGTTTGTTGTCCATATACTAAACTTCTCTGTGTATTTCAAGTTTTTTCTGTATTACTTGAATTGTGAATGTGTCCTGTCCAAAAAATTAACTTTATTGGCTATGCCATAGACTTTTGCTCATTCACTGTAATATATCGATCAATGATTTTCGATTCAATGGTTTGATGTCAATGAGTTTGATTCGTATTTATTTATTCACATTTACATTCTTGTCGTTCAAAACATACATACAAACAACAAACATGATACCATGATAAAGTGGGCAACTGCCATAAAAAAGGCATCTAGCATATAACACGCATACATTATAACTGAATTTCATTAGATTTGCTAAATTTCTCCCGTTTCTCTAGTTGCTCTGAATTTAGCCACTTTGATGTGAAAGAAATCACCGGGTTGAATGAAAGAAAAAAGAATCTATTCAATTCAATGATTAAACTGACGATGATGATGAGAGAATGTTTTTTCGGTCTTCGGTCCAATTGATTGCTTTGAGAAGTATAGTGTTCATCATTGTCATCATCATTTCGATTGAAATTAGCCTTAACAACAACCAATTTTTTCTTTTTCTTTGGTTTCAATTCAACAAATAAATAAATAAATAAACTGTATTGCTCTTGTGCGTCATATAGTTTACTCTACGGTGATAATCTGTCAAATGATCTGCAATATATTTTTATTCACAAAAAACAAATGTCTGGTCAATCATGATAGTATAGTTCAAAACAATGAGAAAACAACGTTAGTAATAATTCATCACGAACCAGCTATAACTTTTACCACAGTTATCCTCGATAAATTCAAAGATCCATATCCATATATATGAATTTATTACTTATACGAAACACACATTTATTTATTATTTTTGCAAAATAAAAATGGCCCTTCACCCAGATCTCCCAGAACGATTCGTGTGTTTGAAAATTTATGAATTTATTTATGACCAAAATCGAAATGATGACAGCCAAATGTGGAATGTGGTTATGACGATGAAAAAGGAAATTTGATCCATCTTCGCAATTCTCATTTATCATTGAAAAGAAACAATCTATATTACAATGAAAGGATTCTTGTAATGAGTATTTTTTGTTTGGCCATCAAATAACATCAACAAAACATAACAGAAAATGAATAAAAGAGTGAAACGAAAAAAATACTGATTTGATATCCTGATATTTTTTTTCATGTTATCATTTCATTTCCTAAATTCAATTTCAATTTCATTTTCTTTCTCTTTTTCTCTCTCTCTTTTTGTAATACATGTGATAATAGTGTACTATTCAAATAATAAACTTGAATTCGAAACAATCAATTCGATATGCTATATATTGATGACAATCAATTTCTCAAACTTTTTGTGTGTGTGTGTGCTGTGAAGTTAATTGAATATGAACAATAACCGTTACAATTTTTTTCTCTCTTTTTCCCTCTCTGCAATAGATAGTCACATTTTATGTTTGATCGATAAATATATGATTGGACTATGATGATTTAGCACACATACACGGCACACAGACGAATATCTTATCACAATTTCTATCACAAAGATCGTTGACTCATCGATGATGATGATGATGACCTGAAATTCATTCATTCATTGATTCAGTAATTTTTTTCATTGAATTCAATTGTGTTGTGCATTTGTTTTTATTTTTCGGAAAATGAATTTATTTTTTCATTTCTCCATGACCAAATCGCCATTATTTCACCCCACATGTCTATTATTGTTTGTTCATTGCAAGTGAAATGAAATTCCATTATTTACACGATCGATAGAATCGGTGACATTATTGTTATTGACATGAATTAATGAATGAATTTCGGATTTTTTTCCACTTTTTTTCCACAGATCGATTCTTTTTCTCCGACCACGACAATGATGATGGAATAACTGTGATTATTTATCACGATTTTTGTGAATTTATTTACATTATATGTGATCGATATGATGGTGGCATCATTCAAAGTTCTTAGTCCGGACATTTCATTTCATTTCACTTTTCTTCATTTACATAATTTATTTTTGTCTTCAGACAAAAGAAAAAAAATACTGGATAAGGTATGAATGATTTAACAATTCTTTATCAACATGAAATTTATTCTTAATATTTTTCTTTCATTTTTCCAGATGTAAACATGTTTACATTGCCATTGCCATATGCAGTCTAAAATAGAAATCAAAATTGCTTCTTTTCCTTGTTTCTATATTCGCCAATCAATTGACAAATATTGTTGACACATTTCGAAAAAAGAAACTTAGACACACACATACATACACACACGATCAACGATTTTTTTCGTTACATTTTTTCAAATGGAGAAAAAACGATAAAACTATTGAGATCTATCTCACTCATATATGAAACATTCGATCCACGGAATGAAAAATCAAACCGAATCAACATTCTTGAATTCTGACCGAAGAATTGATTTCCTCACATCCGACAAATCTACTTTTTCCTCATCATCATTCAATTTTATTTTCCACTATATTTTGACTGTGAAAAGCTCCTTCATCATTCTGGCGCCGATTCCTTTCTCTTTCTCTTTCTATGTGATGATCATATTGATTAATGGAATGAATGGTCTTTGAAGCAAATGCTAAAATAATCAAACAAACATAATATCGTCAAAAATATTTCATGTACCCACGACACACACACCCAAACACATGCACAATTGTTTATAACAAAATAATGTGCGACAAGAAGCAAACAAATTCATTCATTTTCTGTATTTTTTGATTTATTATAAATAATGATCGTCGTCTTTTTCTGGTGATTTCAAATTGTGGCCATCGATTGAATAAAATGAAGAAAAAACGAAACCCAAAAAAAAAAAAGAAAAATTCAATTAGCTCTATGGACATTAAATGACCGATTTAATTGATTTGATTCATCACACATTCACTGTTTGATTCAGTATTACAAAATCATCAGCAACAATTTATTGATACGCGCATCAAATTTCTTACCAACACCCACACATACACACGTTGGATTTATTCCTTTCTATTTGATCTCTATATTCATCATCATCATCTTTAATTCTTTTCTAATAATCAATCATAGACAATTTCATATAACTTTTGAATTTCGATTATTCGAATTTCTATCCGATTACAACAAAATTATGAAGAACTCTTTATTCCATTCTTACTGATAAAATGGATTATTATATTTTTTTCTTATCGATTGATATGAATGATTGATTAATTTTCATTGATTATTATTATTCTAATCATCATCATTCCTTTATTATTGATTGAATAGCATAAGAATTTTCGCTATTTTTTCCAATTAAACAATAAAAATGAAATTTTCAGATTTTTGGCATGACAATACAGGTCATTTGTTTATTTATTCATTCATTCATTCAAATGGTGTCCAATCTTTTTTAAATCATGCGCCAACTTTTTTAGATTTTTTAAAACATGAGCTTTCAGCTTCGCCATCTTTTGGTGAAAATTAAATCAAATATTGTTTTAAAATCAAATCACTAGATGGTGGTATATTTTGAATTATTTGAAAATTAACTAAATTTTGAGAAAATAAATTGTCTTATTGTTATTTTCATTTTCATTTTAAAATTTCATCCTAAAAATTGATAATGAAATTCTGAATTTTTACAACAATAAAACATACAAAATTTCTTCAAACAGTTCGCGGCAAGAATCAAATACAAAAAAATCAATAAATCAATAAAACACAATCAATTTATTCATTGAGTTCTGTGTCGAAAAAGAACAAATCAAGGTTTATCCAAATTATTGGTCATTGGTCATCGGAAAAAAGTGACAAAAACCGAAACAAATAAAAAAAACTAGATCAAAGGCGGGCCGAATGAATTATATACTCAATACACACACATCACATACCTTTCATGACACCATTGAATATTTTAAGAGGCTGAGCCAAAAAAAATGAATAAGAGAAAAAAGGAAGAAGAAAAAAATCACACACGCACACACATCTCTTGTCATCATTAATTTTGTCGCCAAAAATTGAGAAAAAACCAACCATTGCCATTCTTTTTTTGTGTTTGTTTGTCTCCTTCATCATCATATTATACCAATGAAACCATCATCACCACCACCACCACAACTTTCTAATATCAACACATCACTAAACGGCCAATTGCCATAGAAGTATATACATCTATTCGTAATTTTCGTAAATATAATGGGAAAAAGTAGTAGAGAAAAAAGCCCCGGCATTGCGATTGCTTCTTCATCCAACAACAGCAACAACAACAACAAAGACACACACACACACATAAACAGTAAAAGCTTTTTATATTTATCCACCAACATTTTCCAATTTGACCCCGCCTTTTTCCTCTTTCTCCATCTCTCTCTTTATCTCGATCATCGAGAATCATGATCACCATCATTATTATTTTACCCACACAATTTTTTTCCATTTGAATTTGTTTTTCCACCGCCAAGTTTTTAATATTGTTGAATATGGTCATGGGTATGTGAATCCAGTCCTGTAAATAAGTGAATCATATGAATCGTGAAGAAATTAACCATTATCAATGATCAAGGTGATGTTTCAAATAACAATAACAATAACATTAATAAATGAATAAAGTTATCAAAACTTAATAACCAATAGAAGCACCAATCCAAATGGAAAAATTAAATATTTGTTTTTATTTCATCCAACCTATCCAACATAGATTGAAATTCAATTCAATGAATAATGTTTTTGGTTTTGTTTTCAATAAACCGGCCGGCATATTGATTATTTTTTGTGTGTGAGATTTCAACACATGTTTATGTAAACCCATCATCATCACATGTGTGTGTGTTTAAATCCGGAAAATAAATCCATAACTATTACATAGTGACAAAACATCAAAACAAATCGAAAAGATTTTCTCTAAAGAAAGATTCAAATTCGCTAAGCATCGATGAGCGATTGATTTCAGGCACACACGTAGAAACAAACTTAAATCTAGTCAATCGAAATCATTATTATCATCACATAAAGCCTGAAGGTAAAAATGTTTTGAATGTTGTGTATTTTCACAGCTACTACAACCATCGTGTATGAATCGATTATTTACGCTGTCGATTTTTTGGGTTTGGATAGACAAGAATTAATTAGTTTTATCAATCGAAAAAAGACATAATAAAAGTCGTCAATCATCAATGATCGAAAAAAAAATCAAATGGAAAATGAATGAGAAAAATTATGCCAACAGATGTATTGAAACAAATATTCACAACATTCTTGTGATGTAATGAGGAAGTGAACATTGATTATGAAATACAGAATATATGTCTGTAGAAGGAATTTAATTTTTCAATCATCAATCACTCGATTAAATCATGACGACCTCGTTTTCATCATCAATAATCATGGAAAATTCAAATAATATTCATCATCATCATCATAATCATTCCTCATCATCACAGCAATTATCACCTGATCAACAATCAAATCGACCAACACGTTCGACATCATCTTCATCGTTGATAATCGATAATAATCCATCATATCAATCATCATCATCATCATCATCATCATCGCCACAGTTATTAATAACAAATCCATCAAATAGATTGAATCAATCACCACCAATCAATGATCAATCTATGCAATCACAACCATTATCAATCGATACAGCTATATCGATGAATCATCAATATGAATTTTCATTAAATAGTCATAGTCATCAGAATCACCACTATCACATTCAACAACCAGATAATGATGATGATTCATTCACATATCAAACACCACCATATACTGAACAGGATCCAAATAATTTGTTAAATAATCGATTATTATCATCATCATCATCGACAACAACAACAACAACAATAATGTCACCCGATTCTAATCGATCCTTTCATTCATATAATTTGCCATCAAATCCATGTGGTTCGACTACGACAACAAATTTAATAAATGTAGATATAAACCAATCATCATCATCGAACATAAACACTACAACAATTACGGATACAATTAGTTCATCATCATCATCTTCAACATCGTTATCGAAAGAAATAGTGAAACCACCATATTCATATATTGCATTGATTGCAATGGCAATACAGAATGCACCGGATCACAAAGTAACATTGAGTGGAATCTATCAATTCATAATGGATAAATTTGCTTTTTATCGTGAAAATAAACAAGGATGGCAAAATAGTATTCGTCATAATCTTTCATTGAATGAATGTTTTATAAAAGTTGCACGTGATGATAAAAAAACCGGCAAAGGTAGCTATTGGACATTGGATCCAGAATCATTTAATATGTTTGAAAATGGTAGCTACCTTAGAAGACGAAGAAGATTTAAAAGAAAAAATGAAAAATTCTTTTCATCCAATAGTAATCGAATGAAATCTGCTAAACGTGTACGAAAAGCGAAAACAAAATCCACGATTCAATCATCCGAGCATTTGATTAAAGAAAATAATGATGGAGAAGATCCATCATCTTCTACACAGATCAATGTAGGCATTGAATCTTCCAGTTATCAACCGAATTTAACGGAATCGACCACATTCAAGGATTCTTCTTATTCACAACAACCAGACCAGACCAATAATGATCATCAACAAATTCATTATTACTCAATTTCAAACACAGACAATGACAGTGAAACAATAGCAAATTGTCAGCTAGAAAATTCTAAAAACGATACCATTGATTCTTTGGAATTCACAAATTCGACAGCAAAAAATTCTGATCTTCAATGTTTATATAACAATTTTGCCGGTAATCAAGTTAAACCATCTTCAACAATGTCGGCAAATGATTTAAATCAACATTATCATCATCATCATCACCAAATTCAACTGCCAGCCACAATCAAACAATATTCATCACATCAACGTTATTATGATGCATCTTTGTCTGGTCCGAATTTTCATAATAATCATAATGTGAATGCCATGAACGATGGAACAATTCATCACTATTATTCCATTAATCAACAACAACAATCGTCAAGTCAATATTTTAAAACAACAACAACTACAGCAGCAGCTACGTCGCCAATCAATAATGGCTATGATCAACAATATCGACAACAAATTGATTCATCGACTACGAAATCAATTTGTCAGCATCATCCTCATCAATTACCCACTATAATTAATAGCAATACATTTTCATTGGAATATCCATCATTGTCGATTGTTGTTCCATCATCGAATACCACCATGAATAATTCAACAATTAACAACAATCTTAGATCGAATAGTGTGAGAACATCAAATACAATTGACGGCGCCGACACCAACGATTTGTCTTGCCGTATCAAACATCATCATAATGGATACACTGATTGTCATCATCAAGATCAACAAAAATCAATGGATACATATAATTATAATTCAACATCGACATCAGGATCATCATTTCAATCATCATCATCAGCAACAGCAACAGCAACATTTGCAGAATATTTCAACCACAATAACAACAACAACAATCACCATCAATCACCACCATCATCTTCATCATCATCGTGTTCATCATCATCAACGTCTTCAGATTTATTAATGACAAACAATGTCAACAATATCTATCACTACCACAAACAACAACAGCAACATCCTATCCATCATCTTCATCATCACCAACAACCACATACATCGAATAGTTATCATTTCAATATGGTCATAGGTGAAGAGAAGAAATTTACAATAAATTCGGTTGATATGATGATGATGACAAATTGGGAATCGTTTCATATGCAGCAACAACAACAAGAACAAGTGACAATCGATCCAATTGGATCGATTATGAATAATACACCGCCTAGAACACCGGCAATGACCAAACTAGAAATTCAAACATCCATAAACCATGGTCCAGAGACAATAAATCACGATGATGATAATGACAATGAAAGTCGAATAAATTTTCAGGAACCAATGACAAAATTACAGGCAGCCAACTCTTGTTATATTTGATTGAATCACATCATCAAATTCATGATATTTCTTGTATTTAAAAAATGTTTCTCTTTTTCCATCATCATAGAAATAATTTCGAGTTGGATAATAATAATTATTCATTATTCATTATTCATTACACGTGTTAATTGTTCATTCACACATTTTTCCGTATTTATTTCAGTCCTTTCTCTCTCACTGTGTGTTTATGTTTGAGCAATCTAATATTTTGTAACTTTTATTTTGTTTCATATGTTTGGTATGTGTATATGAATACTTTTGGTACATCATTTTTTTCTCTTGTCTTGTTTGGTAACAATAATGATAATAATAAAAAACAAAACAACAAACAAAAAACGGATAATATGGATAATATGATAAAATGGATGAAAAAAAATCAAAATGAATTTTTGTTTTGAATGCTTACTACTGACAACGATAATCAACCATGTGACCTAGATTATTATTGCCGTATTCGTATAGTCAAAACATTGAAAATGACCTATGATTCTACTCGTTGCTAGTTTCATAATGTATAATAAACAAAGTTCAAAGGCCATCGGATGGAAAATAAAAAAAATAATCATGTATTTTGTTGTTGCATTCGAAACCGGATTTGTTATTTGAGAGAAAGCAAGAAATGCCCATAAATGTCTCGATGATACGAGTTCATCGTCCAATGCGTAATGCGAAAAAACTAATGAATTAATGAATGAATGAATTGAGTAAACGTAATGACAAGACGACCAATTGGAACTATGGTTCATTTATTCATTCATTCATTTTATTCCAGGTAAATCAATTATCCACACACTTGAACCACACTAGTCATTCTCATTGATGAAAATTAACAAAAACAACGGAATAAGAGATTTATACTTTTTTACAGTGATCCTTTCGCGTTTCTCTATTTCTCGATCAATCAATCATCCAAATTAAATCGAATGGAATCAATACTATGAAATGATTATAGGATTTTATTGCTATGCACGCTAAAACTGAAACACTTGAACATTTCAACATTTTTAATATTCATCTTCACGTATAAGAAAGAAAGAAAAATTATATTGAAGATGTCCCTTATTCTCGCTCAGTGTAGATTTGAATAGTTAACTTTATCTCACTTTATCATCACAAATTTGAAACAAGTAGAACAACGACAGAAAAAAACTATCAAGTGGCATCATCATCATCGATTCGGTGGTATAGATATTTGATGATCATCATTATTAAATCATCCGAATATGAATCAATAAAACTACTTCAAAGTAAGAAAGAAAAAGTAGCTATAAATTATGAAAGAAACCAAAACGAATGGTCGTAAATTGATTTTTTTGATCATTTTCAAGTACCCTACCACCAACTTATACTGCTCGCACACGCACACACACACACACATGACACCTTGTTCATGATTCAAGATCATCATTATCATCGATGATCTTGAGTGGCAAGCAAGCAAAAAACGTATTGAGATTGACGTTTTTTTTTTGTTTTCATGAGCCAATTGTATTGTCTTAATATCGTCGTAACAGATAAATTATCATCCAAATGTATCATCCACTTAAAATTTCGAATGGCACACACACTGATCGATTAATTTTAGAATTTTTAAAATTCAAAAAAACGTAATGAAAGAAGAAATGAAAAAAATTGAAATATAACAAACACATCATCATCACTTTAGTGAATTAACAATTTCATTCCCTTCCCGTTATCGTTGTTGAGAGCGAGAGAATAAAAAATTAATTTTTTTTCATCAAAACCATGAAAATCATACGGTATGATGATGAAAAAAAAACAGATCATCATCAACAGAATGGATGAATAATGAAAAAGAAGATGGTGATGAAAAAAATACTTAGGAAACCATTTTCCATCATCAAAGCTTCAGGGCAATCAAACATTGCTATAATATGGTCTTTACAAAAAAAATTTCCTCTTGATAGGTTTGTTAGTTGGTTGGTCTAAACCAAATTAATAAATAGGGACCACCATCATCACACATCAGGATGATAAAGAGAGCGAGAGAGAGAGTAAAAGCAATGACAATTTCCCGAATTTGCTAAATTTTGAATGAAAACTAATAGAAAATCAACTTAAGGGCATCTCACTCATACATTGTCAAATATATGGCCTATATAATAATACAATTACAATATACAGTATATCTGGATCACAAACACACACACAATGGATCCGTATTTTTTCTCTGTATATGAGTCTGGTTTTGTTGAATCACACACAGACACGCAATACTGAAGAGAATTCAATTTTTTTTCACGTCAACGAGAACGCTAACAAATTCATATATTTAATATATTCTGGAAACCGACAATGGATACTCATGTGATGATGATGATGTGGACAGATATGGCCCCAAAAAAGAATTTCAATTTTAAAAAAATTGATGCGATCGCTAGTAGGAGTCACCACATAGCTAACTCTTATTTTCTCACTTTCTTTTTGCAGTGCAATCTTTATTCAATTTGTGCTAACGAAAATATGAAAAAAAGAAAAAGGAATTCATTTCAATTTAAACTTTTTTATTCAAGACCTATAATAAAAAATGAAGAAAGATGTGCTCTTTTTGTGAAAAAAAATCCAAAAAAATAGTGAATAGAAATGATGTGTGATAATCGGTTTTTTCCATGTTAATTTAATCATCTGCATCATTTTTTCGCCGAAATTGTTATCCTTGGCTCACTTTCGAAGTTGAAAATATTATTGTCACAGCTGATGTGATCCGATTAATATTGAATGGAAAAAAACAAAATGAAAATGATGGCATTTTAACAAGCTAAAACATTCTCGTTTCATGCCATATATCATAATCATTTTTGATTAAATCTTGAAGGTTTTCTTCCTTCGTTTATTAATGCTTGAATGAATGAAAAATGAAGTGATTTTGAATTTTGTTGTTGTTGACATGACGACGGCCACCATGGTTGTTTTGGGCGCCAATTCATTATAATGATGATGGTGATGATTATCATCATCAACAACAACCAACAACAATGAATTCAATTTACCAAATAAAAGTGATGAATAAGTCGAAAAAAAACTTTCTAAATCTTCGGGTGGTCGCTTTTTTTTCTTGTTTAAATTTTGTAATACTTTTGAATACGATAAAGTTAATATATCTCTCTGTTGTAAATGTGTGTGGCATTCTTTGCGTTTGTATTAAAAGATTTGTATGGAAAATTTCTCATCGTGTGCCATATGTATAAGATGATGATGATTATTTAGGATGCAAATTTACGATTATTCAATGATATTTTTAGGATCTTGTGAATTTAAAAATGAAATTTTTTTACGTGACGAATTCTTTCACCATCATTCTCATCGATTGTCGAGAATAATTTTTTCCCTCGAATATATCGATATATTCCAAAGTCAAGCTCATTCAATCAGAATGAATGAATGAACTTTCAACTTTATTTCTTCATTTTTTTTTGGCCCGTTCAAATTATTACATATAACCTAAATGGAAGAAAAAAATGTTCATACAAAACAATGTTTGGTCTAGACTTGTTGTACATTATGAATCGTTTTTTGATCATCATCATCATCATCATCTTGATGATTATATAATGTCATTATTACATAAAAGGCTATTTATATGTCTAATAATAATTATAACTCATTGGAAATAATGAAATTCAAGTAATGTCCGTGTGTGTGTGTGTATGTATGTATGTAAATAATGCATACACAGTTGAATTGCAATAGAAAAACAACAACAACAACAACAACAACAGCCACAGAAGAAAAAAACCGAATACATTTAGAAAAACTATTTTGCATGTCTGCATGTGGTTGTTGTTGTTGTTTAGTGTTAAGACCTGTTTTCTTAAATTTGGTAAGAAAATTTTATGTTAGTATAAAAGACATTTGAACGGTTATTTTTCTCTTCTTTTTTCGGTTAGTCATTTTTGGGGTAATAAATTACAAAAATCGCCTAATTTTCTTTCATTTGAATGTTGGTTTACCAATTCTTTTCATCATCATCATCATCATCATCATCATCAGACAGTAGTCACTATTTCAGTTTGGTCGCTTGTTCAATGAATGATTTTTTTTTTCTTTCTCTATACATCATATAAAAACATGAAAATCACATGTTTCAAAGGAATAAATGTGATATTTGGGGATAAATAGATATATATGGATACCAGACAAAATCTAGAATCGATTTGTCAAACGGAAAAAATATCGTCATCAATTATTCAATGAGGCAAAAATCTTTTCAACAGCAACAATAACAAGATGTGAGAACGATAATGTCAATTTAATTATGGCCATTTGGTGTGGAAAACAAAAATTGTCATCAAACATGATGATCATTGAAATGATGATAATAATAATGATGACCATATTCATCTGGGTGTGTGTGTGTATGTGTGCGTGAGAGGAAATCCACAAACAAACAGTATTTTAGTTTGTTTTTTTGATCTTTGAAAAATAAAATTGAATAGAAATCAATTGAGATATTCCATCAGTTTTTTTGCTGTGTTTAATTATTGTTCTCATTAGTTGTTGTTGTCAACCTCGAAAAATGTCATCAAAATGAGATGAGAAAGAAAATATCTCAAATTCCAAGTATTTGCAATTTCTTGTTTTCTCGTCGATCAAATGTCATTGAAAAGAACTCAAACAATCTTCTGAGAAAAAAAATCATTGGCAGACTGCTTGTCGCCAACTTATGAGACAGACACACATGAATGAAATTCAAGTACTATAGTATTTCAAGGAACTTTAAAAAGTGAAAAAAAGCCGATTGTAAATGATGACAGCTTCCTTTCGAATATTTGTAAATCAACAATTTTTAAATGAAAAATTTTTCTCTTCATTTTTATGAATATTCAGCTAATCAAATTCAATGGTTGACAGACGCTCGTCAATCGGATCACATACAAATGTATTGAACACGGATCAAATTATTTAAAGATTTTAATTAAAGAATTTCTTTTTTTTTTTTTTGTTTCAAAAATGAAATGAAAAAATGTGAAAGAAAAATGACTCGTAATCATCAATAGTAGATGGATGGATCGATGCCAAGACCTCCCATATGGATAAAGTGGGGAAAAAATAAAATCTCATCTGCCACATAGTTATAACGGTTGAATTTACAAAAAAAAAAACGGATTAAAATCAAATTTATTACAAAAAAAATTCTGAAGAGCTAAAAAAGTAATTTTCGTTTGGATCACAAAGACAAAAATACTTGATCATTTTAAGTGGAAATTGATCGACGCGCTGATCGATTGCCGAAACAAAAAAGGCTCATTTTCACATTCATTCATTCCATTTCATTAAAATAAATCAAGCACTCCCCATTTCGATATAATTATTCTTTTAAAAACATAAATGGCAAATTTGAAACGGAAAAAAATTTCTACCAAAATGGCTCGAACTGATTTACGAGATTTGGTTTTTTCAGCTTTCTCTCTTTCTCTCTCCAATTGATCCACTTGACCAATAAATTTTATGAAAAAAGATGAAAAGTAGAAAAAAATCAGATCATAGATCACACATTGGTACTTGAAACGTTTTGAATTGTTATTTTCTCTCTTTGCATTGTGAAATGTGTTGAAATAAATGAATGATACACACTTACATATGCGTAAAAGTGAACAAGCTATAAGTGAATAAGCTTAATTTTTTTGTCGTCGTTGTCGTCGTTGTTGTTGTTGTTCTATTGTCGATTAACAAATTTCAATGTGAATGAGACAAAAGAGAAAAGAGAAAAAGTGGAAATTCTTAAAGTAAACATTTTTGTTTCAATTATAATGATAATCATCATTTCCTTTTGATCCATAATTCACAATGCAGAGATTTTCAAAATATAAAATCCTCTCAATGATCATCATGATGATGATGGTGATCGGCCAATACGGGACAACCAGTTGCAGTAGTAGTAGCAATAGTGCCAAGATTAATTGAATTCAAATGTAAGTGAAGAAAATTTGTTTTGTCAAACAATAATGTTACGAATTTGGAACACACGCAACTAAAACCAACATTAACAATTTATGCGCGTACGTTTTTCATTTTCAATATTAATCGATGAAATTGATTTCATGTGTGTGTGTGTGTGTGTGTGTGTGTACAATACGGATCTAGTTCAAAATATTATATAAAATGAAAAGAAATGAGATTTTCAGAGACATATTTTTTGATTTAGATAGTGTGTGTGTGTGTGTGTAAATAAGCCACTCGAAAAGAGAGTGAGAGAAAGAATAAAAGGCCTGTTTGGCTTTGGGGCCGGATCAATTTTTCTTGTTCACTTATCGTTGGCCATTGTGTATTTAAACAAATACCCAAAAACAAGTGACCAGACTTTTCGATCAACAACAACAACAACAATGAGCAGAAAAACAGCGGTGATTTTAACAGCCTCGTTTGTTAGTTTTGGTTTCATTTTTTTCTTTTTTTTTGGTATTTAGCATGTAGTGTTGTACTCACTCGATTATAATCGATTCGTGTGGTCTATGCATTTTACTATTTCCAACACATGATGAATTATGGATGATTCGATTCTAATGCTGCAACGATCACCACAATCACCACAACCATCATTCTCATTTGCATAATGGAATTAAACATCAAGAGATAGAGAGGGAGTGAGAGAAAACAAAACCAAATGATAACATTATGGAAGAATCGATCAAAAGAAAAAAATTTTGTCTGAAAATTGTTCGATGACATTGTATTACAGCAACAACGAACACGACAAAATACGTAAAATTCAAATTCAAATCTCAATGTTCAACAAAACATTGATTCGAATCGATTCATTCGATATTCAGATCATGAAGAGGAAGAAGAAGAAAAACCGAGACATTATTACTATTGTTGTTGTTGTGGCTACATCACACCGTGAGACAAGATGAAACACACACGGGACAAAATTTAAAAAAATCGATTTAATTCAATTAATTAATTGATGACAACAAATATTTGCAATAATAATGAAAACAATAACATTATTTCGAAATTGAAATAAATTTTGATAAACAAACAATCTTATAAAGAGACAGAGAGAGAGAGAGATAACAAAATCAAGTCGAGAATTTTGAGATCGAATTAATTTAAATTAGTTTTTTTTTTTTTTCTTCATTTTTTGAAAATACAAATAGATATTGATTAATTAGTAAATAAATAATAAATTGATTTGATTGATTGATTATAGATGAACAATTAATAGTAATATATATTAATTAATTAATAATTAATATAATGAATGGTGAATTCTCTTAATGGAGGCATTTTTAATCTTCGATATCAGTTCTTTTTTATTTTAATGATGATGAGGATAATGGTGACGATGATGGTGATGATGATGATGATGATGAAATGATCGATGCAATTGAATAATCTTTCAATGATGATGATGTACCAATGTTGCCAATAACCATTGATTTGATATTTAAATTATCCGAAACAGCAGTGACATCTGGTGAGCATGAATTACGATTATGAAGATCATATGATTGGTTTCTTCGTTCAACACTAGGTGGTGTTCGAGATAATGGTGAATTGTTATTATTATTATTATTAGTATTAATATTATCGATTCCAACATCAACAGTTGTCGCTGATGAAGATGATGATGAGCGACTTTCGATATCATTAACCAAATTTAATGATTCTTTACATAAACGATCTTTGATTTTTTTCGTATCAATACGAAGATCAATGGTACCATCTTGTTGTTGTTGTTGTTGTTCAGTATCATCAAAACAGTTGATTGGATTTTCCAACAAATCATGATTATCCGATGATGATCTTGTTGATGATGGTGATGACATTGTACCACCGCCACTGCTTAATGATGCAATGGATAGATTCGGATGATTATGATAAGAATCAATAATTAAACCCGCAGCAGTAGTGGTAGCAGCCGAAGCAGTAGTATTATCAGTAATAGCCGTAGTGAAAGGATTCGAATATAAAGACATATTCATATATGGTGATGGTCTTGATGATTGCGATTGATGATTATAATGTTGTTGTTGTTGTTGTTGTAGATCCACAAATGGTGAAAGATGATTATGAAAATGTTGTTGTTCGATAGAATCGGCCACAATTTTCATCGATGACGATGAAGATGTAAGACAATGTTGTGTCGCCGACAAAGGCAATAGATGATGATGATCTATAAATTTCCGTTTGTTTGATAGAAAATCAAATTAAGCAATTTTATTCACAAACAACATGAAAATATTACATACCATATGGATGGATATTAGTTGTAGTAATTCCGATAATTTGCTTGTTGTTGTTGTTGTTGTTATTATTTAGACTAGAACGTTGTTGAAAATGCGAATGATGATGAGGATGATGAGAATTATTCATGGCCATGCGTTTCGACTCAACCATCTGTTGATGATGATGTTTAATATTACGTCGTTTACGGCGCCGAAAATTTCCATTCTCAAACATATTATTAAATTTTGGATCCAATGTCCAGAAATTTCCTTTTCCTGGTTTACATTTCTCACGTATAACTTTAATGAAACAATCGTTTAATGATAGATTATGACGAATACTATTTTGCCATCCTTGTTTATTATCATGATAATATGGGAAATTGTCCATAATGTATTTATAGATTCCATTCAATGTTATTTTATGATCAGGCATTGAACGTATTGCCATTGTTATTAATGCAATATAGGAATATGGTGGTTTTTGATTCAATGATGATGATGATGAGGATGAGGAATTTGCATTTGTATTTGCCGCTGTTGATGTTGATGTTGATGTTGATGTTGATGATGAAGATGATGTAGTTGTGTGTGGTGATAATGATATTAATGGTGGTGATGATGGCGATGACAATGATGATGATGATGATGAAGAAGATGATAATGAACCACCACCACCAATATCGACATAATGATTATTATTAATATTACTGCCATGACGATTAATAGATTGAAAATTGACAATAGATTTATCATTCACTAGCTTATTAGTCAAATCGATGGCTGAATTAAGTTTTTTATTCACCGATATTAATAGTTGATTATCCATATTGATATTTGTATCATTAAAAATCAATCTTTTATCATTCAATGAGGATTTAATGTCAAGGCCAGTGTTATTATTCAATAATGATAATGGTGGAGAAGACATTTTCGTTGTCGAATGGTGAATATTTTTAATATTGTCTGATGCCGATGTTGGGTGCGGGGATTCGGATCGAGTTTGAAGATATGAAGAATCATGGCGATGATGATGTGGATTCCAAATTGTTGTTCCTGTTGTTGTTTGCAATAGATTTGTATTATATAAATTGTTTAATAATTGACCAAAAGCACGATTCAATTCTAAATTCATTCCAAATTGATTCTGTATTGCATGAATTGTATTGTTTTCCACAACATTATTGCTGTTGTTCGGTTGTGGTTGTTCAATATTCGCTTTCAATTGTCTACTTAATTCTTGTACTAAGGCCATGTCTAAATTATTGGATTGATCATTGATTGTTTGTTGATTTTCACAATTATTATCATCATCAAGATGATTATTGTTATTTGAAAACAAACGAAATAATGATGATGATGATGATGATTTAGGCTGATTATTCAGTAATTTAGATAATAATAATTCAAATGGTAATTCATCCAATGAGGATTTATTGAATTGTTGTTTAAATAACATTAATTGTTCATTTGAAACGGGAACAGAAGAAGAATCAATCATATGATTATTATTTTGTAACAAAAATGGTGATAAATTGCCCAAAAGATTAGCAAATGATGGATTTGTCGTTAAACCTTGAGATGATAATGAAGGTGAAGGTGAAGTTGGTGGTAATGATAATGTTGTTGTTAGATTTTTTGAAAATGAATTTGCTGGCACCATAGACATCATTGTATTGGATGGTGATGATGATGAAATTTTTTCAAACAATTTTCTATCAATTGGCGATGATGAACGATAAGAATTATTATTCAGCGGTTGTTGTTGTTGTTTAATCATTGACAATTGAGACATTATATTGATCGAGGAGAAAACACAATTAAATTCAATTCACTAGAAATGGAATTTTCATACCACTGAAAATCAAATATCTGGGACAGCACAGAGAAACTGGAATAATTTTTGTTGATTTAAGAAAATAAAATCAATATGCCAATCGTTTAAATATTGTTTCAATTTTTTTCTAGATAATGATGGAATTGTGATTAATAAAACAAAAACGAGAAACAATAGATAGATTTATATTTGGAAAAGTAAAAGCAATAATAATAATAATAATAATATAATAATCCTGGCGCCAGTCAGCTTAATCATAAAAGATAAATAGATTGAACGGAATGGTGATGATTCTCTCTATATCTCGCCTAATATGTCAATGTTGATTATCGGATTATCATATATCATATATTTATTATTATTATTATTATTATTATTATTATTGTTATTGCCAGTTAATTTTGTTGTTGTTTGATGTTGCAATTATCTAAATTTGAGATTGTTGTTTTTTCTGTGTGTTGAAATTATAAATCTGTATATTTTCACAGAGAAACACACAGAGTAGAGATTATAATAAAATAAATGAGAGATAAATTGATAATGATGATGATGATATCAAAATCCAATCCTCAATCTCAATAAAAATAAAAATGTTTATAGGTAGATAGATCATGATCCACTCACTCACTCTTCTCTAAATACAAAACAACAAAATCGGATACGCTAGCTATATAAATGGGTAATAATAATATTGACAATTTTTTTTATTTTTTTGGATGTCAATCAAAAAATTATTATCAATTTTTTTCACTCACTTTTTTCTCAACATTTAAATAATTGTAGTGACATCATTTGATGATGAGATTTGTACTTGAAAATCAAATAATTTCAGTAAATCAAGTAAATTTCTTCTCTTTATTTTCAATAATGATAATTGCAGGGGGTTTCTTGATTCAACGACAACGATATCCTGTTTTATAAGATGAGTGAGGATGATCATGATGATGAGAAATGAATCTGACAACAAAACAACATTCTTTAGGTACAAATAATCTTTTGGTGAGTGCGTAAGATTCATTTATTGATTATCGATAATTATTGCCGTGCATACATTCAAAACGTGTCAAGATTAAAAATCAAATTCAAGATTTTGGATGGAAAAATGTCTCTTTGAAACCGGAACTTTAATTAATGGATAGACCCACCACCACTACTAAACAAACACCAAACACAAGAAATAAAACGACAATGTCTATCGTGTCCGTAGACACAACAAGAATAATGTTCAAATCGGAAAAATGAAAATGAATGATAGGATGATGATGTATTGGTAACTGACAATTGAGAGTTTGGTTTGCTTTTTATATAAATTCGTCATTCATTCGCAGAACTTTGCACACATGTGCGCAAATAAACAATGAACAAGATTGTGTGTGTGTGTGAATATAACAAGTGTAGTATATCATCATCAGGATAACAGACAGCCTAAAAATGAATGTATAATATACACATTGCAAATGTATGAATGACAACAAAAAAAAACACTGGAAATACACAATGAAACAATAACAAAGAGAGAGAGAAAAAAAATTCAACGGATCCAAGCAAGAAGCAGAGAAAGCAGAAGCGTTTTTTTTTAATTCTCAAACATCAAAGCGTTGAATTGTCTGTGTGTGATTGTCATGTTTTGTGTGTCTATTTGATGATCATGATCAATGTTTAAATATATAAAAAAAATTGTTTTCTATTTGATTGTGTTCATAACATTGAATGGCAAAAATTGGTAGATAGAAAAATGTATTGAATGAAAATCAAATCAAATCATATGAAATGAAAGAAGAGAAAGGAAGGAAGAATGATGATGATGATGATGATGAAAAAATAAAACAAATGACTTTATACACTGTATAATAATAATAATAGTTGCATGTGATGATCATCATGATTACATGATGATAATTTTCTTCTTATTTTGTTTCGGTTCCAAAATATTTTCTAGTTTCTGTTTCTTTTTTTCGTATTAGTTTTGAATGTTTGTTGTTGTTTTTTTTTTGTTTAATTTTGCTTCATTCAAACTTTATTTCATCAATGTTTATACAAATATTGAATGTTGATTTTGTTTTTTTTATTATTTTTTTTTTGATTTGAATCAAGTTTTGTTCTTCGTTGGCAAAAAATATAATGTATGATTGTAGTGTAATTGCTCAACACACCATATGAAGATATAATCATCAAATTGAAAGAAAATTATTGTTTTTGCCAATCAATGTGTGTAATGATTTGTAAATATTAATCAAAAAATTTTTGATTGATTGATCGATTACGATAAAAAGAATTGGGCAGGGATATGCAAGTAGGATGTATATTAAAGTATAGTAGTACTAGAATATAATCAATAATTCATTTCAAATAATATTAACGATAATCCTTAGTGATAAAAGGATTCGAACCATATTTTTTTCCTTTTCATTTCTGATATAATGATTTGCTTTCTGTGATGTTCACGTCAAACAACTGGATTGAACTGGATTTCATCATCATAATATCACACCATAATCGTCATTTTTTTTTTTTTTTTTGATTTCAAAATAATACAATAATGGAGACTAAATAATCAATATTTGATAAATAAATAAATAATCGATTGGTCGATAATAAAAATATTGTAGATCGATCGAATGAGCCAGAGATAAAGAGAATTTTTTTTGTTGTTCCCGAACAAAATTCATCTGGCCTGGTTTAATCTGATTTCGATTTTGTTTGAACTATGCGAACCAGAAAAAACCAAATATGATGATTGATTTGATTTTGAATGTAATGAATTGATGAATCAACGAATCATTATGCGAATTATTATTTTCAAAAAAGTGAATTAATATAATCACAATTTGGCCATTGTTTAGAATTGCCGTTGTTTGTTATTGTTTCAATATGATTCAGTGATTGTTTTTTGTTTGTATTTTATCATTTCCAAACACTGTAGAATGTATTTTGTTTGTCTGTTTATTCAATTGTTGAGAGAACCAACGACAACAACCAACGTTCGGAAAAACAAATATTTGAGAAGAAAAAGAAGAAAAATTATCAACCAAATAAACATGGAGTTTTTTTTGATGATGATAATAAGACGACAAAACAAAAACAATGAATCTGCTTTGCCTGCAGAATATATCAGTGCGTTGATATACAGAGAAATGATAACTCTTGAATGATAATTGATATTTTTTCATTTGTTGTGTGTGGAAAAAAAAAGACATCATGATCATGATTATTATTAGCAAATACATTTTTTCTACTTTCCCAGTGATTATCATTCAGGCGAAAAAACCCATGTCTGTATGTTATTGTTTTTGTTCCATTCTAATCTAGTGACTCATTCATTCATTCTCTGTATTCACTATCGATTATTATTGGAATTTGTATCACGATATAAAACATATAGATGTTGCAATAATGTTCATAATGATGATGATGATGATGATAACAAAGATCAAATACTGGATAATGGAAAAATAAAACAAAACAATGAAAATTAAACAGAAATGAATTGTGTGTGTGTGTGTGTGTGTGTGTGTGTTTGTGTGTGTTGTATGTATTATATGTTAAACATTAAAATACACAAGAAAAAATAGAGGATAATCCAAATATTTGTATAGAAATGAATTCGAAAAAAAAGAAGAAAAAGAAAATATATGCGAGAAGGACTAGGAATTGCAATTCATATAAAATCATTATAACCAAAAAGAATACACCACAAACATAGAGACAATGAAACAAGATGGGAATCGTCATGATCAAGTTTTTTTCCTTTTGTTCATTTTGATTAGCAAGGAATCGATAAACATTGGACAGACAAACAAACAAACAAACATTTTCGAAATGATCAAATACTGGGGATTGATGATGATACTATTTCAAGTTATCAAAATTCATACGTCAAACAAGGAAAATTTTTTTTCTTTCTCTTACGAAAAACGTTGATTTCGTAACAGAAAAAAAGATGAAATACCGGAATTATTTTGATTCTTCAAAAATAATTTTGTTTTGTTTTTTCATTTCATTTTCAAATTGTAAAAATATGAACTGGAAATTTAATTTTCAATAAATTCTGAATGATTTTGGCAGTAAAAGATACAACGATGCAGACTTGGTTAATACAGTGAAATAAAAATAAAATGAATCAACGGTAAAATTTTTCTGTTTTTGTCAAAGATTTGCCGTTTTTTGAAAAAACAAAGTACCCACTCACACAGTATTCCAGTGTAGGTTTTTCAACAATATTCTCCGATGATTGAATCTGAATTCATCACGAGAAAAAAAAAAAAAAAAAAAAAAGAAATGTCAATGATCGATAGAAATGGATTTAGCAAACATACAAAAAAAATGTCATATTCCGTTTGACTTTGTGTTTATATGCATGTGTAATGATTCGTATCAAACAAGAAGAAAAAAAATGTAATCTACAGCAAAAACAATTG